CATCAGTCTAGAAGTTAGTAGGAGAGTATAGGAAAGTCATACGTGTGTAATTGTGGGCAGAATGAGGAGTTTTGTGTTGTTTGTGGGGTCGTAGTATCTTATAACATGCAATTCTCATCTCCGTGGTTCTCGGGGCAACAGTAGTGAAGCTTTCTCTGTGTTTTGCGGAGGATATTTCGTTATTTTATAATAAATTTGGGTTTGTACCAACTATCGCTCCACACTCAAACCCCCAGGAGAAGACCTATAACTATAACCTACTTCTCTTGAGTGCTAGTCTCCAGTCGCCCAACCGTTTAGTCAGGTGGCTTAAAGTAGTATTACCCACAGGTATTACAATGTAAAGATAAACGTTCATATTAGGCTGGGTGAGAAGCAAATCTATTATTACCATGATCGCTGTAACCAGCTGAAATGCACACTCTTTCTAGTTATTCCACCTCAAGCAAAACCCGGTTGCAATGTTAGCCTCGTTGGCTAAGGTAGGTAGAGTTGTGTTAGTATTCATGAAAATAAAGTAGTCATGTTTGGACAATCAAATGAATAGGTGCAGCGAGGAGACATTAGAACTAACATTTACAAGAATATCAGGACAAACATTCCCCAGAGTTTGAAGAATTAACCAAACTGAAGTTCGAGATCAGTGTTACGTGAGATAGGTGGACTAGTTTGATATTGACATCCGGCACGGACACTTCTTATGATACATCCAAAAACAGACTTAGGTCCGCCGGGCCGGTACGGAGGGGTTCAAACGGCGCCTGCAACTCTTACTTCTTATTACTGCTATCTCTCTCGCGCTAACTTCTCGTCCACCCATAGTTGCCTCTATTGCGGCCCCCTCTTCCTCCAGCAGTGTAACAATATCATGGATTAGCCCTGGTAGCCAAAACCGGTGGTGATCCTTCCCCGTGTCTTCTCAAGGGGTCTCCACTATGATTGATATAGTTCTTTGTCTTCGTCCTAACGACTTCTCTCTTTTGCCGTCCAACACACCCAATACAGGTGTGTGTTTGCAACAAACTTCCCAGTGGATCGAATCAATGGCTCCTTCCCACAGCTCATAAGGGTGTTATCGGAGATCCTCAAACCCTATTCAGAGGAACAGAGACGGAGATTCTTTTGTGTGGAAATGCAAGAATATTCTATCGCCTGTAGGATGCCCCACAGAGAGCTCTTTACAGAGAATTGAATTTTTTGTTAGACACACACACACTGTTAGTTACACCGCCACAGCGGAATTGGTTGTACTAGGAAATTTGAAGTGTGCAGGAATGATGCCCATAATAATACGCTTCGGTAATATAGTGTATTCCGCGAATATGCAAGCGCGCAACTGAAGTCCGAGCGCTAAGTGGGGGTATAAAAGAAGTGAAAACTGGGTACTCGGAGAGTTGTTTCGCTCTTTTTTCTAACACTGAACCGAGAGATAGACCCACAGCGTTAGCTATGCCTTCAGACGACTTCTTCGGATTTTCCGTGCTGATAGCCGGCCGACCCGTCCCCGAGTATGCCAAGGACGGGCGCGTGTACGTCGAGAGCAACCTCTACGCGCCGTTCAGCTACAGGCAGAAGACGGAGCAGCTCGTGAACGGGGAGATGGAGATCGAGAGCGCTCCAGTCACGCCGTACCAGGTCCAGATACGCCTAGCGTCGCACTGCGAAGACTCGGCCGTTTTCGTCTACGTTGACGGCGTCCTTGCCTCCAAATTCATGATGGAGCAAGCCCAGTCCAAGTAAGTATAGTATGTAGCGCTCTAGGTATAGTCTCATAACATTAGTATTCGGCCGTGGTATCCCCAACTCTGCCCTGTTTACCCAATGTGTACTTTTTTACCTAGAATCATCACTGGGTTTGTGGACAAGGAAGGCACCAGGGAATTTCTCTTTTCTCTTCCTCGTTTTGCTGCTGACGAGGTCAGTTACTCCTCTCTAGTCAGTTCCTGCATCTTTCATTGTGTTCCCAGTGTAAAACTTCTCTTTCCTTGTGGAAGAGAGGGATACTGTGCTTCATAATTATTCACATTCCCTCTTTTTCCTCATTGCCCCCAACAGACTGATCGTATAAGCAGCAAGCGGGAATCCAGGATTGGCTCAATCCAAGTCATCCGCTGCGAGGCCAGCTACGTTAAACAGGAGTACAGAAAAACACAGACACTGTTTTCAACCAGAGCGACAAAAAAGATGTCTTACCGAGTCACGGAGTGGAAATATACCATGTCCACCACAAGAAGGGAAAGTTGATCCACCAGGTCAAACCTACGATGTCAGTTGAAGAACTGTGGAGGATCGGGAGGGAGTGTGGACGGCTAACAGTCCACTACCGCATGGGCCACACTCTCGAGGGAATGGGCGTCGAGCTCAGACCGACAGACTGGACCAAGATCGTCAGCCGGAAATCTTCCAAGGAGCGGTCGTCATCTTCAAGCAGTGTGGAACTCCAGGGGAGCCCGCAGCCCAGAGTCCAGAAACCAGTCCACCACCACCACCGACAGTCAGACTCTCAGAACAACCAGCAGAGAGCATAAACACTAGTAACAGACATCACTCCAGTCCTTCTGTCCAGACCACGCCCCCTCCGTCACTTTCCCCTCAGCCCATCTTCCACCAGCCAACCATCTTTGTTGCTCAGAACACTGCAGGTGGCCTCATCTACTTCCCCTCCATCATATTGCCTGTCAAATCAGAGCCAGAGGACCCAGCAATAGACATAGCATCTATACAAAAATGTCCGTAAATATTTATCAAACACTCTGTTTGTTATTATTATGTGTTTGTGTATCGCAATACAGGCAATCTCTCACCTTCTGTCACAATTCTTTCTGAGAAATAAGCATCACTTTTTTCATAACAAATCTGAGATTCATGATAAATCCAGCTCTTCCTATTTCTTGGCAAAGCTGGCTCCAGTTAGTGGGCTCCTGGCCTTTCTTGGAGCCACTAATCAGTTCTGGGTTAGAGGTATACTCAAGTTTCCTGCTAATTGTAGGTCTCTGTGAGGGGACATTCCTAGAATCTGATCTGAATTTCTCTTCAGTTGAAGCACCATACTAACAGGGTAGGCTACATATCTACTGACTCTAGCCTGTAGGAGAGCCTCAATATAGATGTCTCAGAATTAGTGAATTCAGCCAGCTATAGCTAGCACACTCTTTTCCTTGGATGCACCCGCCCACTTTGAAAGAGCCATAATATAGTGACTCAACAAAAAAACTAGCTACTGCCTTTCACTTTCGGTTTTATGTTTACCATTGCATAGAGTTTTGAGAATTACTCATGCATGTCTGTGATAAGGGGACGATAGATAGCTACAACCAAAATTCATTCTCGTCTCTACATTTTCCCATGTCTGTTAAGTGGACCATGCAAAGCCCACGTCTCAGCCCATGTAGTTGAGCTGCTGTTTAACATGCACCGTCCACTTACTCCCAGGAAACACTAAAAGTAGATAAGAGCTCCTCCCACCTACAGCAGTGCGCGTGCATGCATGCCCCCGACAAGCGCCGCCTGGACACTGAGCTACATCTCTCCATGTCCGCCTTTAAATAGACGGAGCAATCGTACACTGGAAACGTACCGCACCAGGTACACAGCTGGCCAACCGCATCACCGGCCACTTACGAAACTCCCCAGCGCGTTCGTTCTGGGTATTGCAAGGCGGTTCCGACACGACACTGGAAAAGACGCCTTCCACTGAACAAGCCAAAATAGATCAAATGCTAAGACTGCAGCGATTCCAGTAAACGCGTTTAGATGACAAGAAGCGGACAGCGGTAATTCTGAGAAGGCTCCTTTCAGCCGCCAAAGGGCACTTCCAAGAAAAAATACTTACGCCTACACAACACGTGCGCACGCGCAATAGGTAGAAATTACGCACGCGCAGTCCAATGCTAAATTTAGCCACATTGACATTGCGTCATTTGTTTAGAAGTTGCAGCGTGTACTGCTGAGAGTATATCCATGGCTAGCTATGTTCTCTAGCGTTTTTCCTTTCTTCAGACTCTCATAAAACGGCAGCGAGAACTCTGCTCAACATCATTGGGAGAACGTTTCATACAAAGTCTGACAGCTTTTACAGACCATCTACCACGAGCAATGTCTCTGACGGTGAAGGCGTTTCTGTACAGGCGGAGCTGGAAGGAGGAACCGACGGAGATCCGTCGTTTCTCGCTCGACCAAGACGTCTCCACGAGCTACTCTTACCTCGTGCAAAAGTTGGCGCAGGTCTTTCCCTCTGTTTCCGCGGAAGAGATCATTCTGTCTTGGGAAGGTGAGTGTCCTTTAGTGTAGCTATGTATACCGACAGTGATAAATGAATCTTCGGGTAGATGCTGAAGGAGACTATGTCAACATCTCAAGCGACGAAGAGCTGGTGGAAGCTCTTGACCAATTTGACGGTTCCATCTTCAAATTCACCTGAAAAGTGAGAACATTCTCACCGACAAATAATAGTTCACGTTTTATTACTTCCAGAGAGAGAGAAGCCGCCGTGTTGTCCGCAGCCTGTTTTCTGCCCACTGCTTGCCAGCCCTCGCGACGGCGCCGGCCTCCCACGACAAACAGAGAGAGGAAGAGACAATGGAGGAGCAGGTTCCGAGTCTGGATCCCAGCAGAAAGCCGAGGCCCACACCACGTCCACGTTAGTCTGCGACGGCTGCAACTCTGAATCTATGGCGTGCGCTACAAGTGCCTGGGTGTGCAGACTATCGATCTCTGCTCCTCGTGTGAGAAGAGGGGAGAGCATGTGGAGCATAACATGGTGTCAATCAGTGACCCCCCAGAGTTACAATCCCTGGGGGTTCCCTCACGGGGGGCGATGCGGGGGTCCGTGGAGGGGGAGCGAGGGGAGGACGACACTAGTGGGGTCCGCAGGCATCACGGAGGACCGTGGGCTCACGGAGGGCCGTGGGTTCCTCCGTTTTTCCTCAAACTTCCTCGAGGTCACGTGGGGTGGAGAGCCTGGCGCAGGGCAGCAGAACCCGCCCCACCAGGAGAGAAACCAGCTGGAGCCAAGCCAGAGGAGATGGAAACAGAGGAGGGTGTGGGCTAGTCGGGGCAAACAGCGAAAGAGCAGCAACAGAGCTACACCTGCAGGACATCGGGGAAGCCGTTTCCACTTTCCTTCGTCGTTTGGAGTCAAGGTGACGTGGACGTAGTGGATGATGAGCAGCCAAAGAAGACAGAGTCTCAAGCGACACCTCTGACCCTCCCCCTTCAGCCCCCAGTAAAGTCCTGAAGCAACACCGTGAGTCTCAATCTGGTGTAGTGTCTCACCGAACATTGGTGCTTCTTGTTTCAGCTGTATCCAACCGTGGACGATGCTAACCACCGCTGCCAGTGAAGGCAGGTCGGACACATTGAAGCGGCACTGTCCAGTTGCAGGAATGGGTTTGATAACGAGGGGGGCTGGCTCACTGAGCTCATGCAAGAGCAAAGGAGGTGATATTGGGCAAGGTTCTTCGATGCCTAGCATCCAGCACAGAGCGAATGACCTATCATCTCACACACTGCTGACTTTTAAAACCTATTTAGGCTTGGACCTCGTTGTCAGCATTTATATAAGTCTATTGTGTGGATTCAAGAATAAAATGTATGTCAGATAAAACATTGGCTGAAAGTATATAATGTACGAGATGGTGCGGACGCAGATGCGAGCAGGTTAGGCTATTTTCAGTTCATGTCATGCTGGCGTTGCGAGTGGCAGAATGCGTACGTGTTGTGAGCAGTCACCAGTGCATCTCAGAGTGAGAAGCGTTGATGATACAGAGAGAGAAACATACACAGCACTACACGAGTAACCTCACGAAACAGAACGCACGGTTGAAGATATCCTCAGGTCAGCGCGTGTTCATCCTGTGAAGCACGTGCTTCTAGAGCTATCATTGAGCTACTGCAATGGCGGCAACCTCTGAACCTACATACAGAGATGAAGTTCGGTAAAACATACTTCCCCATTTCTGGGCTAACCCTTGAGACAATGCTTGCGCTCCATCTGCATTCGCAGGGGGACAACCACTACCTTGTGCATCACGCAAAGATCTGCTCCTCGAGCTTCCTCCCTCACTGCATGCTGGACAAAGAGAGACAGGAGGGGTGTGGAAGATGGGGGTTAGGGTGGGGGGGTGGGGGGGGGGGGGATAGGGTAGAGTGAACTAACTACTCACGCTAGCCAGGACAATGTTCCAGTGGGTGTGCAGGCGATATTTCATCACGGGCAGAAGAATATCTGTGAGAAAACAAACAACAAAACCAATCTGTAATACCAGTAGCACCTCCTCCCTTACCAATAGGTTTTGCATTTGTTGTGATACAGAGAGAAAGAGGAGCAGAGAGAGGCAAAGGCTTGTTCTAGAGACATACCCATATCTAAGAGTATCCTGGACACCAAGCTGGTGGTCCCAGACTTGTCAGAGATGTTTGTCACTCACCACGACCCACCTTCCATCTCCTGCAACAACAAACCTTGTCAGACCGTCAGAAACAATACTTTTCACACTCACCATCGCAAAACCTAGCTCCAAAAGACGAGAAGATATTCTGTTTGCTGAAACGACTACACGTGAGCAAAATCAAAGTCACGTGACACTCCCATAAGCCGTTGTTACAACAACGTCAGCAAAGGGGCGTGGCCGAGGGCCGCGCGATGGCGGACCTCGCCTAGAAGGTCCTCCATTCCTGGAGTCGCTAGACGTGGAGGAGGAGGTTGAACAGAGAGTCCTCAAGGTACCAGCTGAGAGAGATAGAAGACCCGCCCTCCCTGCACTATCTGGACTATGATGTGGACGAAACATCTCCGCACACGACAGTTCCTGACCCACCATACGAATTCGAGGGGGTCGGTTACCGTACCACAATGTCAGTACTTTTCCCTCTGATCATCAACAGCATTTTTAGGTGCAGTAAAAACACACAAATGTCTCACTGCAAGGTTTGGTCTTAGTAACAGTTTGACGAAGAGTTCCTCAGTCTTGATAGGGAAGGTACGTATAGTAGAGCAACTGTTAGTGTACCGGCCCACTGTGTTGTAATGTGTGTTGTTTAGGTGGCACGTGAAGAATTCCAGTGACCCATTGTCGAGTGAACGCCATACTACAGAAGGGGATTCTTGGAGTCTGCGTGCATGCACGTGCGGCTGTGGCGGCTGTCTCGGATAGCTGCTGTTGCACATTTGCCTAGTCCCATAGGACCACGCTGGGATCTGCGTCAACAAGAGAGGTAAACCACCAGATGCACACACACCATAGTCTTGCAAACTGTCGCGCTCCTACACTCTCCATTCATTAGACAGATTTTAGGGATGAGAAAAGGTGTTAGAGAGCAGAGATACTGGAGACTGTATATAGAGTAAGTCTGAGAGATGTGTAGATGAGTTACTATGCCATGTCTGTTTCTGAGTGTGTCATGACAGCTGAACTTGTGATTGAGAGGCTGAGGGCTCATAGAGAGCACAATGACAACACAGCATGCCATTAGCTATACAACTATGTCAGTTTTGTGGTACGATTAGTAACACAGCAGACGATCTCGTGTCATCCCGCATCATCTTCAGGTCTGTTTGATGATTGAGTGTCTGCCCCAACCAAATGTACAGCTCTTCAACCCCGACTCAAAGTAACAAGCCAGCCCCTTAGTTCATCACAGTGTTATTATCCTTCCTTTTTCGATTCTCTCGTATGTACATGTGTTCTATATGCGAAAGTTTCTAAAACATGCGCACCGTCGCCAACGTTTGCAAAAACCAGGCTGCAGGTTCTTTGCTCGTTGTTTTGGGGGAATGGCTGGGGTACGGTGACCAGGACAACAGACAGGACTTTTACGAGTCTGGAATATGATATGGACGGAGTTCAGCAGGAGCAGCAGGCGCCTCCGCCGGCAGTTCAGCAGGGAGGCTGGCAGCAAAATTCCTGCGCAGGATCAGCAGGCACAGTGGGGAGTCAGCACAAGTCTACTACCCTCCGACGTGGGCTACGTACAGCAGCAAGGCTACGGACCACAAGGCGTCGGCGCAGCGTCCACTGCAGCCCGTATACGCGTACAATTTGTCATTTCTATTTAGAGCCCAGCTCTATTATGTACACGTAGCTATTAGGCTTGTGCTGATCAGGCAGGTAGTTGTACGTTGATATAGTCCTTCTGTGTGTTAATTGACTGGCAGTATGCAGAGAAGACATCTGTATGGTGGGTCAAAACAAACTGATAGACTTTGCCGCTGATTCTCTCTCTCTAGAGTACAGTCTCAGACAGGCTTGCTGTGGCAGGAGGGGAGACAGAGCAGGAGTCTGAGGTCAGATGGTCTGGGGCTCTGAGATGGAGACACTCGGGGCCTACGCAGTCTACGGCCTTCATTTGAGGACGAGCCCCACTCCTGCACTTAGAACTGGAATGCGACTCTCAGCTCATCAAAGCCAGTAAAGGTCGCTGGCCTAACATCTCCATGTTGGTGTAGTTCGCTGTTTTACATGCATCGCGGCTTTGCTCTTCAGACGCTGTCTGGTTACTGAACGCCACTGGCAAGTGACTGATTACATGACCATCGTCACTGACACGGAGCCATGCAGGCTCCTCATCATCTCTGCATCTCTGTGGCGTTGTACTTCTGTTGGTAAGCTACCTGCTCAGTAGGCCACCACAGAATTTGTCCAGTTATAAACTCTTCCGTATAGTGCATACATAATTATATAGCTGGAAAATTTCGCTTTTGGTTGCATATGTGAATTTTGCTGATTTTCGACCGCCAATAAAACATTTTGTCACAAGAACTTTTCAAAAAAGGCTCATAACTTCTCCCTTGAATGTTTTGCAGTGCAAGAAACTGTAACTAACCGCTCGTCGCCTCTCTTGTTCACAGAGTGGCAAGGTTCAGTTTGGCTACATCTATGGTCGTCAGTTCATGGGCGCTCTCTCCATGTTCCTTGTCCTCAACCTGATGAGCAGTCAGGGGGTGTCTGCCAGCTGCGTGGTGAGCGTCCTCGGCTACTGCCTCCTCCCCATGGTCCTCCTCTCCTGCATATCCATCGTCACCTCTCTCCAGTAAGACATATCTCCACTTCTCTCTCTTTTCCTCTGCTTTTGTTCTACTGCTTTTCTATAACTTTTTCTTTTCTCTGCTGATAAATTTCTCTATGCTATTTCCCTTACGCTTTTATCCTTTTCTCTGTTTTTTCCCTGAATCTCTCTTTCTATCTCTCTGCCTGTTGCAGGGGGATCATTGGGACCGCTCTCTCACTCCTCATCATAGGCTGGTGCAGCTACTCAGCCTCCAAACTGTTTGTCACTGCTCTGGCCATGGACTCACAACAGCTCCTCATTGCTTACCCCTGCGCCCTGCTCTACGGCGTTTTTGCATTGCTCACAGTTTTTTGAATGCCTGTTTCTCACTTCATGATCATGGTGAATGGTGAACTGTGGCCTCGTTCCCAAGCTATTTTTGTTTGTGCCATCGACCGGAAGTTGTTTGATCCGCGCGTGTGAGCGGTTATGAATTTGCGCTTATTTTGACCCCGGGGCTAATTAGTACATCTGCATTCCAAGTGCTCGAAGTTGTCTCGATTGAACGGGCGAGGCTGAGTTTGGGTGTGATCGAAGCCACGCGCGCTGCTCTCCCTGTTCTGTGGGTTTGAGACGAGCCATCATGAGCAATCACCATCAAGTTATGAGAGTCCTGGTGAGCGGCGTACTGACAATGGCACAGACCGTAAAAACGCGGCTTATGTATGAATCTGGGCTAGAGGAGCGATCTGTGCGTATTTTGCCTCTAGCTGACGCAGGGTGTTGAGGCTAAGTGGGAAAAGGGCGTGTACATACAAATGACTTCTGGCGTTCTTGACTTTATGTATATACTTCTTACCCTGTGTTTGCGTTTGTGTGTGTGTGTGTGTGTTTGTGTTGTGTGCTGCCCTCCCTCTCTCCCAAATGAAGGGTGGAGGAAACAGAGATCTTCGACTCTCTGGCCACGTCGGGTTTGACAGTTTCCCGGATCAGCTAGTGACAAAGTGCGTCAACAAAGGCTTCGACTTCAACATTCTCTGCATTGGTAAGGCAACATGCACACGCACACTATCTCATGCACACATCAATGCTTGCAGCTGTCATATTATGGCCGAACCTTTTGGACCCACTCCCTCTCTGTATGAGAACATTCCATTTGATGTACCACACCGCTGTAGCTTGTTGCCATGTGGATGGCTACAAGATATTTTTGCCCGCTGTGTTCCTTTGCTGGCTACTGTTTACAACATTCCTATGGCAGCTTACTGGTCCACTGGTGTCATCCGTGTGTATGCCTCTTTAGTTCTCTCACTGTTTCCTTCATCTCGCCGGGAGCCACTGTGTGTAGCAATTTCCCTAGAGATTTAGTCGGTCACCTTCTTCACCTCCTCTCCCTCTTCCCCTCTCTTCCCGTCTCATTCACAGGAGAGACCGGTTGTGGCAAGTCGACACTCATCGATTCACTCTTCAAGTCTAGTTTCAACGGTAAGCTCGAACCAAACAAATTAATGTTAATGCACTGTTGCATGTGTGTATGTAGCGGTAATCATGTCTTGGGAGGTCTAATCTCTTCTTGTCACAACTATATTCATTGATGGCAATCCTCAATAAATTCTGTGTGTGTTATAAATATGTGTGTTGCCCCTGTGTGTGTGGTGTATATATAGATACTCCAGTTGTTCACAGACTACCAGAAGTAAAGCTGGAACAAAACACTTACAGTAAGTTGTTACATTAACCATCGCCAATGTAAAGCAAAGTTGTGTGAGTATGTGCAGCATTCTGCTTGTTGCTTCCTTGCCAGAAACTTGAATCTTTTATGGTGTGGTATTATCTTCGACGTGTTTCCCTTCACTGCGCAGACCTGCAGGAGAGCAACGTGAACCTGCGGCTGACGGTTGTGAGCACAGCTGGCTTCGGAGACCAGATCAACAAGGAGAACTCGGCCAAGGCAGTGGTGACCTACCTGGACCAGCAGTTTGAACAGTACCTCACTGAGGAGCTCAAGATCAGGAGAGATCTGGTCCACTTCCATGACACTCGCATTCACGTCTGTCTCTACTTCATCGCTCCCACCGGCCACTCGTGAGCATTAAAGCTTCTTGACTTCTTGGCTTTTTGTAATTGTGTGTGTGTGTGTGTGCAGGATAAAGAGTCTTGACCTGGTCTGTATGAAGGAGCTGGACAAGAAGGTTGGTAGCATTGTGGCTCCTGAGCTCTGTGTGTTGACTATTTTGCTGGTCTCCCTCTCAGGTCAATATCATCCCTGTCATTGCCAAGGCCGACACTATTGCCCGATCTGAACTGCCTCAATTCAAGGCCAGGGTGAGAGAAAACGTTCACCATTATGCCAGTCGCCATCGAGCTCTTTTGTGTCCAGATTACAGAGGAGCTGCGAGCCAATGGAGTCCAGATTTACCAGTTCCCAACAGACGATGAGACCGTGGCAGACCTCAACTCAAAGATGAATGTAAGCCACACCCAAACCACACCCACCAATTGACCCCCACCCACTCTCTTCCTTGTGTCCAGGACCAGGTGCCATTTGCAGTGGTGGGCAGTACGGATGAAATTGTCGTTGGAGGTCACAAAGTCCGTGCTCGTCAGTATCCTTGGGGGACTGTGGAAGGTAGGTTGAGCACACTCTCTAACCATTTGACACAGGTGTGTGTATCTACTGCATGTTGTGTATACATGTTAGTGTGTGTAGAGTATAGTGATATGGATGTATAATATTGTATAAACGACTGCTGTGGACACGTGTTGCTCTCTGCAGTTGAGAACGAAGCTCATTGTGATTTTGTCAAGCTACGAGAGATGCTGCTGCGGTGAGTCACCACGTCACATTCACCCACCCATGTTCACTTCGCACATGAATAGTCACAACTCACACCACAAAGGACGCGGGGCCCCTAGCCTTTTATCTTTTCTCTCCTGCAGGACCAACATGGAGGACCTTCGTGAGAAGACACACTCTAAGCACTACGAGCTGTACCGCCAGAGCAGGCTCCAGCAGATGGGGTTCGCAGACAAGACGGCCGACAACAGGCCGGTTTCGCTCCAAGAGACATATGAGATCAAACGACAACAGCACCTCCGCGACATGCAGACCAAGGAGGAACGAATGAGGCAGATGTTTGTGCAGAAGGTGAACTTTTAACCCTGAAAATTTTAACCCATGAAAGTGGGAGCTAGCTGTTTGTATAGAGTGTAGTGCTCAAGCTAGTGTTCATTTTATGGGTGGTTTTTTGACCAGGTGAAAGAGAAGGAGGCGGAGCTGAAGACAGCAGAGCAGAGGCTCCATGATGAGTTTGAGAAACTGCGAACCAAGAACCAGGAGGAGAAGAGACTCCAGGACGACAAGAAGAGGCAGCTGGTGAGTCTCCAGAGACACCCGGGTGGTGGCTGACTGATTGTAGACAAGTATTGGGTGGGGACTTGGTTTTGGCATCCACCTCGTGTGACTAATTTGAGTGTGAAATTCCACCTCCGAGTTGACCACCCACAAACTATGTATGAGATGGTATAGAGCCACATTTAGTCCTCATAGTATAATCCTAGTGTACATAAGGGGTTTGTTATTTGGTCTCTCTCTCTCTCTCAGGAAGAGGAGATAAATCTGTTCAACAAGAAGAAGGCTGCAGTCCAGGCTCAGAGGGCCCAGTCAGAGAGAGACGCCATGAGCAAGAGGAGGAAGTAACGACTCCACACTATGTAGACAGAGAGAGAGAAATTTGAACTGGAATTTACACCTAGTCTAACCGTTATTCTACCATTACACTACTTATTGTCGTACTAGCATGGAGATGTCCATCGGCTTAGGTATTTCTGTAACTCAAAAGTTCTGGCCTAGTTGCATAGTAGGGTAGCTAGGAGAGAACTGTTTTCCACACATTATTGTACGTGTATCCAATTTGCCGAAATCAGTATTTTTATACACAAGCTGCTGGAGCTCAGATGCACACTCCTTTCCTCTTGTTGCCGGAAATTAATAAGTGGGCGTGTACTTTCCGTGCATCCGCCCAGTTATTACGTAATGGCCTGGCGGAATCCAGCGATCCGATTGGTGGAAATTATCGCCTGACTCGAAGCGATCGTACGATGGACTGGGACGAGAAGGAGGAGATGGCTGCTTGTGGCGGCTACGGTATTAAATGCGACCCGGACATGAGTTTCGGGCCAGACTCCTACCCGCCCGTCTACCAGTGCGAGCAGCAACCGTTGGCGGAACCCCCGTGCGATATGGACCTGGCCGGCTTCCTGGAGATGGACGACAAAATGCTGTCTGGTGAGACCATAAACCACTTCTTGCTCGATTGTCAGTTAGTGTGCCTAGTTCTAGTTGACTAAGACACAAGTTTTCAAGGCTCATACATTTGAGATGAATATGCTTCCGTCTTGACGTGACCATTTGCTAAAACTAACTCTCCTCTCAGAGTTGGCAGCAGGGACATCAAAAGTCCCTACGTCCTCCAACAACGAGTGGACCTCTCTATTTGACGATGTTCTTGACCCGTCGACTGGTCTGCCACTGATGGGTCACCCCAGCGTGCCTCCCCTCTCTCCCCTTGGGGCTCCCGCAGTCTCTCCCATGGACTCCTGGGTGCTGGAGGAAACAAAGAAACTGGAGGCTCAGCAGAGGGTCCAGCAAAGGAAACTCCTCGACCTCAAACAGGTCCGTCTTGGTTTTTCACCTGTAGTTCCTCTGGCTTGTTTTTTTCTCGATTGTAAGTCTGTGTTTGTTTTGCTTCTCTGTCTGGTTCATTGTGGCCTATTGTTACCTGCGAAATGCCTCATCCTTTTGTTAAAGTTTGATTCTGCTCAACCTTTTAACGTGGTGGTGTGCAGTAGCACGGGATGTCTGTAGTGCATGTCCTAATCCCATTACTGAGCAATTAGTGTTCTGCTAGCTTTAGAGAGACTTACGATAGGGCATTCTGTCCCATAGTATGTTCAATGAATAGGGGGAGGATACCCGCTGTGTAAGGGAATGGGGTGATCTGGGCTGGTGGCGCGACTTGACCTCTATTGATATGTTTACATTCTTCAGTTCATTGTGTACATGCCTCTTGTCCCAGCGTGTACATAACGTGCCTCGCTCACCCCATGTCCCCGTAACCTAATGCATACTTCATGCATTTGTCGCCAATGGGTTGGTCACCCCACTCTGTAGTGCGGGTAATGTAGGAGAATGTTTACTGTCGTAGCCCACAGCCTCTCTGGTGTGATTCAGGCCCCAAGATTATGATAGCAAGCTGAAATAATGAGACTATTGGATGCATTCTGAGTGGCAGATTAATCCTAACACCAATAGAACAGAAGATAATTACCATGGTGTCTGTATTCACTCCTTATTAGAGAAGTGTCCTTGTTTCAGGTGTGTCCTTAGAGAGATTGTATATCTCTGTGTGTCTCTCTCCAGACTCTGATTAAGACAGAGATTCTGAAGAACCAGCTGCAGATCCATGCCTCCATCTCCCAGCAGCAGCATCTTCAACATCAGCTCTCACCTCCTCCCCCTCTCCACCCCTCCCCCTCTCCTCCTGCTCACAACCCCGCCTCCTCGCCCCCCCTCCACCCCGGGACCACGGGGAGAGGGGCCCGGAGTAACTACACCTTCCCCCACTCCAATGGGGTACTGACTCCGGAGAAGACGGAGATGAAGAAGACTCCGAAGCTGCCCATCACTCGCCTCCCACCAAAGCCACACCCCACAACTAACGGGGAGAACAACCAAGACACAATCGGTACGTAACTGTGTGAAAGTTTGGCAGAGACTATCAGCAATTTTGCTCCAAACTTAGCTCCAAAATGTTTAATTGGACATTCGTTCTACCGAATATATGTAAATTTGTCGATACAAATTTTTGCCATAATTTTCCATGATCTTCTCGAATTATTACTTTATTTGCTCTCTCTCTCTCTCTCTCGCCCTCTCCTCAGAGGACAGTCCTCCGGGATCTCCTCCACATGATCCTGAGAAGAGGAAGGTCCACAATCTCATAGAGAAGAAGTATCGCTCCAGCATCAACGACCGCATCGGCCTCCTCAGAGACATGGTCTCAAAACACAGCAAAGACAACAAGAAGGTCAGCCGTGAAAGAAAATCTCGATACTTTCTTGTTTCGACATTACCAAGTCCTATTAGCATAGTTCTAGCCTTGTTCTACCTTAAACTATAGGAGCTGGAGAAGTCTAAATCCTGTCGCTCTGTTCCACAGCTGCAAAAGTCGGCCGTGTTGCAGAAGACGATTTGATTTCATCCGCCACCTGGAGACCACCATCAAGAGACTCTCGGAGGAGAACCGGCAGCTGAAGGAGATGCTGGCCAAGGCGACCGGGCAGCCCCACCTGGCGGGGTACTCCCAGAGCCCCCCTGTTACCCCGCCCTCCATGTCACCCCGCAGCTCCGTCAGCGGAGAAGATTCAGGGGTTCCCCCCTCTTCCCCTGACTGCGACTCCGTAAGTTAGAGCCGCCTTTACACCTCAATAATAATATGAGACCTATTCTTTCAACTGTGCAGGGAAACAGCAGCCCCCTGCCTGGATCCCACAATCCCTTCCTCCCCTTCCACCCCTCCCTCCCCTCCTCCACCATGCCACACCTCCTCATGTGTGTCCTCCTGGTGGCTGTCTTCTTCGTCAACCCTCTCTACTTCACCGGTCACCACTCCCACATCATCGAGGCCACACCCCTGGAGGCATGAGGACACTCAGCAGTGTTCCCAACAGCCTTCCAGCAGAGGAGTACGTGACTCGAGTGTTCTGGTGGGGCATGGTGATGGATTGGTGAGGTTGCTGGTGGCCGCTGTCTGCTTCGGCTGGCTTCACATCCGCTCGGTGGCTCAGTTTGGGCCCTCTTCCCCGAGGGCATCAAGTTCTGGAGGTTCTGGAAACAAGCCAGCAAGATCTTCACAAGGTCTGTGTGAGAGAACGCGAGGAGACCTTTTAAATCAGTGGAACCTTGTGCCCACTTTAAAACACCTGTTTTTGCGTTGATGGTTCATGGGGTCTGTCTTCCCTGACAGGGAGAGTATGGTGCGTGTCGAGATAGTGTGGAGTTGGCTCTATCTGTCATCAATCGTCCAGTCCCCACCTCCTCTTTCTCTCTGGCCCTGGGTCTACTCTGGGCCTCTCTCTCCCACCTCATCTTCCAGGTCAACACTATTGCCTGCCACACTAGCTAGGTGGATTCTGAACCCTGCTATATTACACTGGTTTACTTCGTTGGAAACTTTTTCTGTCATTTGTGTTTGAAAACAAGACGACCTTCAGGAAAAAATTCTTTTCGCAAGTTAATTTGATGCTGTTCTTGACACCATTGTAGGTGGGTCTGGGAAAGCTAGGCGTCTACCTGGCCTCTCTTCTGGAGTCAAAGATTCCAGTGGGTGGGGCTTCGGCAGCGGGGAAGAAACATGGATTCCGTGTTACTAGCAGTGAAGTGGCTCAGGCCTACCATCTTCTGCACCAAGTCAACATGACCGGTTAGTATCCTCTCTCTCTTTTTCACAAGACCATGCATAAGGGTTTGGAAACTGTTAACTTAAATGGAATTATTTGCTGTGCCCCATCGTTTAGTTCCATCTTCGTGTCTAAATTTATCTCTTACATACTGACATTTCCCTTTAACTCCTTAGCTCCTGGCACTGGAAGTCATCTGAGCGGACTAGGGCTCTACCTTGCTGTGAATGCTCTCAACTTTGCGGAGGCTGATCGTCCGAAGAAGCGACTCCCAGGTCCAGTCGTCTCTGAGATATACTGCTCTCTCGGTCTCCAGAGCTCCCTCTCACTCCCCCACCTCTCCTCCCTGGCCTTGGTCAGCACTGCTCTCAATTCCATTTCACTGCAAAGCCAATTTTGCATGCGAATTTCTGGTCTCAATCTGCAAAAAGTTTGCTTTCAGTCGGGTTATCCTTTCTATTTGTGAAATTATTTCCAATCTGAAATTTTTAGACCTTGTGGAAATTTTGACTCTCTCTCGCTCTCTCCACTCCACTCACACATGCAGTGGTACTACCTGTTCCGGTCTCGTAACATGGACCCTCTCAGCTGCACGCCCAGCTGAAATGGACAACCACTCCTCGAGTGAAAGAGTTTCCTTCTGAACGGGAGGGTGGGAGGCGGAAGTCAGCCTCGGCTCTCGTCTCTACCAGGGCCCTGCAGGTCAGACACTCACTACTTGTGGACACTCCCACTGAACAGGAGTGGGAAAATGTTGAGGTTGTGCATATAAGGGAGCATTTGCTGGGGAAGAGTGTTGGCGAACTGTTCTGCATGGGAGTTCGATTGCACGGTAGTAATGTCATGTACAGTTTTTTTCCCCTTTTCTACAGCTCTCTCACTGTATTCTGTAACCCGTGCATTCTGCAGGAGCTGCTGTGTGAATCCTTCACACACTCTGCTACTGCCTCCAGTCCCTCCCTCCTCCCCTCCCACCCAGCCATCCACTGACGCCACTCGCGAGCAGTTCAAATACATCTGAGTCTCACCAAAGAGCCACCTCCAGTTCTCCTGGCGGTCACGCAGCCCAAGCTCCTGCGTTTCAGGTCCGTACAGACTCATGTGATTGTCACATGATTTTGGGAACTGTTCATGTGATTGTCACGTGATGATTACAGGGTTTGCAGTAATCCAGTGGTGGGCGTCGCTGGGACTAGTTGCAGGTCACTGGACTGCAGGAGATGATCAAGAAGCGGAGGCTTACTACCCAACCATTGAGGGAATGCTCGGGGACAGGTCTGTAGTAATAATGGACGCTTTCTTCTGTTCCATTGGTGTCCAGATTAAAGGGGGTTTCACTGTATATCTCTGTATTGTTCCACAGCACTCCGGTACCTACTGCACTCCACCTGGCTTTCAAGGCTCTCCGCCTTCACAAACGTCCCCATGGAAACCAGGCCACGCCCACCGAGACCCTCCTACATCTGTGCGGAGTGACGAGCAACGCCCTCCAGACGTGCGTGACTGATGTCCTCCAAGATCACTCTGACTCTGTGGAGAACGAGCTGCACCAGCTGGGTTTACTTCTGGCCTGCGACTGGCTCCTGGAACTGAGGATAGCCCTGTGGGAGGGAGACGGGGGGAAGGAGGTGGGGGTGGGGAGAGAGATCACCCCAGGTTTCTATCAAGACCTTGACACCCTAGCAAGACTTGTTTCTCTCCTTCCTTCTGCCCTACCCCGAGTAAGGCCACTTTTTGCACTATTTTGAGTGCTCATAGTGTTGATTTTTGCTCTGTAGCTGAGGCTGTACAAAGGATGCTACCAACTGATGGCAGGGGCTAACCCAATGCAGGCTCAAAACATGCTCAACAGTACTGGACGAGCCTCTCTCTTGCGTCGTAGGGGACTGGACAAGGTTAGTCTTGCTATAGTACGCAAGTATTAGACTATTTATTATACTACTTGGCATTGACTGTTTCTTTCAGGAATGGAAGAAAGTCAGCAGTACAGCGATGTTGAGTCACGAGCAAGCCATGGCACAGCTGTTGGCTTACAAACACCTCCCCACCATCTCTTGACCCTACCTCCTCCAGAGTGCCACGCCCCCTGCCCACACCCCAATAAACACTTCTAGCAAACACAGGACTGAAATTTGAGGCTGAACTATGAATGTATAAGTACCTATATACATGTGTAGCTGACCCCTTCATAGCATTATGTGTGAACTGCTCATTTTGTACAATAGTAATATTACACATGCAGCATTTACAATTATATCGCTGCATCGAGAAACAAACACACAAAATGGTGAAAAGGACCGGGAGATGATATTATGCTATAGGTCGGTTTCCTTGAAGCCCAGCTCCTGAAAGAAGTCTCTGTTACGAGGATGTGCACTCAGTCTGCTGCCTGGGGTGGAGCAACCGCTGGTCTGTAGTGACATGCCCTTGGGGGTGGGCGGACTGAAACACTTTATGTCACTTATCCTCCGATTGCCACTTAGAGGAGGGGCAGAGACCCGTTTGAGGTAAATTGGTCCGGCATCAACTTATATCCCACTGTCATTACTGTACTTCTGGCGGAGCTCACACCTTTTCGCCAACTATCACATTCTCTCCTCCGTCCTCTCCCTCCTCTTCCACACTCCCCTCACTCTCCCTCTCTGCACTCCCCTCCCCTCCCTCTCGGTCTCCCCTCGATGACATCAACAGACTTTCGTCAATACTCTTTGGTCTTGGCTTTCCTCCCGGAGGAGAACCCAGTAGGCGGTCCATCCTCCCCCTCATGTATGCCTCCCTCTCGCGGCTGATCTCCTCAATTGTCGGACTCAGCATGTTTGTGTACTTGTGCCCCTCCATGGTCTCTCTGCAGTCGGTGCAGAGACTGGAGATACTCTGAGAGCTCTCTCTCCACAGGGACCCCAGTCCTGGCTCCAGCTCCATCTTACACTCGCTGCACATGCTCTGTAGGCTCTCTGCCAGTTTCCTTGCAAACGCTATGGCGCGGGCTCCGCTGGCCAACTGGTAAAATTCGGACGAAGTCCCCTCAGAGGAGACTTTGACACCGCTGTCGTTGCTGTGTAGTCGCTGCGACCAACGCCGCCCTCCACGCCTACCCACGGTGCCCGACTCATCACAAGTTGAGAGGAGATCCAGAGATGAACGGGAGAGATACTCGGGCATCTGTGAGCAATCGTCGCAGAAGATCTTTGTCGGATCGGAGCTGAGGACTCTGGTGGTGGTGAAAGAATTCCCACAGCTGTGGCAGGTGTTGAGTGGACCGTCAATTGAGGAATCTAGCAAATCTTCACAAGAGCAGAGTGTCGAATCAATGGTTGAGTCCCTATTAGGTTGACCACTGACTTCCATGTTGTAGTAGTGCTGATGGAGAAAGAAGGGAACCTTATACGGTAACACTGAGTAAAGGAAAGAAGCCTAGCTCACTCTGTTGAGAGCTGGTTCATCAGCTGTCAGGATCTCTTCCAGTTGCTTGACCAGGTCACTGAATGTCGGTCTCTCCACTGAGCTCCACTGCCAACACTTCAGCATTACATCATAGCTGTGATATGAACGTATATTACATCATTGTGTTGTTTGTCACATGTGCACGACTATGGGTGTTTCATTTGGACTGGGCAGGATTGAGGGCGTGGCATTCGGTAACCATCTTCTAAATCTCTCAGCATAGTTTCTGCTGACTTGCCGGGGTAGGGAGTCGACCTGAGAGCGAAGGTGAAAACAGATCTATACAACATGATTGGCTACTGAAACTCACCAAGTGTAAGGACTCCCATAGAACAATGCCAAACGACCACCTGGCCAACATTTTGTTCAGAACACCAGTGACAATACAGCCAAGAAGTCAACAATCATGCAAACACACGCACACAAAACTGCGTAACTCACACGTCGCTCTGGGCAGTGTACACGTGGTCAATGATGCTCTCTGAGCCAGCCATGACGGTACCCTACCCTGCAATGGAGAGTGTGGAGAATTGTACAGCAGACAGAGCACATAAAAACATCTAGCACTTGATCCAGTTTGACAACATTAAACTTGTCGAGCTAGCACTCTAATGTATAACGGCTTTCTCACACCCTCCCAATTCTTGAGAGACCAGTCCGGTGTTGTCATATACAGTGAATGGGTATGGAGGATATAAGCATCTATTGAAGCTACTTATACCACATCAACTTCTTTTGTTCGGACTAGATATGACTAGTATGGTACATCAAGACATGGTAGATTCCGGCTTTGGTGAAGGAGTATAGGGTCCCTTTCCTCACCCACCACACAAACCCATGCCAACAGTGATACTGAATACGTATTACTCTAACCAATAATGAGCAGCTGGGAACAAAACAACAGCAACACTAGCACAATGCCAGCAGACTACCCCAGAGGGGCGGTATTAGACAGATTCATACACGTTCTCTTGCAGCCCGAAATCTGCTACTCAGAACATTGTCCTCCTGTGATTAGAACATTGCGAGCCGCAGATCGCGATGATACACTGAAGAAAGAAAGGTGTGTGACATCTCAACGTTTTACCGACTCCATTAATCGAGAACTAGCGACAGACAAGGGAATGTCGAGAAGTCTATTCATATCACCTTACGTCTTTGAGTGAGAATGTCATGACGGTAGCTACCTGAGCTGCCATGTGTCCACACAGTGACGGCGGTCAGTGCGAGGTCTGGTCGTTCCTCTTGGACCGGAGGTATTCAGTAAGTTCCCATTGCAGCAGATACTCCACTAATGCACATGGAGCATTCCTGAGAAGATGAGAAAGATAGACACAGAGAGAGAGAGAAGTTGGTCTGTAAAAACCCAGGCCCGATTCTGAGAACAGGTTGCTTACGTCATGCAATTCCTCCAGATAACTATAGTACGATCAGATGTCACACTAGCTAGTATATTTGTTACACTATTCGTGGCTCCACGGACTCAAACCATCTATCATGTTAGGTATCAGCCTAGCAGGAAAGTCATCTGAGCAATGTTTTAGGTTCCAGTCTATGTTGCATGATGACTGACCATTGTTGACGGCGCAGCTCCTAGGAGACAGACAATGTTCGGGTGGGGTCCGACATGTTTTAACACTTTCAGCTCTGAAATGAGGTCCTTCTCTCATCGTCTGGGCCGCATTGTCTGCGGGGAGACACAGGACCCCTCTTATAGGAACCCCTGATATGAGGACACCTCCCTATCCTAGCTTTCAACGAGAAAACAACTTCATTGCTGTAATTTAACAGAAACTTTGCTAACTATGACACTAGTTCTATCTATGTTCAATTGGTGTCCGGATTAGAGGTGGTTCCTTATGATACCGCTGGTGAAATCTGTCTGAGCCAGGCCAGCCCTACTATATCATGATATGTTATGTTGGAGGATTGCACGGAATGAAAATGTGAAGCTCCTCTGACAGTAGCTAAGCTTCCCAACGCAGCTGGGTTGGGCTATGTATGTAGACTCCCTACAACATGAGGAGTTATATACTAATATCTTACCTTTCACGCATTTCACTGCCACGACAGTAGCAGGTTCTCCAGGCTGGAGACTGTGGGCCAGAGCTTTTTTGACGACTCCCAAATGCCCACGAACCCAACTCTTCCAGAACTCTAGCTTCTCATAGAGGAAACAGCCAAGGAGACTGCTGAGGCTAGATATACACTGCACCAGAGGAAATATATGTATGACACACCACGTGCAAGAGAAGTTGGCATCAGAACAGCTTTAGAGGATAGACATAAGAGAGAGAGTGGTGGATATTATATACCTTTGCATTTGTCTTGAGACTCCACCCCATTGTGAGTAAACTGATGACCGACTGAGTTACCATAGAGATGCAGTGAGTGTCGTGGTGACGTGGAATTGATGAAAGGACGGTTGCCAGACTCGGCTCAGCTGCGAAAGAGTCATCATTTGCCGGGAGTTTGTACATTCTCCTTGATGCTCGTCTTCCTTCGTCTCCATCCAAACACCAGTACGCAAAAATACTCCAGACTATTAGGATTACTACCACCACTAATATATACAACAGCTGCCCCTGGCTATTATGGTGGGAAATGTATGTCTCACCGCCATTACTGGGAGTGGGGGAGAAGCTGTTTGAAAATTGAAATGAAAACAACTGAAATGGTGGAGACGAAGTGGTGGTATAGGAGTAGGATGGCTGAGAACTTCTGTTGTAGCTGTAACGGATATGTCAACACCGTCAGGATGTGGCAAAGAAGTGGAGCTGGTACTATGAATTCACTGGTAGATGAAGTACAGGTGAACTAGACGAGACCAGGTAGTGATGAGGTGGAGTTTGGCAATCTGTGGCATGGTGGTGCGGTTCTCGTGAATGGTAAAATTCACACTGAGGACTGGTTCCCAAGGACTGGACCACAGTACACAGCTGAATGAAAAACGACCATTGTATTCTGCCTCTTTGTCACGCTTCACACCAGAAGCTCATCAACGGAAATGACTCTCACCACCAACAACTGACTCCACGTTCAGTGCTATCACATTGCTAGTGGACTCAGCCTCCAGTCTCTGTATTGTATTGTGGTGTGGAAACAGTAGGCTAGTGTTGGTGCTGTTTGAAGCAGACGTGAGAGAGGCACAAACTGGAACTTGACTGCTGCGATTACTTAGAACCAAATCAGCGGTGTTGACACTGGAAGAGGATCCTCAACGGGTGATAATTGAAGGTAATTACAGGGCTATTTGTAGCAAGTGTGTTAGTCATTGAACCAACCTTTGATTTCATGTACACTATGTTTACAGGGTTGCTGGTGACTGAGGAGGGCACAGACAAACTGTGCCTGGTCTTGTGGGATCCACAATAACTTCACTGCCAACCTATTGAGAGACCGCCGTGTCAATTCAGTCCAGCCACTGGCACACGGTGGCAATGAGACTTTTGTACCAGGACTGTCGATAAACTCTGTGTGAATTCCAGTGCCTCCATCTAAGCACAGGTGAAACATTTTGTGATTAAAAGAGCAACTAAGAATGTCTTCTGCAGCACTATAATATATCCTATAAAGAAATTACTAATACGTATATACCTGCAGGAAGGAGGTGTAGTTCTGTTGCTGCCGAGCAGTGGGTCTCTAGACCATCCGAACCACCGCACAACTCGTACTGAAGAAATGTGAAATCGTTGACGCAGCGACAACGGTAGAGTCCGTAGTCGGCGACGCTGAAGTTCGCTATCCGCAAAATCGCTTCTCCGGCGGTAAAGTCATTGATCAAGTCCCTCCCGTTGTACTCGGACCAGTCTCTCGCGCCTCCTTCGCTCCACATCAGCTTGCTTCCTCTGGTGATGACACCATTTGTCCACTGATCCAGCGAGGAGTCGTTGACTCTGCATCTCAGTTCTAGCGTATCTCCCAACGCGGGAACCAGCGGTTCCGTGGATACTTCAATGCTGTAGCCTAGACCAGGCTCGCCTGACGACACACAACAGAATGGAGTACTTTTCACTGATTTGTAGTTGAAAACTCACCACACGAGAGGCAGAAGGTGGAGACTGAGTATCGATACTACTGCGAATAGCTGCCACGGTTCATTTCTTGTAGCCTCTGTGCCAGGTGTAAGCTCCGCACATGCACCTCTCCTGCATGTTCTCACTTCGGAGAAACGGAAAAGAATCCTCGTTATGTTGTGCGTCCATGCAATGCGAAACCTTTTCACGCGAACGAACCCTTTCGCGGCATCCTGTGGTTAATATCCGCGCATGCGCAAATGTACAAACAACCCGCCAAAATTTCAGTCTGTCAGTCTCTCCCAATCTCACTCTCTCCTTTGCTTTGGCTAGTATGGGGCTGCTCCTTTGGCCAACAACTCAGCTCCCAGCTCTTCCCCAGCTGCTCTCCCTGACTGAGCCAGAATGCCACACTTTTCTCTGCATAGCAGTGGGGAGTCTGACACCAGCGGAGTCTCTTGATCATTCTGATCCATTTAGAGAGAAGACTGCTCCCTCCAGGAACAGCTCACTGTCTCTCACCTCGGAGAGACACAACAGGCACGCTGCATCCTCCCTGAGACTATGGAGAGCTACGCTCGGCTGCGCAACAGAGAACGGACTCCATGTCATTCAGTTGTCCAGGAGAGCGTAGTGGAGTCGTCACTGGCTCTGGTCTCCACTGCCAGTGCTCCCTGCCCAACTGCATACATCACTCGGAGGAGTCCAGCTCCTGGTCGATTCTGTCAGCCAGCGAGTCTCTCCAGTCCGGCTGTGGCAAGACCAGGGCATCGTACTCACCACTCTCATCCAGCTTCTTCATTCGAGTGTTGAGGTTCCACGGACAGACTTGAAGACCAGGTCCGGGCAGATTCTCTTCAACTGTGCTATCCTTCGCAGAGACGAGGTGCCCACGACACTTCCACTGGGGAGCTCTTTGCAGTCTCTTCCCCTTGTGTTTGGAGTGGAGTACAACCGCATCCGTCGACTTGTCTCGTTTGAATATCACCGCGACTTTCATCTCTGGGGCAATGGTGGTCGGTAGATCCTTGAGAGAGTGAACTATGAGGTCGATCTGACCTCCAGCGAGGGCCGTCTCCAGTTCTTTAGTAAAGAGATTGGTCTGTCCGATCGCCGGAAGCGGCTTGTCCAGAATCTTGTCTCCGATGGTCTCATGGTGGTGATCGGACCTCGAGCTCTGGGTGGAGTTTCTTCAGGGCCGCGACGATCGTCTCGCTCTGTATCATTGCCAGTTCGCTGGACCGCGAGCCCACTCGTATCAGACGGGCACCTGCATAGCATCAATGATAATATTTAACGTTAATCCAACTGCAGTAGAAGCTAACCAGCAGTAGATTCTGGTCCGTTTCTATCTAGCCATCTTCTCTTCTACCAAAAGGCGTGAGACATGCGCATGTGACGTTTCCCTGAAACAAACGGAAGTATTTGACGTCACGCTAATTATGACCATAAAATACGCCCCTTATTATGCAAAGCCCCAAATAAAAATGCCAATATCTTGATCTGGAGGAGACAATTTTGAGTTAGGAAAGGTTCTGTGAGCAGACTACGCCATGAGTACGAGCGTGCAGGCATCAGACCGCAAGGCAAGTTGCTTGGTGTTTTGCACCGGATAGTTTACGTGTCTGGTTCGTGTAGTGGGATGTTTCTCCTGGGATTCTATCGTTTTGCGACACTACGGCACCTCTGTTGCCGGGGAGAGAGAGAGGGTAGTAGCGGATGGGTACTCTCCTTCTCCTCCATCTCCTGTGTGTGTGGTGCGCTGGCATGAGAACGACGGGCCTAGTATTAGAGCTCATTTGGGGGTGTTCGCTAGCTCCCCGCATGCAAGCAGCTAGTAGCTAAGTGTAGCAATGTCAACGTGTTCTATAGGGGAGCCTGTTCGCAGTCGATGGCTTTTTTAACACACCAGTAAAAGAATATTCTCCCCACAATGGGCCTCCTGGTTCGTAGAGAGATCTATTGAGAGAGAACTAGCAGAACGTGAATAGTTTATGGATAGTTGAGGCTACTGTGGCCGTGTTTGGTCTAGTGTGGTGTTGTCGTGCCCACCCTGCGCTGTCTCTCTCTCTCCTCTGCCTAATCTGGAAAACAGGGTGGGTCTGCATGACATGGAAGTGACCGCCACAGGCTTCTTTCAGACTTATCCTGAACCCCTGGCTTCTGGGGGGCAAGAGGATGTGTCCTTAGTTAGCTACAGTTGTTCCTCCTTGGCTCTAACTGGGTTCATGGTTTATCCAGTATTGCCTCTTGTGGGAAGAAACCTCACCCTTTACCTTCAGCTTAGGGTCATCCTGGTATCCTGTACATACACTATCCAGGGGCACTGGCAAACTCATTGTGATGCAACACTAGTTGGTGTAATGTGACTCTGTGGTGTAATGTGGTGTCCGATATTTCTGTTTCAAACAACTGGTACCGTAGACTGAGGTCGATCTCTTCTGTGTAGTCCCAATGCTCCCTCTGTGTTTTGGTGTGTATCTGACCGTGTCTGTACAAACTGGCTGGCTGCATTCCAGCACCGTAGCTGTGCAGCCCCCTACTAGCTGGTGTTCTGGGACATTTGGTGCATCCCTCTGTCATGTCAATTGAGGTGTGGGTAGGGCACTGAATGACCGTAGCTAATTGCACATACAAGTCTCTCCATATACTACAAAACGGGATACAGTTCACACCATTTCATCAGTGCTATACAGGGATCATACCTGTCTAGGCAAGCTCTAGCCAAGCTTGCTCGATGTACCACGTCATCTTATATTGAGTACTACTGTTCTTAGTAATTATGCAATTATTTCTCGTGACCTGTAAGTCAGGTTAGTATTTGGCAAGGCCAGTGACAGAGATATGAGATGTAGAGGAAGTTTAGTGCCACCTGGAAATGAAATAAGATATTACCTGCTGGCACCAATCTTAGTGGGGGAAGTTTGTTAGTTTTAAATCAACATCCTGCGTCTCCTTTGATGTTGGTGGATAGTTGTGATCAATTTCTACAGGAGCGGCAGTTTACGGGGACTTCGAATGCCTCCATGAGGACTAATCTCAACGACAAGTTGACCAAGCTGCACGTCAAGCATCAGGCTGAAATAGACTTTCTTGAAGACATGAGGTAAGACCTGTACATGTGTACCATACGGTTCACCTTCTTCACAAAATCATACACTTCCGTAGAGAATGCACATATATAATTGGATACTCTGTACTCCATAACAATATGCTTGGTGGTACGGTTATAAGAGTTGGCCTAATAAAACAATTATGGCAAAGTGCATTCTTTGACGACACTACAAATTATATAATGATACAGCTCATTCCTAGATCCATAATGAAACTATAGTTTGATCATCAGTCCTGGCATGTCGTTTTTCTGGTAATACTCGACTGTTTCATTCATTAACCATTCGTCTATTTGGCAGCTTGTCGTGGTGATGTAATGCACTAATGGACTCCCAGATCTGTATACACTCCTCACACTTCATTTCTCTAAAACTAACCATTAGCTTTGAAAGAATCAACATTTGGCTAGAATCACAATGGTTAGCAAGATCAACTAAATGGTTCCTTAGTTTTCATAGCGTTAAACCCACTACCATGCCCATCACTTTGAGTAGCTTTTGAGAGTCCCAGTAACCAGTTACAACACTAAGTCTCAAGTGTATAATTATGTAATGTCTCTGCGACAAACAGGAGTTTCTCGAAGCAGAGGTCTACCATAGAGAGAGAGTACTCTCAGAACCTCCTGAGACTGGTCCAGCAGTTCCTCGCCAAGAGAGACATCAAGGACCCTCCCGGTATCTCCTCCATGGACCGCTCCGAAAACAGGTCTGTCCAGTTTGACGGAACTATAGAAACAGGTCTGTCCAGTTGGACAGGGTAGTTTGGGGAGCATCTGTTTTTGTATATTTTCTATGTGGTACTAATGTGGGAGGAAACTGTGAGGGAAATGTGAGGGGGGAATGCTGCGATTTGTAGTAAATTAGAGTTTTACTTTATTTGGAGGTTCAATGGAGAGAAAGTTGTGTGAGTGGACTGTGAGTGAACTGGGTGTATATTTTACTGCAGAAGTCTACAATTGCATTTGACTACCTTGACTTTCACGATGTCTGTTATTTTGAGGTTTATAGTAGTTTGTGCTACTAACGTAATGTGGATGTATTATGGTGTGTGTTACTGCAGAGGGCTGATGGAGATATGGAAGATGCTGCTGCAGAAGACGGAGGAGGCCGCGAGGGCCAGAATGAACGTCTCGGAGATGCTCCTCTCTCAGGTCTCAGAGGAGATGAGGCAGCAGAAGAGGATCAAAGAACAGAGCTTTAAGAGAGTGGGTGGAGGGAGGGGAGGAGGGAGGGAGAGGGGAGAATGTGACAGGGGAACCCTTTAATCTGGACACCAGTGGGACAGAATTCGTATTAGTGCATGGAAGAAATGTATTTGTGGAAAAGGTAGAGAGGTGTCCTTGTATCAGGGGTGTCCTTAGAGAGGGGTTCCACTGCATTGCAGACAGTCAAAACGGTTTTCTCACTGTAACATAATGTGTGTGTGGGCAAGAAATAGTGTTTAGTGGGTAGACACGTGTATATGGGACTAGTAACTGGCATCAATAGAGAGCTAGCCTGTTCTTGAACAGAGTACACTGTCTCCACCATTCACCATTCCGTGGAGGGTACAGATAGAGAGCTATACATTACCTCTCATGTGACTGGCATTAGAGACAAGGGTTTAGTCACCTATTATTAACATCCCTGCCTTCACTTCCTGCACCCTTGCCCTCTATACTACATCGATACTCACTAACTGGACCTTTATAATTGCAGTATTGTATGTTTGGCTGGGTGTGATACATGTGTGTTGACACTGCCATATGTGGGACAGACAATTTCCCACTGCACCATCTGTTTGTCCCAAATTCCCTCGTCCTATGGCATCTGAAGCTGTACTTGATCATGATGTAATCACTAATGATGTAATCTTTCCCAACACACACACACAGCTGATAGAGTCGGCACAAAAGATGAACAGTGAGATCCTGGAGTCTGTGAAGGAGCTGGTCACAGTAAGTTTGCCGTCTATCTCTCTCTCTCTCTCTCTCTCTCTCTCAGAGTTTATTACCAACTCAACAAAACAACGACCTCTCACTCCTCCAGCCCTTTCACCTAAACACAGTCTCTGTTTGTAGGGAAACAAATGATTCTATAGCTTGTTTTGCCAACCTGCCCCTGTAGCTTAGCTCCATGTGCAAACCCAGCTGCCCTGTTTACCAAACTTTCATTCAACCTCTCATTCATTCTGTGTCGGCCTCAATTCGTTCTCTTATCTCCCCTCTTTCTCTCAATTTGTCGTCCATTCAAACCTAGTTCTCTCTCTCTCTCTCCATTTCCTCAGTGTAAGAAAACGTATGGCGACCATGCAAAGGTGTGTGCCGATGCACGTCAGAAGTTCACGGAGGCCGAGACAAGGTTTGAACACCCTCCTGGCTCCGGCTAATGTATATATACGTACTTTCGAGATTTCACAAAGTTTGTGAAATTCGTGAAATTTACCGTCTTTCCTCTCCTCCCTGCTTCTCTCTAAACAGGATTCGAAAGGGCGACAGAAAGCTGTTCGAATCGACGCAGTCTCTGGAAAAGACTTACAACAAGTTTGCAGAGAGACTGAAGCAGTGTCAGATGAAGACGACGGTCGCCAGAAACGACTATCTGCTTGCCATCACCACGACCAATGCTCACCTCTATAAACACGGCTCAGAAGACCTTCCCGCCCTCATGAGGGTAATGATAAGATGTGTGTGACAGTGTTTTCACCAGATAATTTTCGCCGGGGACCTTATGGGGAAGAATGTGATGTTTTGCCTGGCATATAACCAGCGTGCCTCTTAACAGATTGGGTTGATTTTGTCAGTGCTAACCTCTCACCTCTAACTGTGTGTGTGTGTTGTGCACAGGCAATGGATGGCGAGATGTACGAAAAATCTCGCCACGTCTACATGCTCTATGCCCAGATCGAGGCCGACGCTGCCAACCTGGTCAAGGCCCAATTTGAAGACCTCCGAGAACAGTCCTACATGGTGAGTCACATGATCATCACATGATCCCGGGCATACAGTCACATGATCATCACATGATCCCAGTATGCATTCACATGATCCCAGCATGATCATCACATGGTCCGGGCATACAGTCACATGATCGTCACATGACCTCAGGTGAACAGAGACTATGTGGTGGAGTGTTTCTTCCACAAGAACCCAGTCCTCAGAGACAGAGTGGAGTACAGATTTGAAGCTCACGACAAAGACTCCGTGATTTCGCTGAGCAAAGATCACGGGGCGGAGATATATCTGGAGAAAGATGCTCGGAAGTGGGCGATGCGGCTGGCGAAACACCAGGAGAGCATTGAAGTATTCCAGAAACAAATCAAGGGTGTCAAATCAGTCACTTCGGCCTACACCAAGGTCAGTGAGTACCTGAGGACTGTGTGTATGTACATCTGGAGTATTGGAAGCCAAGATAAACATAGTCGTATGCAATGACCAAGCTTCAGAGCATGCACAGTGTGTCAGTTTCAGGAGTGAGTGCTCTGAGTTACACATGTAGAGCGTGTGAAGGTGAGTGGTGGAGTGGTGGAGTCAGTGTCCACATTGTGCTGGCAGTGTTCGCACTAAAACTGCCCCACAGTTCCTCTATAGCCTGCGCATGAATCACAGAGTGTCAATGGAGGACAAGTGAAAGCCAAACGCAGTACATTACACAGGTTGTAAGCTATAGACATTTACCTGCGCTACAGCTAGTAAATGTAAGCTAGAGACATTTACCTGTGCTACAGCTAGTAAATGTAAGCTATAGACATTTACCTGTGCTACAGCTAGTAAATGTAAGCTAGAGACATTTACCTGTGCTACAGCTAGTAAATGTAAGCTAGAGACATTTACCTGTGCTACAGCTAGTAAATGTAAGCTATAGACATTTACCTGTGCTACAGCTAGTAAATGTAAGCTAGAGACAGTGGAACAGCTAGTAAATCTATTATTCTCATGTCCTCCTCCAGAACCCAGAATTTGGTACGAGTGAAGCGTTTTCGGAGGCGCAGCAGAAGATAGCTGAGATGGAGGAGAGCATCAGAGAGGTGGCTGTGAAGGTCACCAGAGCCGAGGCCAGACTGGCAGCTCTGCGAGAGGTGGGGATCGACGTGGGTCGATGGATCGAGAAGGCACAGGAGAAAGTGAGGGGAGAGCGACCCACCTCTGATATATCAGGTCAGTTGGACCTACTCTCCTAGTATTATACTGCCACGTTAATATCTATGGTTGGGTCATCCCTAGAATGCAATGAAACCCAGATGCTTGTGTACGTATGTATGTTGAGAATTTGAAGGTGAAAGTGTAATTTATCTTCGATGTGTGGTTAGCCTTTTCAGTAGTAAGAGTGTAGCAATGCCTTTCCCTCCTGTCATTAAAGGGGTAACATCTAATTATTGGACCCCCTCTAAGAATGATACATTCACTGTATACCATTAGTTCTAAACTAGCTCCCTCTGCCTACAGCTGGGGACCGGCCAGTGTCCAGTCTGCTGTCGGTGACTCAGGACCTCGGAGCCTCCGAGGAGTGGCTGGAGACGTCGTCCATGAGTTCTCGCTCGGGGTTCGAGGACGGAATGAGTATTGGGTCTGCTCGCAGCGAGGCCGGCCCTAAACACTGCGTCGCTCTCTACGACTACACAGTGAGATATGGAGGAAATAGGAAGGAAAAGAGAGGGAAATAAGTTTGGTTTTGTGTGTAACCAGTTCCTGGCTAATACATGAACCTTGTGTTTTGTGCCATATTCTATCGTAAGAGGTACAGTTTAGGGATTTCACAGTTTTTTCCCAGCATTTTGCCCATATATTTACACATACCAGTCTTTGTGGTGAGGGGTTTGGTTTTAGGCATGCCACAGTTTCCTGCATGCCCATACATACACTAACATTATCAGTGGTGGTGGTGTGGTGTGCCCTCACAGGCCCAGAGACCAGATGAACTGTCCATCAAAACAGACGAGGAGCTGGAGGTATTGGAATGGGACGACGGAGATGGGTGGAGCAAGGGGCGGAACCAGAGTGGGTTGGAGGGGTACTTCCCACAGACCTACGTCCGTGCTGTGTCTCCCTCCTCCTCACCTCGCTCGTCCTCCATCCAGCAGGTCCAGCTGATGATTAACTCTCATCTCACTGGCCCGCTCCAAGACCTGGGGTCAGAGGTCAGTCGTACATACATGATTGAAATTAATTTTAAGAGGGTCCATGGACAAAAACAGTTAGGAGTCCCAAGGACCCGGCAGTAGCAAGACACTATAATACACAAGGCCTTCTAATACAAGCTGATGTACAAGCTACAGTACTAACATACGTTTACTCTGTGTATTACGTTGTATACACCAACTCAGAGTCTGCACCAGGACGTGGAGATCCTCAATGGGACAGGTCTCAGTAATGGAGACACCGACACCCTTACCCACATCCCTTCCACAAACAGAGAAGGTCAGCCCAAACACGATCCACCATTCTACATCTGTAATGAAGGGTAAAAGCCATATACCGTGTAGCAACCTTAATGGTATGATGATCCATGGATGAAAAAGCAGTGTTGCATAATGCATGGATCAATCATAGGAGCTGCATGAGACTTAATGAATCCAGTTCTCGTGATAGAGAAAGGCACAAGGTCTCCAGGTCCGAATGCTGCACATCTCTCCCTCCAGTTACAGGAGTCACCATGTTGAGGGCACTCTACGAGTACACAGGTGACGACGAGGATGAACTGACGTTCCCCGAGGGGGCGGAGCTTGAGCTGATCAACACGGACGAGGGTGTGGACGACGGGTTCTGGAGGGGGAGGTACCAGGGGAGAGAGGGAATGTTCCCTGCTGTAGTGGTTGAGATCATATCCAATGGAATGGTGAGCTGGTGTTTGTGTTGTTTACTTGTGGCATAAAAAACCATGAATAACGTTCCTTTATACGTCATAGACAATGTTTTATGAACAGAAAATTATTAGCTACTGTTTGGATGGATTTTTGCAATGCTCAATATTGCAGTTTTGTGTGACGAAGTTGAAGATTATTTCTAACACAAAATCTTTTTCTCTTAGAATCACTCTTCATCGTTCTGTGAGTCTTTGACGCCAATTCTAGACTCCACCCTCGTCTCCGCCTCCCCATTTACCTCCCCCTCCCCCTCCTCCATGGGACCCTCACCAGTCACCCTCCACGACACCACACCCATTACAAGCTCCACCCATTACACCTTGTCCAAGCTCCACCCGACGTCGGTGCAGCTCAACTCGGCACCGAGGGTCAGAGTTCAGCCAAACACCCCAGAGGGCGAACTGGAAAGAACGTGGAGAAATGACAGTTTTGAAGAGTATGACGATGAGGAAGATGAAGCCTCATATGTGTAGTGGCCCCCACCCACCTTTACTAGGGATCAGTGAACATTTCACTAGTTGCAACGTCAGCGATTTTGTTTTGTTTGTGTGTGTACATCAGGTTTCTGTACATCTGCATTGTCGCACTTAATTTGTGTATGTTGACATTATTTTCACCAGATCATCACAGAGGTTCAGATTAATGTATAATGCATTATTATTATCACTCAGATTTTGTCAGTTTAAAATCATTTCTCTTATTGTTCACCTTTGTTCTGCATTGTACAAAGCTGTTCGGTTTCAAAGTTATAGTGATTCGTGCTTTAGCGCAGCCACTTTGTCGCAATTTCTTTACGAGTGCTCTCCAAGGTGCTATCGTGGTTGCATCGCATCCCCAAGGGCCTTTGGATTTCTATAAAAACTTGTCATTAGTTACATACAAAGCCTAAAATGTATCTACATAATAATATTATAGTTTCTACTAGCTTATAGTTCCATGGATCGGATCAGTTGCAGGTTCCAAATCGCACGTTTTGGGAATCGGTGTGGGTGAGGAGGTCGGTCGGGGCTCCGTTCTGTTCCAAATCTCTCACGCACCCGTCAAAGTTGAAGTACTCTGAAAAACTGGAGACTCTATCGGAGGGTGGAACTCCACCTAATAGGATACTTGCAGTGGTATCTAGCATGCTGAGAGGGCCAGGTGAGATCTCATGGCGACTGACTCCGTCCACTGTAAGAACACCCATAGTGCCATTGAGGGACACCTCCACACTGTGCCAATCTCCATCGTTGACGCTCACCGGCGTCGATATTACAGTGGTCGTCTGCCCGAGGTTGTAGGACAGAGAGAGTCTGCCAAACGAGAGGTGGACGGCTAGGAAGTCGACAGGGTCGTCGCCAGTTGCATCGCCAGGGAGACGATGGCTGTAGTAGACCACACCCACCAAGGACTGAGTGTTGAGAGAGAAGGAAATGGTCTGCGAGGTGGGGGAGAGGAAGGTAGGGAGCCGGAGGAATGACTGGCTGAAGAACTGAGCCGTGTCTCTGGTGCAGCCAAATTGGGCTCCGCCACTGAGCACCAGCTGAGAGGAATCGAGAGGTGCGGAGTTCAGGAGAATGTCTCTGACACAACCGGTGATGGGTGGATGATCAATGGTCCCTCCCAGCATGATGGAGGTGGGGGCTGGGGTTGTGCAGCCTGTGGTGTTCAGTAGCATGAGAGTAGACGGGGGTGCTCTATCTAGAGTAATAGAGACTGAAGTTGGGGAGCTGGTGAGAGTCACAGAGTGCCACTGAGAGGGGACTTCGAACGAAACTGGGCTCGATAACATCTGTGTCTGCCCGTCACAGTGGAGAACTGTCATGAGCAGTGTGTCACCATCCACACTGACAAATGTGAAGAATGTTGGCGAGGAGGTTGAGAAGATCCGACCAGTTGTGTTTGTGCTCTTGAAATCTAGGTCAACCGACGACTGCGATCCTAGGAGCTCTGGAAGACTTGCAGAGCCACTTCCCTCAAATGAGATCCTACTGTTGCGATACTGGCAGTACGGACCAGTGAAACCATAGGCACACGAGCAGAGGTGTTGCGCTGTGAACTGATCGTAGCAGGTCCCGCCGTTCTGACAATACCCGTCCCCAGCACTACATTGTAGTGTGCACTCTACTAGGGACGATAGGTCCACTTCCCCATCATACACTGCTGCCCCTCTCATTATTCCAATAAATAGGTCTCGGAGACCACCTCTGCCAATGGTTATGTTGAAATCTGTAGGCAGGTGGAGATTGGCAACGGGACGATTGAACATCATTCGGTTGTCGATGGCTAGAGAGATGGAAGAGGGAGAGAGAGAGATGGAAATGTGGTGCCAGCGTCTGAAACTGAGTGGGGTATTGGTAATAGTCAGCTCCTGTTCGCTCATTCCACTACCGGAGTAGTGGAGTTTGACCTCGCTGAATTCAGGGTCTGACACCAGACTAGTGAGCATAGTTGGGTCAGAGGTGTCAGTGAGAGAGAAGATAGTTCCAGCTGTTCCTTCTTCCTGCCACACCCAGCTCGAGAAATAAAGAGCACTGGACAAGAGAGAGTATTGGGTTGTGATGGCTGGAGATTCAGATGTGAATGCTACTGAATCAGTAGTCGAGAGGCTCTCAGAGAAGATGTCAGTGGCACCTTCCACTCCGCAGGATGTGAGTTTAGTAGTGACAGAGTCGGCAAACTGACAGAGTGGGCCCAACCAGCCAGTAGGGCAGGCGCACTCAAACCCAGTCTCAGAAATCGAGCAAGTACCTCCATTGAGGCAGGGATCATCGACGCAAAAGTCAAGCTGAGTCTGGCAGAGCGGGCCGGTGAACCCAGGTGTACAGAGACACTGGAAGCCACCGAGACTGTCCTCCAGGCAAGTAGCATCATTAAGGCAAGGCTGACTCGAGCACTGATCAAGTGGTGTGTCGCACAACAAGCCAGTTGTTCCAGGGGGACAGATACAAGTGAAGTGATCGATGCCGTGCATGCATGTAGCACTATCAGAGCAAGGACTGGAGAGACACTCGTCAATGTCTTGATCACAGAGTTCCCCCGTGTAGCCAGGATCACACTGGCAGGTGAAACCTGAATCAGTCGATGAGCATTCTCCGTTCCCACTGCAACGGATTACTGGGAGCAGAAGTCAATGGTATCGCTGCAGTTTGTCCAGTGAATCCCGGCCCACAGACAGGTAAATGAACCTGGACGATCGACACACGTGGCTCCGTTCTCACATACTTCATCCACACATTCGTTCATGTTCTGTTGACATTCTGGGCCAGTCCACCTGGCGACACTACGCAGTGAGAACCCTCCCACCTCATCATACAGGAGCCGTTGTGGCACAGGAATCAGGGAGCCTAGATAGACGAGTTGACTCTGCATGTGCGCGAGAACAGGAGGCCTCAGACAGTCAGCTGTAGCTTATGAGCTCCATCAGAACACGTCCTCGTTACCCCTGACATGACGAGATGATTCACAATCATCCACACACTCTGCCACCTCGCTGCCACTGACCCCGGGAGATCAGAGGCAGTTGCTTGACCAGCTGGGCTGGATCATCTATACACGACGTGCTCCGGTCTCTGCAGGGAGCTGAGGCACATGGGGACGACTAACTATTTCTCCATGATGCGCCCGTTGTACCCAGGCTGGCAGACCGTGACGACAACTGGCGGGGACGGAGCAGATCGACTGTATCAGTTGCGTCCCGATGCTGCACACTGGGCTGAGAGTCCTCCGAGCAGACGCTCTATGATTCTGCAACATCCCACGCTAAAGAAGTTGGCAGGGCAGCGGCAGACAAATTCTCGTGTGCGGTGCATATCGGCAGTGTGGTGTTGTGTGCAGTTCCCATTGTTGAGACGAGGGGTGGGGTGGTGCATTGTTCTGGCTACTGCCCTGTCAGCAGATAGCTTTGTGGGCACTCACCATCACAAATTCCGCTTCTCCTCTAACGACTCTGTGTGAACACACAGCTTAGCTATATTTCCCTGGGAAAGAAAGAGCATACACAGAAACGGAAGGGCGCTTTACCGGCCAGAATAGTCTCGTCAGAGAGGCTGCTGATCAAGGCGAATAGCGAGACGGAGCGGGTGTCGATTCTGATGGCCGATCTCATCTGCCCGTCACTCCAGTCCCATACAGTACCATACCACAGCCCACAGCTGAGGGTACTCTGAGTGATCAGGTAGTCTCACACCGACTGATACCTCATCTCTGAAACCAGAGATCACCTCAATTTCTGATATGGGGAAAAACACACTCTAGCCTATCATTCCTACTATCCACCCACATCAATGACTTGAGAACCTAATACTCACTTCATAAAACTCTAATCTCTAATTTCATCACAGTTCACATCACTTTTATCGAGTATTAGCCCAGTAAAGCTGCAGTGTATTGGCGGAGTGCTCACATTGTTCCTGTGATGTCAGCATTCTGCTGCAGAGTGGCGTCTGGTAAGGAGAACCAGAGATGTCAGTAGCAAGCTGTCTCCCAGCAGTGCCAGCACAAGCTGTCCACATGGACCTAGTATGCGTCACATCCCGACAGATCCAGCACAGAGAGTCCCCATATCTGATGTACATGATCCAACCTGAGACCGTCGAGTAACAGCAGTGATACTGCGTTCATGTCGTATTAGAGAGAGATCCCTTACCCGTGCATGGTAATTGATGAGTCTAAGACTCACTGAGATATCTAAGTAGAGGTGTTACTTCTCACTCCGTGACGATTGTTTTGTTTTTCTGCATGTTTTTTCTCTCTGACGTAGTGAGTCGCAGAGGAAGTGTCACGAGTCAGGTAGGGACGTTGCCAACTATCAGCGGTGCGTTGGTGCTCAGTTGGTAGTTTTGTTGACAATGGAGAGGTTCGGTGACCGTCAGGTCAGCGGATAGCAGTCTCCATCCAGTCCAGAGAGACTGTAAGGTGCTGTCACCCACTTGATAAAAATGTCTCCCCGACGCTATAAGGGTTCAACAGATGTTGATCTCAATGACCACATGTTTACATTAGCGCATAAGGGAGGAGATGAGACGAACAGATTATACTACGTTTTTTACCACAGCATCTACTTGTCTAATAGGCAGAAAAGCAGTGCGTTTTAGCCGAGCCCCAGACTCACAGTGATGTCTCTCCTGGGGAAGAAGAGAGACTATGGGATCGGCTAGTGACCCGAAGAGCGATTCCCGACAATGTCGACTCGTGTGTTCCAGAGGCTAGTACAAACAGCCAGTCGGTCCACATCTTCCTGGGTGGCTAGAGTTAGGATACCCGACTCTGTCATAACTCTGCAAGTCCGGTCGAATCTGACTGTGATTGTTGACTCTGGTCCCTGGACACCTTCCTCATCCACAGCCACAAGACTTATTACCCTATCGAGAAAGAGAGAGATGCATTATGACATAGCTCTATTTGTCTTGATCCCAAGTTCCTTGCCTTGGTGTGAGGTCTGGTTGATTCTCAATGATATTGGCCAGCTTGGAGTTCTGATAGACCACACTAGACAAGGCCGAGCTGTAGATTTCTGCAGAAGCTGCACCGCTCAGTTCTAGTACAGTCCTGTTGTCGGAAATCAGGAGTGATATCTCGTCTGGCAGGCCGAGGTCGGTCAAAAGAGAAATGTTTTCTGAGGAGGCGGGGTCTTGAGGGTTGGTAAGTGTGACGGTGAGTTTTGTGATGAGTGGAGAGTTGTCGAGAATGGTGTGGAAGGTGGACAGAGCCACGACTGGGGTTCCATCTTCCATTACTATTTCAGCAGAGAGGGACTACATGGAGAAAAGGGGTGTGAAACTTTTTCTCGTTAATCAGACAATATTTTTCAAATACCTGTTCGTTGCCCAGTAGTACACGTGGTGCTTCGTTCATGACGTTAACTTGAATGGTGGTGAAGGCAGGCGGTTGGTTGTCTAGTTCTCCATCATTCACAGTCACCATTACCACAGATTTATAGCTGGTCTCTGGGCTAGGAGGCCCGGCCTCAAGGAAGACGTTCTGGACTAGATCTTGGAAATCTGAGGCGGTATAGTACGACCCCGATTGTTGGAAGAGGATCATTGAAGGTGTGAGGAAAAGGGTGAATGCGTCAGGCTCATTAGAGAACCCGAGGGAACTGCCACACACACAGTTAGAGTCTTCCGCCAGGCTGGAAATTGAGTCAAATAGTCAAACACCAGTAACATAGTTTCTGATAGACTTACTTGTATCTAAGATGACAAGTATTGGAGTTAGAATAAGAGCAGATGGTTTCGCTGAGTCGTAGCCTGTCACCTTCTCCTCCTGTCACCAGATCCACCCTCACACTCTCCGCAACTGCATCAATATCACCATCGCTAATGATGACATCATTGCTAGCCACGGCAGCTCTGTTCACAGTGAAGATGCTAAAGTTGAGAGACATGGAATAATTGACTGTGGGTGAGTCGGGCCCACTGAGGTCTATATGGGGATGGTGGTCGTTAATTGGGGAGATAGCAATGGCGAAAGAGCAGGTTTGTGTTTCAGAAAGGCTGGTGAGAGAGATTGACAGAAGGCGAGGAGAAAGAGACGGCTCTTCTGCATTGGAGACATACATCAGCGTCCTTAGAAGCTCCTGTAGAGTTGAGAGGTTGGTATTAAATTACAGAGGCTAACCCTGCTGTTGTTATATCATACCTGGTAATAGTAGTCAGAGGCAGTTCCTGTAATCTCGAAACTGCTGTCACCGAGGACAGAGATTTGAAGTTGAGGGGTCACAGTCGCATCGAGGAAAAGTTGGTCCCCCTCCTGAGGGTTCTGAATATTCACAAACCCCCTGTGGATCATGTGATCGTGGTCCAAATCAACCACAGTGAGCTGGCTGGTGAGGGGAACTGGGAGAAGAGATCCCTCCTGGAAAACCACTGTCTCTCTCCCACAGACTAGGCTGAGGATGTTGTCATTGATCAGGGAGAGTGAGAGGGTAGCAGTGGCAGGGGAGCTGTGGAAGAGACCGTCAAATACAGTGAATGAAAGGAGCCTTGTTCCAGGGAGTGGTTCAGGGGCAGAGTTGAGATAGGTGAGTGTCGAGAGGGCCTGCTGGTAGGAGGACACACTGGCACTGCCACTGAATGTCAGCATGTGGTGGGTACCTATTGTACGGGGAGAGGAAGCATCACACGTGATTAGGTACTTGGGTACTGCATAGTGAGAAACGTTTAAACTGCCGTAGTATGATAGTGACTTACGGTTGACTGAGATTCCAAGAGTGGCCACTGTGTCAGTGTCAAAATTGAGTTCCTCAAATTCTCCATCAGTGGCATGGAGCAGCTGCACCGCTGCACTCTGCATGAAGAACAGAGCGTTGTTGTCAGGATCGCTGACGACTGGAGCAAGGAGAGAGCCCAGTGTTATTGCCTCAGTCTCTCCCTCTGTGAACGTGATGTTGGAGGTCCCAGAAAATGTAATCTGTGGTGGGTGATTGTTGAGAGCCACCACATCAATAGGAATGACAGCAGAAGATTCAAAGACTCCGTCTGATACTGTAATGTTGACGAGTCTCTCTCCTTCAATTGGCTCCTCATTTTCTGCCAGTGTGTATGAGTAGGTTACACTCTCCAACAAAGCCTGCAGTAGGGAAAGTAGTAACAATGCGTAAAGTCTATCATTAGCTGACTGGTTACCTGGTAGTAGGCGAGTGCTCCAGTCTGGTTGACTAAGATCTCCTGGCCCTCTCCCACACCAGTGATGGACAAACTCTCCCTCTCTGGGTCTCTAGAACCAAGCAGAGACACTGCCATCCAGTCAACTGTGGCACTGGTGTCTCTATCAGAGAGGGAAACTGAGCCAGTTACCAGGAGAATAGAGTCTCCCTCCTGGAACCTCAGCCTTTGTGTGTCAGCCACTATTTCAATGGGGTTGTCATTGACAGGGACCAGGTCGATGGAGACATTGAGAGTATTGCTGGGGAGATGGGTATCATGGCATTGGATGAGGATAGTTCGTACGCCGGGCAGAGGTTCAGGTGCCAGATTGACATAAGTGAGGGTGGACAGCACACTCTGGTAGCCCATTTCCGAGAGATTTCCTATGAAACTGAATACTTGTCCTGTTGGGTACACCTCCACAGTTGAGTCCAAGACATTCAGCTGATCATTGAAACCCAATTCCTCTCCACAGGTGTATTCACAATCACCGCAAATGTCTCGAAGCTCTGAAGTGTCGAGCTGGCATTCTCCCCTATCCAAAGTGACGTCACACGAGGTAAGAAGGTGGGTGTTGCTGTCGGCATCAGTAATGGAGAGGCCAGAGGCAATTGGCAGTGGTGGTGAATTCTCAAAGTAGTCATAGCTGAGCTGTTCAAGGTAGATTACTGGACGATTGTCATTGGTATCAGATACAATTATGGTGACTGTTGCACTGGTGTTGAAAAACGGAGACTCCGTATTTTCAGCTACCACTTGAACGATAAACGGTCCACTGCTGGTCTCAAAGTCAATTGCTACTGCAGTGGTAATGATCCCTGTGTTGGGTCCTATAGTAAAGAGCCCTCCATTGTCACGAATACTGTAGACACTATCAGCATTAGACCCTGTGTCAGAGTCTTCTGCAGAGACCTGAACCACAGATGATCCCACAGGTAGAGTTTCAGGGATGGTAGCACTGTACTGGGACCTAGTGAAGACTGGAGCATTATCATTTGCATCCTCCACTAACAATGTTATATCTACATGTGAAGTGAACAGACCATCCATGGCTGCAGCTGTGAGTAGATATACAGACTGGGTTTCATAGTCCAGCAAGGCTCCAGGAGATGTGCCAAGTCGCCCAGTAACTGGATCCAGTGTGAAGATACCTCCAGCTCCCTCCACTATTGAGTACGTGAGTTGATCTTGGTCTGCATCTGCTGCAATCACCGCAGCTTCTAGTACTGCCCCCTCAACCACTGAAAAGGTGTAGCTACTCTGGGAGAATACCGGTGGGTTGTTGTTGACATTGACAACTTCGATCGTGATGCTGGCTTGACCAATCCTAGGGGGAGACCCCGTATCATTAGCAAACACTGTAGCAGTCAGTGATGGCGTGGTGATAAAATCAAGCATTCTGTTCAAAGTCACCAGACCAGTGAGTGCATCAATGTCCAAGTATTCACTGTTGTCAACAGAATATGTGATACTGACAGAGTCAGCATCGAAGGCCTGGACTGTAAGAATGGAAGTATCGGCAGCAGAATCATCTGCTACTGACCCAGTGTACATATTCTGAGAAAACCCTGGTGCCTCATCATTTTCGTTCAGAACAGAGACGACCACCTCTACTGATGCCGTCAGCTGAGGTTCCCCACTGTCTGTGGCCACTACTACCAGATAATACTCTGAGACTGCCTCAAAATCTATCTCTGCAAATTCAGCAACCCTGATCACACCCGCTATAGGGTCGATGGTGAATGGAAGGGGTGTGGCTTGTTGTGGTGGCAGTGGGGTTAAATATGCTGATCCGGAGCCAATATCATTGGTTTCGATTTCAAATGTGATGTCATTATTAGTAGAAGTGATGTCATTATCGGTGGCTGTAACAGTTACCACTGTCTGTCCACCAGCAGAATTCTCTATCACAGAGCCTGAGTACTGGGAGAGCCCAAACACCGGTGTGTTATCATTGATGTCTGCCACTGATATTAGCACAGATACAGTTGAACTTCGGGGAAAATCTCCATCATTATCAGAAGCAATTACTATCAATACATAAGACACAATCGTTTCAGCATTGAGTTCACGAGCAGTAGTAATTACACCTGAGGTTGCATTGATTTCGAAATCTTCGTTTTCTCCCTCAAACTCGTACGTGATGCGAGTACTTCCATACAAATCGCTGTCACTAGCCTGAACTGTGACTACAGGCTCTCCCCTGGGGGCTGCCTCATCCACCATTGCCGTATAGTCACTCTGTGAGAACACTGGATTGTTGTCATTGACTGGGACAATGTTGATAGTGACTTCAGCAATGTTGCTAGCAGTGGGACCTCCCGATGTTTGGTTGAGAGAGAAGACTTGAACCAGGAGAGTGTTTGTGCCTGGCAGAGGCTCATCTGCAGTATTGACATATTGGAAGGATCTCAGTACCTCCAGATACACTTCCACCGGTTGCTCTCCACTGTACACAATGACCGTACTGCCACTTGGATCAGGAGTTGACGTTTGTGTGATTCCATCGACTGGGGGAGCGAAGAGAACACTGCCGTCAGTCTCTGAGATTACTGCAATTTGCAGGGATGAGACAATAAAGCTGTCCACATCAATGATAGTCGCCTCATTGGAGAAAATCTAGGGAGAAAATTATGCACTATTTCACAATACACACTAATTTCCCTGATTCGAATCCTCCCTGAACAGTTTATGTGGACTTAATTCATGAGCATTATAGAACCACCACATGCATTTGAGTTAGTTACGTACAGCACAAGGCTGAGATTTAGACCAAATGAGGTACACACACAACTGAAGTTGAGAGTGGGACTCACCTGAATGGCTGGAGAACCTTCGGTGAAAGAGATGGAGTAGTTTCTGCCAGCCTGACTGGGTCCATTGAGGTCCAGTACTGGAGGGTTGTCCACACTCTGTACAAACACCGTCACAACTGCTGCTTGGCTGAGGAGAGGATCTACATCGTTGTCCGTTGCACCAAATGAGATCTCCCTTGGCTGAGTTAGTGGTCTACAGTGAAGAGAAAACAGTTAACACTCTGAACAATTGGAGCAACACAATATGACCTCTACAAATCCCTAGGAGAATGTTTTCTGGAGAAAGACAACTACTTCAGAGGAACTTACAGTTGGCTTGCATAGATGTAGGTGACAGTCTGCAGAACTGACTCAAATGTTGAGATGTTTGTCTGATCATTGAGAGCTGAAATATGCAGGAGTGTAGGGGAGAGCTGAAGAATTCTGATGTCTGGGTGGGTAGCCATGATCTCTAGTCTCTCTCCCTCAACTGTAGCTCCTTCTATAGCCACCACAGCTGACGATAGGTACAGTGAATCCACATCTGAATGAAAAAAGAGCTGTGAAATTAGTACACAATACGGTGCCCTATACCTACCAGTGATGGTAAGATGAGGAGATACTGCCAGTCCCTCTGGCTGGCCTTCTCTGTACATTACTACACTATCCACACTGCCGTCTGCCCCGAGAGTTATTACTGGAGCATCGTTGACTTGAAGCAATTGGACACATGCAACAGCTGGCTCAGATGTGAATACTCCATCATTCACTGTAAACTCGACTTGTTTTACTCCCTGGGGATTCTGTGATTTAGTCCGGTAGGCAACCGTACGGAGGGCTGCTTCAAACTCAGCAATGGTAGCTGGTCCCTGGATTACTAGTGATGTGGCAGAACTAATGGTACTATTAACTTCAAGCGCTCCGCTATAGTTGAGTGAATGTTCTGCTGTTGGTTGTAGTAGTTCGACTGAGGCCCATAGGAGATAGGTGCCTCCACTATCACTGTCTCGTATACTGAGAGAATCGTCAGAGAGAATGACTGGAGGACTGTCTTCAGTGTAGTAGGTGGAGTAGGATCCCGGCATAGAGCAGCCAGGCAGCACTGGTCCAGGCGAGCCACGTGTGTCCAGTAGAATCTCTGGTACCTGATCATTGATAACTTGGACTGAGACTTGGAAAACTGCAACGTTGGATAGAGTTTCACTTTCAGTGTAGTTGAGAGCCACTGTAGGGCCTGGTTCGGAACCGACTTGGTAGCCAATTTCACGTGTTGAGAGCATGGGCTCCTCACTAGTATCCTCATATTCTACTCCTCTCAACACATACTCATAGTTGCTCAGTGATTGGCTAGCCCCCATGAATATCAGTGATTTAGAACCATCTCCAGCTACAGATATTCCAGGAAGTACAGCAGTAGCTACAAGAGCCCCAGGGGCATCTCCCAGTATTTCAACTACAGCATAGTCCAGAGATGGGTTTGAGTCATCATCAGTGATAGTGAGAGAATACGACAGAGTTGTACGTGTATCTGGCTCCTGTAGGACTGCTGTGGTTGGTGAAAGGATGATGAAAGGAGCGTGATCGTTTACGTCAGAGATGTTGATGAAAACGTCGGCAGTATCAGCAACGATGTCGCCAGGATTGCGAACGCTCACCACAAACTGGTAGAAAGGCACAGCTTCCTGATCTAACTCTATGAGGGTGTATAGCACACCAGTTGAGTCGACTCCAAATGCAGTTGTGTTAATCACGGCAAACTCCAAGAGAGAGTGTATCTGGCTGTCTCTATCGTTAGCTGATAGCTGGAGCACTGAGCTCCCAATGGGGGCCCCTTCGTTGATTGCCGCATTATAAACCTCTTGAGTAAACATGGGGGCATGGTCATTTTGATCAGTCACAATCACAGTTACATCAATTGAGATTGGGGTGGCTGAGGGGCCCACATAACCCAGGTCTCTCAGTTCCACAGTGAATCTCAGCTCTTGTACCGTCTCATAGTCTAGTGATTGAGTCAGAGTTATAACACCAGTGTTGGGAGCGATGGCAAAGAATGTGCTCCCTCCAGAAATGCTGAAACTGGCATCAGTGGGTGAGAAAGTGTCCTGGTCGGTGTACTGGACCTGGTAGACTGAGGTTCCGACTGTGGCATTCTCAGAGACTGAGAAAGTGATGCTTTCTTCAGTAAACTGTGGTAGTTGATCATTGACTGGGCTCAGGTGCACCTGTATGGCAGTGAACCCACTGAGAGAGTGGTCCGAGATCTGTATGAACACAACTGCTGGCGGGAAGAGGTATGAGAACTCGTCTTCCGCGTTCTGGTACTGTATGCTTCTCAGAACTGCCTCGTATGCAGGACGTGGAGCTGAGCCTGAGAAAAACAGGCTGTTCTCTGTAGACTGGTCGAGTGTGATCGCATCTGGCAGTGAAGCAGTTAGGAAAAGCATCTCGGTTTGCGAAGGTCTGAGAATATAGACCTGCATTTCAGTCACATTGTCATTGGTGGAGTCCCTGTCCTCGATTACTGCTGTGGGGGCAACGATCCCCACACCACTGGAGCCCTCTGCAAAACTAGTACCATAGTTCACATGTGGAGGATCAGCAATGACTGAAGGTGGATAGTCGTTGATGGTGGATATTCTTATCTCAGTGTAAGCTGGTGGACTGGAGAGAGAATACTCGTGAGCTATAAACTCCACAAGTCTCGGCTCTGGACTTGGTTCTGGGGCAGGGTTGCGGTAGTAGACTGATCTGAGGAGGTTTGTGTATTCATCCAAACTGGCCTCTCCATACAACATAAGGTGGGTGGAGTTTGAGATAATTGATATCCCGACGGTAAATGTAGTGATGTAGATGGATTCTTGCTCATCTTGAGGGTTGGTGAGTTGGATGTCGATGCCCGTGAGTACTTGCTCCATACGAATCATATCTGCATCTGATACGGAGACATTCTGAGATACAACAGGTACTGGTTCGCCTCTTTCCTGGAAAGTAGTTTGGAAGTTGATTCCAGGGGCGTCCCCATTGAGATCCAGTATAGGAGCCTCGACATTGAGTGGCTGTATGTCGATGTACTGCACCAGAGTATTGCTGGAGAGCTGGCAGTCAGACACAGTCAGTGATACAGTTCTGGGCTGAGGTGAGGGATCAGAGATGATGTTGACATACTCAACTCCCTCCAGAGCCATCTCGTACTCTTCAATAGAGTAGTTTCCTACCAACACCAGTTGAGACCCTCCCTGAAGTTGGTTAGCCATTGCTGGAAATGATCCCTGGGAGAGCTGCAGGAACTCCAGGCAGTCTGGAGTGCAGGTGGATGCAGAAGTTGTATCACTGCAGTAGCACTGGCCTGGTGGGCTAAGAATTGTCTGCTCAGGTGTATACAGGATGATAGAGGCATTGCAGATATGCTGGAAGCTGTCGGGGTCAGATATGTCTAGTGCTGGGAACGGACGGAGACTAACTTGGCCCTCGATGAAGATGAACCTCTCGGGTTGAGTGTTGATAACTGGCGGTAGGTCATTGGTGTCAACTATGTATACGTTCACTGGAACTGTAGCAGAGTTACCGACTGAATCAGTTACTCTAGCAAAAAACATTAGAAAATCTCCAGCAGTTTCAAAGTCAATGGTTCCACTTATGAAGAGTGTACCGGTAGAAGGATTGATATCAAAGTAGGGGGAGGTAGCAGTCGAGAGAGAACACCAGTCTACCCTGGTCCAGGCTGTCTTCATCAGTAGCCATCACTTGCAAAACTGAGCTACCCACCACCATGTTCTCGGATACTGTAGCTTCATAGATTGACTGCCGGAATCGAGGGACGACATCATTCCTGTCCAGCACATTAACGACCACTCTCCCCTCTGCCTGAAGACCTGCCACATCTGTTGCTAGGACCGTCAGAACATACTGCTGTGTATCCTCATAATCCAGTGGTCGCAGAAGCTCAATATCCCCGCTCAGTTCATTGATGATGAAAATCTCAGATGACTCACGGAAAGTGTAAGTGAGACCTTCTGGCTCAGTACCAGATCCTGATTCAGACACTATGTCAAGCAGGCACACATCCAGGTCTCCGTCCTCGGCAGTGACTCGTGTTACGAATGTCCCCGGAAGACTGTTTTCAGGGACAGAGACTACGAATGGCGAGGCCCCAAACTGTGGAGGAATGTCTTCTTCTGGCTGGACAAAGACCTCGAAGAAATACGGTGCAGAACTGAGTGGACTGAGTCCCCTATCAGTTGCCACTACATAGAGAATGTAGTAGCACTGGTCCTCAAAATCAAGAGACTGGATAGTAGTGAGCTCTCCGGTCAATGGATGAATGAAGAAAACACCGTGCGTGTCTTGCAGGGTAAAAGTAACCTCGCTGTTTTGACCGGAATCAGTATCAGTGGCAGAGAACGAGGCAACCAGATACCCAGCACTGTTTTCTGGCACTTCTCCTTGTATTGAAGCAGTGGCTACCACAGGAGCATTGTCGTTGACGTCAGTCACATTGACAACCACTGCTGCACTGCCTGTAAGACTGGGAGAACCATCATCCAGAGCAAAGACTGTAAGAACATAGCTAGAGTCGAACTCAAACTCAGGGGCCAGACCACTGGTATTAAAGGTGATGTCACCAGTAAGGGGATTGATTGCAAAGAATGGCCATCCAGTGTATGGATTTAGAGGCAGACCCGTTGAGTCGAGAGTGTAAGCTGCCACCTGCCCATTCTCCTGAATGTCAAGATCTACGGCTTGAATGTCTGATAGCACCGCAATCCCTTCATCTTCCCTCACTCCATACTCATACAAATCTTCTCCAAATACAGGTGCATTGTCATTGATATCAAGCACCTCCAAAGTAATGTCTACAGTAGATGACATTCTTGGAGTCCCCCCATCACTAGCAATGACAGTGAAATTGTAAAAATCACGTTCCTCGCGATCCAGAGGCTCTAGAGATGAAACAACTCCAGTGGATCCAGAAATATTGAACAGATTGTAAGTTGAACTGCTGTGAAAAGAGTAAGTGATTTCTCCGTTGGTAGTGCAGTCAAGATCAGTAGCAGTGACTGTAAAGAGGCTCAGGTCAGTGTTCTCTTCAGAGACGGAAAAATGAGAACCAGACAAAAACTGCGGTGCATTGTCATTCACATCTAGTACACGTATGGAGAGGACAGCAGTAGAGGAGGGGAATGGAGGGTTGGAGTCTGTGGCTACTAGAGGTAGTTCATATCTCCGCCCATCATTGATACAACCTTCAGAAGTCTGCGAGTCAACATCAAGGTCACTTCCAACTAAGATTTCATGGGTGAAAATCCCAACTTCAAATGGTGCTGCCGTATTCCCTGTCTGTAAGGAAATTACATCAATTCCACTGTCGGGATCTATCAGTGGGACTGTCTCCACTACTTGCCCTACTGGTGCTGTTTCAAGCACCACAATTTCAATGTTATCCCCGTCAGGATAGAAGATTGGCGGGTTGTCATTGATATCTGCTACCATGATGTAAACAGTGGCGTTGGCTGTTTTCTGGGGTACACCACCATCTAGTGCTCTGACTGTGAGCTCATAATACTCAATATCCTCTCGGTCAAGTTCTCGTAGTACAGTGATGAGTCCACTAGTTGAATTTATAGAGAAGTAAAGGAGCCCTTGAGTTGGTATGGAGTCAGCTATTTCATACCTCACAAAGCCATCCACGCCATCATCAATATCCACAGCTGTCACACTACCCAGTTGTACAGGTGGTGGTAGACTCTCAGTTGTCGTGAAAGAATAGGTATTCATTGTGAATTGTGGGCTGTTTTCATTGATTCCAACCACAGTCAAGTGAACAAGAGCGGTATTGCTGAAGTCTACTCCATCAGAAACAGCGATAGTGATGATCCTGTCTCCAGGTGTTGGCTCCAGACGTGTGTTACTGTATTGTAGTGAGGTGAGGTAAGTGATTGGGTCAGTGTTATTAAAATACTCTTCGCCAATGAAGTAGAAAATTGACTGTCCATTGGAAGGGAGTGGGAGACCAAAACTGGGATTGCTTGATGTAATTCTCTCATCCAACCCATCAACTGCTCCCTGTATGACAATCTGTATGAGCTCCACAGACTGAATGATGTCATTGTCCATCAGACTAATGGAACTCCCTGTGATACTCACAGGGTCTCCTCTCTCTTCAAATGGACCAGCAACAAAGTCAGTCCCCGGAGAATCCACGTCCAGATCCAGCATGGGACGATCGTTGACAGGGATAATGTTCACCTCCGTGAATACTGGCAGACTGACGTCCAATCCATCGCTAACTAGGAACTGAACAGTGTGTGTGCCTGGACTGGGCTCTTCAGCCACATTGGTGTACCTCGCAGTACGTAATACAGCCACAAAGTCTGACAGTGGAGCACTAGTGCCAGTGGTAGGAACCAGAGTGATACTATTACCATCCACTGGCATTACTAAAATAGTATCGATACCATTAGCCACAGAAACACTGATACTTTCGCTCTGTTCTGGATCCAGTAAGGTCAGGTTTGAGGTAGCTGAGACTGTCATTGTCAACGTCAACTATGACAGCATTGGGAGAGACAATACTGACAATTTCATTAGAATCTTCCACAAAGTCGACCGTGAAATTTGAGGAGTCAGCGAACCCAGTGAGACTGATGACTGGCGCATCATTCACTGCAGCAAAGAACAGACTAACAAACACTGGGACACTCTCAGCCTCTCCATCTGAGACCACAAACGTGAACATCCTGGTTCCAAGTGTAGGAGCTGCCATTCCGGTATGCTCATATGCAATCCTCAACAGAACGTCTTCATATCTCTGCTGTGTATCAGCTCCAGTTAGAGAAAGAGTGGCAGTTGTCAAGTCATACACAGCAGTTATGTTTGAGTTAGCAGTGTTGGCAGAAAGAAACTCCATTCCAGGGTCCAGAGGAGTGAAAGTAACTATAGCTGAGTAAATGTTTGGACTGTCGCTGTCTTCGATGGTTGCTGAACGAAGAAGAACCATTTCCGTGTCTCCCTCACTGTACTCACTGATGCTAGACACCAGTAAGAGCTCAGGATGGTCGTTCACAAAGACAAACTCGACCATGCTCCGTGCAAATATGTCAGGCATCGGTGGATCTGATACAGTGATCATTATTTCGCGTGAGGCCCCCAGAGGCTCATCTGCTGTGTTATCGTATGTCAGAGTGCGTGTGACAGCCTCAAACATTGGCAATGGGAGAAGGCCAGTAAGAGTAAGGGTGTGCTCGGGAGTGTATGAGATATTCATCCCTGCAGGGACATTCTGCACTGCGAGAATCTCCTCAGTAAATGGCTGGAGAGGATCCACAATACGTGCTGTGACCACATATGGAAATTCAATGAGATCCATATCTCGGAGGTAGAAGGTGGCCGTGTTGACAAGAGCAATGGGTCCACTCTCCTCCACAAAGACTGTAGAATAGTCTCTACTACCAGTTCCATTGAGGCTTATCTCTGGTTGGAAGTCATTGGAAGGTATGACAACAATATCAATGAAGGTTGGTAGACAGTTGAAGACTTCGTCCTGGACAGTGTATGAGAGCATGTACTGGCTGATCCTTGGTTCAGTAAATGGCAGCACAAGAGTCAGTGAGTTGAGAAACTCTTCATAAGCGGCAACAGGCTGTGTGCCTATTGCAATAAGGGCCCGTTCGGAATAGTTGTAATAGTGTGTGATTGGAGAGTCTTGTTGAGTAGAGATGAGCACCAGCCCACATCCAATGACACAGTTTAGATTGTTCAGAGTTGAGCTCGAGCGGCTGACCAACAGCATGTGCACACGGCCATTGAAAAAGTTGGTTGTGGGACTGTTTTGGAAGTCTCTGGATGCTCCAAGGAGAAGGCCACCTGTGCTATCAAATGGCCGGGGGATTTCCACCGAACCATATGTGACTCCATCAATGAAGAGATTCAGGTACCACTGGATCTTTGTGTTGTCTACCACAATGCCAAGATGGTGCCAGGCACCCTCGAGAGCTGAGCAGCCTCCAGCAAACCCCACACTCTCTGCTGAGCCATCAGAGGTGAAGTTGAACACCAAGGATCCATCAGAATAGCAGAATATGCCATAGAGAAGCTGAGACGACGAAAACTTAGAGAGAATAGCTTGAGGTCCAGAGGAAGATCTTGGCTGAAACCAGATCCACGTGGAAATAGTTAGCCCGTTGGTTTCCAGAGTACCAATTTCACCTATGTATAGAGCATATTGCTGGAGGGAGGCATCAAAAATAATGCTGTCTCCCACTACTTCAACACCTACTCTCAGTCCTCCTCGGAGTTGTAGGCCATCTGGTGTATATCGAGACAGTACGAAAATTTCCGGTATTCTACAAGGTGAAAACTTGAGCAGCTTATTTACTTCGAGTTCACATTCGAATTGAGGCTCAAGATTGCCGCTTGTGAGTGGTTCGTAAGCAAAGCTCGGCTCAATTGGTGCATTCTCAAACTTAATAATACCGTCAATTAGACGAGTGGTGTCTCTTCCATCTGCATCCAATATGGTAACCTCAATATCCAGCATCACCTGTCGCTGAATAAGCTCGTCATAGGAAACAGAGGACACGCCAAAGCCAACAATAGGAGGATTATCGTTCTCATTTTCAATGGAAATAAAAACATCTGTGGCGCCTTCAAAATGTGGTGGAGCGAAATTTCTGGCGACCACTGTAAACGATACACTCTGCAGTACCTCATAGTCAATGAGACTAGCTACCAGCAAACGGCCACTGTTGTCCAGAGAGAAAAGGTTAGTTGAAGGTCTCAGAGATATATCTGACTCAGCACCAGTATCAGAATCCTCATCAGAGACCGTGAAGACTTGGACTAGTGTGCCTGTTTGTGTGTTCTCTGGCAGACTCAAGTTGAGAAAACCTGGGAAGATGGCGGGTGGGAATTCATTCACGTCTAAAACTACGATTGACACATCAGCTACAGAGAAGAGGTGGCCATTTCTTGCCTCGACCCGGAATCTGTATGATTTATGAGTCTCGCTGTCTAGTGGCTGTGTGGTCTGAATATATCCCGACTGCTGATCTACTGTGAAAGGAATGGGGCTTTCTCCAATAACAGAAAAGACTATGTCGGCATTCTCGTCAATGTCTGCATCGGTTGCTGATAGAGGAATGACGTCGATAAATGCAGGCTCGTTCTCAGCCACAGCGCTAGAATAGCTCTCCTGTTGGAACACTGGTGCATTGTCGTTGATATCTGTTACCACCACCAATACAGATGCAGTGCTGGTAAGTGGAGGATTACCAAGATCCGTGACACGGACCTCGATCAGGTAGGAATCTTGCTCCTCTCTGTCTAAAATACCACTTAAAAACAGATCTCCCGAGACAGGGTCTATGAAGAATCTGTCGGTGCCACTGAGGAGAGAGAACTGCAGCTCTGCGTTGCTGCCTTGGTCCTGATCCAATGCTACAACAGTTGATACTAGTCTGTTAGTTTCCTCCATACCTGACCCGCTGTTTGAGGATGACATCATCTCACTATCGCCAATCTCCTCCAATCCAACGGGAGTGAAGTCCTCAGCTATACTGAATACAATGTCTCCAGTGGGAAAGAATGGAGCATTGTCGTTGATGTCTAATAGTTGGATGATAATGGTAGCTGATGATGAATGGTAGGGTGGTTCAGGGTTGGAAGCTATTACTGTCAGTGTGTACTGCTCTCCAATCAAATTTATTGCCACTAATTCAGATCTGTCAACAGTAACGATACCAGTTTCAGAGTCGATAGAGAAAAGTTCATTTCCAGGCAGAATGTCAAAGAGGATGACAGCATTAGAGCCGCTGTCAGAATCGGTTGCAGAAACCTGAGTTACAAATGTGCCGGTAGCAGAAAGCTCTTGAATTTCCGCTGTGTACACAGCCTCAGAGAATAGTGGGCGATTATCATTCACGTCAGCCACAAAAACTTGTATTTCAACTGTTGATGAAAAGGAGGTACCCCCTTCAGTGTCAGGCATATCAAACACCTCCAAAACCAGGCTGTAGGCTCTCGCTCCTTCGTAATCTAGTTCTCCTATTAGCACTAAGTCCACTGACTGGAAGGAATCAGGAGTGTAATCCATGAATGCAGACCCTGAGCCATCCAGGACACCGACACCAGGTGCCTCCAGTGAGAATGTATCATTATCACCACTTAGGATTCTAAACCCTATTCCATTGCTGTCGGAGTCAGTGGCAGTCAGAGTGAGGATTATTGAGCCTATGTCAGCATTCTCTGGAACACTGATGCTGGATGGAGTGTCGTCTGAAAATACTGGTGGACTCTCGTTCAAATCATCTACTATTATTCTGACCGTCGTATTTGCAGACAGTGTAGGAACGCCGTTGTCTGTCACCTGAACGATTACATCATAGTAATCTTGGAATTCGCGGTCAAGTGGTCGAGTTGATTGAATTTCTCCTGTCAGGGAGTCAATTTCAAACCCACCGTTGTCATCAGATAAGATGGAGTACTGGAGAATGGCGTTGACTGGATCACTATCAACAGCCTGTACACTGCCCACGATAGCAGGTGGAGAGTTCTCCAAGATGAAGAGAGTAAGATCTTGAGTGAGAAACAGTGGGGTGTTGTCATTCACGTCACTGATGTAGATAGTGAGTGGTGCCAGGACTAGAGTGGAATTGGGTGTGTGGGGTCGATCAGTCACTGTCACCATGAGACTGTAGCGCGAGATACTTTCAAAGTCTAGTGGTTCCACGACAAAAACTTCCCCATTTTCCGTTATGTTGAAATGAGCGTTTTCATTTTCATGGACCAGAGAGTAGTGCAGAGTATCTGTTGGGTCTAGATCAGTAGCTACAGTGGTGATTATGATTGTTCCTACAGGGAGATCCTCAGGAATAGTCACAGAGTACGTGCTATTTTCAAACTGTGGAAGATTGTCGTTTGTGTCAGAAACAATGATCACCAGGTAGGCTATGTCACTGAGTATTCCATCCGACACACTCAAGGTGAGGTTGTACACTTGCTGAAGACCAATATCAGCATCCAGGTTCCTTGCCACACTGACTATACCCAGTAGTCGGTCAATTTCAAAGTTCCCTGCACTGTTACCCGAAATGATTGCATACTCAAGCCCACTTCCATTAGAGCAGGTGTCATTGCTGATGATGACTGCACCATCACATTGATCCACATCGCAGCCATCTGCGTCATAAGCCAGTGGGAACTCTGGAAGTGGAAGGAAACTCCCGACTGCTTCCGTTTCCCGTATTTCAATCACCACAGACTCAAATACAAACTCTGGAGCCGCTTCGTTGTCGTTCAGAGTATTGAGCGTAACATCAACAATTGGGAAGTGGTGCAAATCGCTGATTATAACTGAGAATGAAATAGTTCTCACTGCTTCATAATCTAGCTCCCTTGCAACGGACAGTATCCCTGTGGATGAGACAGCTACACATCCAATGCAGCCAGCCATTTCCACTATATTGTAGCTCAACGTATTACCATCTGCATCCTGAGCCAACAGCTGAAGAAACTCATACCCAACTGGTGCACTCTCACATACTTCTACCACATACATATCTTGATCCACAGTGGGAGGATTATCGTTTTCATTCACCACAACAACTCTGATACTGGCACTAGATGACATCTGTGGCCTTCCAGTGTCCGTAGCTACCACTGAGAACACATACTTTTGTACTTCTTCAAAATCAATCAGAATCGAGTCAGATACTATCAGCACACCACTCTCAGGATCAATACTGAACGGAACCTCGGGGTCGAGAATTGAGAAAGTGAAATTTCCATGATAGCCTGGGTCGCTGTCTGTAGCTGTGACAGTCACCACTAATGCTCCGTTTGCTGCACTTTCTGAGACCATTCCTTCGTACATGTCCATGTCAAAGACTGGGGGCTGCAGGTTCTGTGTGATGTTCACCACAACAGTGGCAGTGTTGGGAGATGATTGTAAGCCAGAGTCGACGGCCTCGTAGATGAGAGTATACTGACTCACAAGCGGGCTCAGGTCTCTCTCAGGTCGATTGAGAATGATTCTACCTGGTACGTCTGGATCCACAATGAACACCCGTGTCCCAATATTGGGCTCCATTGATAGGAAAATAAGGCTGAAATCTGAGTCTAAATCTGGGTCGATTACACTGAGCTGTGCGACTGTGTACCCTTCTGGTGCCCCAACTGGAATGGCGACTTCGTAGGTCTCGGGCATAAACACAGGTGCGACATCGTTCACATCTGTTACTGTCACCACTAGTTCAGCTTCACTACTCAGCTGTCCATCAGAGACTGAGACTGTGAGTGTGTATATGTCCCTTAGTTCTCTGTCTGGAGCAGTCAATGTAGTCCTCACTTCTCCTGTCATTGGGTTTATCTGAAACTTGCAAGACTCTGCGGTCTCTGGTAGGAGAGGGCCGGTTTCCCCGCTACCACTGCCTGATGAACAATCATCTCCTGCGACTATGGAATACTCTAGTATCATCTCTGAATTGGCAGAGTCAGCATCCGTAGCTCTAACACTAGCTACAGAGGCATTGCGTTCATTCTCAACCACCTGAGCTTGGTAAGTCAGCTGGTCAAACTCTGGAGCATTGTCATTGATGACATGCACTGTTACCATGACACAAGCTTCGGGGCTCGAGGCCATTTCCATGTCTTGGACTGATATACAGAACACTCTGTCGTTAGTTGTAGGCTCAGGAGCAGTGCTAGCGAAAGTCACCTGTTGTAGAATTTCCACAAGTGCTTCAGGCCGTGAAGGACTCAATGTTGCCACGTAGACACCGCTGCCTTGAACATATGAAAGATTTGGCCCGGAAACCACATCTCCTGGAAATTGTTGCTCTGGTCTCACTCTGTAGCCTAATATGAGGCTGTCTGGATCAGTCACTTGTGCTCCGCCGGCTATTCTCACTGACACTGCACCCTCCACATAAACAACTTCACTAGCACCAAGAGTCACTGATGGTGGATCATTCTGTGGTGCTATGACTATCTCCACTTGTGCCCGGCCACTCAACTCTCCATCGCTGACTTCCACACTCACAATCCTGGTCTCGGTGTCTGGTTCATCCGCCAGGTTGTGGTAAGTCAACATTGACAGGGTGGCCTCAAAATCTGATATAGGTAATGGACCACTCAGTTCTATCCTCGAAAAATATTCTGTCCCTGGGCCAGGTGTGGTATCGCTGACAGAAATAAATTCAAGTTCACCGTCTGGTCTATTGAGCAGCTCTATTACCATGTATTGCAGGTTTTGGTTGTCAACATCAGTGATATCGGCCCCCATTGCTGTCAGTGGTAAAGGCGATGCTCTCTCCTCCTGGAAGACAACGCTGCCATTCAGCCCTGGCATATCCCCATTCAAGTCAACTACTGGAGCATTGTTGACTGCAGTGAAGGCCACCATCACACTGTCTGCTATACCTGGGTCACCAGATACCGAGTATGGCGTGGCTGTTATAGTACGCACTCCAGCGTCTGGATCTCCTGTTTGCTCCGTATGCTGGTAGGTGAGAGTTCTCAGAACAGTGGTGTAGGCTGAAAGGCTGGCCTCACCCATTAACACAATTGTTGTGTTGACTGTGGGCACGCTTATCATGATTCCTTCAAATTCAGTTAGACTTACATCGAGTCTGTCACCTGAGAGGTCTATTGCTGCATCAGCAAAGAGTGTAACATCTAGTCTTGACAGTTCTGTGCTGTCAACATCAATGATATTTGCCCCTACGGCCACAGCCAACTGCTGTGGGCTCTGAGCCTCACTATACATCAGAATATTGTCCATTAGTCTCACTTCTGGCAAATCATCAACCAGCACAAAAGTCACTAGTATTTCTATGGGGATACTGCTCTGGACTCCATCGTCAGTTAGAGCATCACTTACTACCACCTGAATGGTACGGGTGGTCTCATGCTGCTGTTCGGCTGAATTGAAATATTCCACTTCACGAACTGCATCTTGCAGAGCCATGAGGGGAATGCCCCCCTCGTGGAAGATAGTCAGCGAGTAGTGATCTTGGCCTGTGATGTTGATTGAGGGTGTTTCCCCTGACGGTAGCCTTAGTCCCTCGCTGGTGCCATCTTGAGGGTTTAATATTGTTACTGTGGCCGAGTGGAGAAGAAAACTGCCAGAATCGTCATCAGTGATCATTAAATCAGGAGCTACTGGATGCTAGTGGTGATGGGGTTAGTGTCAGGCTCCTGGAATATTACTTGATTTTGGTCCACCGTTGCGACAGGGATTTGATCATTGATCAGCTCCACATCAATCAACAGTCGTACCACTGGACTGGAAAACAGTCCGTCAGAGACTGAGATGTGCACTTCCCTTGCATGACCTTCAGGCTCTGGGTCAGAGTTGACGTAATACACTTCTTGGATTGCCTGCTGGTACACCTCTGTGCTCTGCTTATTCTGCAGAGTCAACTACTCCATCGTTGTAGCTACAGAGCAGTCCAAATTGTGAGCAATTGAGTGACAGGCTTTCGAAGTTCGGATCGTAGTTTCGAAGTTCAAGTGTGGCATTATCCAGAAGGGAATACCTATTATCAGGATCAGTAATTGTAACTGGAGATGTAAAGATCTGGAGATTACCCGAGTCTTCAGTCCAGGTGATTCTAGGGTAGGGTAATGTTAGCATTGGCGGTTCGTCGTTGATCAAAACTATTGAAATGTTCACTGAAGCAATGTTGGAGGTGTTGAGACTGTCACTTACTCTCAGGCCCACTGTACGTGGGGCATTGGAAGGCTCTCGACTGGTGCTAGCAAAGTGCAGAGACTCTAGGTATACCACAAACTCTGCAGGAGAGCCGCCTACAACTGACTGAACTCTGAGGACTGTACGCATTGAGTCACTGTATACCACACTAGGTAGGAAGTTTGGTGGAGCGTGGCGAGTGAGAATTTTATCTGTTGAGCTGGAGTCCAAGCTCATGCCAGAGCCTATATCCCCACTACCTTCATCAAAATGGGAACACATGGGGCAGTCCAAAACTACTTCTGTCCATTCAAGCTCTTCACTATCCACGTCAGATATGCTGAGATCTCTAAAGATTTGAATGCTCGGGCCACCTTCAGTATATTCCACTACTGGCACGCCTACCTCAACCACGGGTGGGTCATTGATGCTATCAACATCTATGAAGATGGTAGTGGTATTAGTGGAAAAGGCACCAGTGTAACGATCAGATGCTGCAGCATTGTTTATGTTGCCACTCATGTCCCATGCTAAAGCATTGAAGTATGCGGTTCCAAAGAAATCAGAGTTTGCTACGAATCTGATTTGCTTATCGTTAGCCAAAAGCAGTAGGGACTGTGGTGAAAGCCATGTGGGGAACTCAACCCACATTCCCATACTTTGATACTCCCATACTCCATTACTAGAGTCTGCACTGGTTACGGCTAATCCAAGGTGCATATCGTCACTATCACTGGCCACTGTTTCAGTGATAGTTCCAACCACTACAGCATCACTCGGAGAGTCTTCCAGTGTATTCGGCAGGGTGTATTGATCCAGGGTTATGACTGGGGCTCGATTTAAATACTCTATGTGGTAGGTGAATGTCTCGCTCTCAGCACTGACTGCTGATTGGTTTGAAAAAACAGGAATGTCCCCATCACACTCAATTAGTGAGGTGCCATCCCAGGCTCGGTATACTATTGATGCCTGAGTGGCAGTCTTACTGTGATTAGCAGATGGTACAAACCTGATTCGTTCATCAGGAGAGACCAGTTGAGGGGAGCAATCAGACACAAAGAATAAAGGGACCCATGTCCCCTCATCCCACACCATCCAGCTACCTCTGCCATTGTCTGTGACGGCAGTAATAGCCACACCAACAAAGGCTGGTGTAACACTATCAATATCCAGCACATTGGTGTTGTCAATAATAAATGACGGGGTGAACCCCTCATTAGCTGACTGAGGAAGGTAGTCGGTAAGATTATGTTCGAACCTCTGAGTGGACAGAAGAACTGGTCTATCGTTCACAGGCAGGACTACCACTCTTATCAACCCTGGGAGACTAGGAGGCATGGATTCAAGGGGAAATTCCTGGACCACTAGCGATATGCTATGCTCTGAAGATCCAGTTTGGTCGTCGGTGACATACATCACTGTCTTCAAGAAATCGACGAACACGTCTCGCAGTGTGAAAAACTGTTGTGACCCAATGGCTGTGGTGGTAAGTTGGTTGCTGCCTGACCCATCAACACGGAGCATATCATTTCCAGTGGCTAAGAACTGGTCACTGACACCCATAGCACTCCCTATAGTACAGTTTTGATAGTTAAAGCTACTCCATGCTAATATTATGTAATGTATATAATTATAGTTTTATTCTCATACCTGCTGTCAAGGTGGCCTGAAATAGAAAAACGCTGTCGTCATCTGAAACTGAGAAATCTGATGTGTTGAGTGGAAATATGCCAATAGAGTCCTCCGCATAAGCCACAGTGTAGCTGCGAATGTGAAAAAACCAAGTTAAAATGTGCAGATCAAGTATTTTGAAGCCTACTTCTCAGGGAGATGTATTACTGGAGGATCAGGAATATTGAGAATGGAGATATCCACTGAACAGGGCTGGAACCCCGGATCACTGACAGAGATGGAGAGCTGGCGATTCACACTATCTCTTGGTTCAGTCTCAGTATTGAAATAGCTCAACGTCCGCAGAACCTAGCATTATGAAACATTTGGTAATATGAAGAGACTGTATAGAGATAGTGTCTACGCACCTGTTCATATTGACTGAGGCTAGACCCATTGGAGAGCGTGTACTCTCTTGTGTTTTCTTCAGTAGTCTGTTCCTCAGTCATTATCACACCTCCAGTCACCTCTGCCATAATTCCCTCACTATCTCCGTCAATGGCCTCTCTAAGAGTGAGTGTAACTCTAAGATCAGTGATCAGGGTGTCTGGTGAGTCATAATCCCTCAAGCGGAAGCCTGAAGCAATCAGAATTGGAGCACTCTCTTCCAGAAACTCTACAGCCACTGACGTTGTTGCCTAAATTGAGGGAGGGAAGAAATGAACACTCTACTGTACTGACGAAGCTACAGCATTACTGACCATGTAGTTGAAGTAACAGACTGGGCTGTCATCAAAGGCATCAATAGTGACTGTAATCAGAGTGGGCGGAGACTCAGTTTCACCATCGAATGTCACAATGTAGATGCTGCGATTCCTGAGGCTGAGACCAGGTCCCTGGTTGTCAAACATGAGGCTCCGTAGCACTGTGTTGTACACTGAAAAATCATCATTTCCAGTGATGGTGAGAACCATGTTGTTGTCAGAATTGGTACTTGCTAGATCACTAGTCCCAAGATCAACAGACAGGACGTCCATATCATCGATGGATGGCCCGATTTCGACAGTGACCCAGGCAAGGAAATTTCCATCGGGGTCAATCAAGGTATCATTTGGTCCTATCAGGTTCACTGGCATCCCGCTCATTTCATCAAAGATGACAACACTTCTGTTGAAATTGAAGATGGCAGGATCATTTGTTGGAATGATTGTGACAAAGACAGTGGCGCTAACGAGGAAGTCCCTGTCATCAACCAACTCAATTACAATTGTCCTGTTTGTTCTCCCTGGCTCATCGGCATTGTTGACAAACATCACATTAGACAGAAGATCCACGTAATGCTCCACTAGTGCTATTCCAGTGGCAGTTATTTGAGTATCCATTAGAGAAATATTGAGTGCTGACGAATCTATAACAGCTTCTGGAAGTATCAAAATGTCTTCGTTTTGACCTGAGAAATAAAAAAAAGTTTAGTAACACAAAATTTTTGACATTGAACATGTTTTCTCACTGTCTTGTATGTTGATAGTAGCAGATGATAAAAATTGGGGGTCAGCATCATTGTCAACTATCAGCAAATTATCAGACAATGAAACAGGGTCTGCCCCACCAAGGTGGTCTTGACCCTCAAAGAAATCGACTTGGTAGTCTCTGAGATAGTTACTGCCGTCCAGCAATAGTTCAGGATCATTATCATTGACAAACTCAATGACAATCTCCACTTGAACCTCTAGAACAAGCCCTCCCATGTCTTCAACCTGTGAATCAAGAAAGGATAAAAAGTTGAGGATGTTAAAGTTGGGGGTGAGTTGTGATGTCATTTACAAACCTCGATAGTGATGGTGTGGTTGGTGGATGAAGGCTCATCAGCTGTGTTGTTGTACTGGAGACTTCGCAGCAGGTTGTTGTAGCAGTCAGGGTATGAGGATTGGTCGCACGTGAGAGTGACGTGGTGTGGTTGAAGAGGCTCCGTTTCCCAGTCTCCAAAACCAGAGGTGAAACCGGAGCCAACTCCAGACCCAAACTCAAACGAACCATTCAGGCCAAAGGCAATTTCCCGCCCCTCTCCATCCAACAGTGTATCTTCGCTAGGGACAAAGCTAGCAACTCTGAGGCGAATCTCAGACACCAACTGATGCTCGGGGCAGTTGTCGTCATCGTATAGGGTAGCAGTGGAACTCAGCAGGTTCACTGGTCCACCTCCTTCCCTGTAGGTAACTGTGGGAACTGTATTGTCCAATCTGGGGTGCTCATCATTGACGGAAATAACACTGATGTGGAGAGTCAGATTATTACCGGGGTTATACCCTGGATCCCACACTGTCACCTGTATAAATACATACCAGTTTAAAACTGATGGTATAAAATGTACCATTTTAAAACTAGGAAACTGCCTTCAATGGAGTATCATACTTACCTCGAGTTGCCTTTCTGGCCTTTCTTTGTCTGGTTCAATGGCACTGATTGAATACCGGACACTGCTCAAAAGAGCCTCATACACTGATATTGGGGCAGCCCCTGATATCATCAGGATAGATTGGCCTCCAGCGGATGTGCAGGTGGACCATTGTAACTCAGTAGAAGCGTCTGGGTTTCCACAGTTGCCTGAGACCCAACTGATGTCACTATAGCCAATCTGCAGAGGAGAGAATCTCTAATACATGTACCAGACTATCAGAATATTGTAGCATTTACTAACGTCTAGGATCTCCTCAGCATTATCACTTGCTTCAGTGGTTATTTCCACCCGAGCACCGATGATGAGTGGGTTCTGACAATTCTGGTCCGAATCGTTCAGAGCCACTCCCTCCAACACATACAACATTGTGTTCTCAGTGTAGGTGAGTTGGAGACTGCTGGCAGTGACCACTGGAGGATTAGAGTCAAGGGGAGTGACTACCACAGCCAGCAGAGTATCAAGGTACTGAGCACCATGTCTGAAAGGATAAGATTAAAGCTATTACAGGCATGATGGGAGGTCTTTACTTACCCTCCAGTGCTGTTGACTGAGACAGAGATGGCTCTCTGGAGAGGACAAGGTGGCTCAGTTGAGGGTTCCTGGCTGTATGTGGGAGGGGTAGTCTGCAGCAGTAGCTGGAAATCTTGCAGTGGTGCTGGTCCCTGCAGAATCAGCTCTTGTCCTCCACCCACCACCTAAACGTGGCAAATCCGTACACATTTACACGCTGATTAAAAGTTTTTGGCTTACAGTGAAGCTTGGTACTGCGTTAGAAGAGACTTGGAGAAACTCATTCTCAGATCCGTTCACAATCTGAACAGTCACGCTGTTAACTACGACAAAACTGTTGCCAGAATCCTCGTCAACCAGTGAGAGACCAGCTAACACAGTGGGGGAACCTCCTTCAGTGTAGGCATAATTTCCGCTCCCATTGACAATGAGTATTGTTGGGTTGTCATCAACTGTCGTGATTCTCAGGCTGATATTTGCAACTACATCGAACACACCATCAGATACAGTGAACACCACAACTCTGTCACTAGAGTCAGGTTCTTCTGCTCCATCATGATACCTAGCAGCAGTGTACATCGTAAGAGAGTTGGTGGCTGCATGGGGCAGAGACCTACCTAGCTGACAACAGTATCTGTCTGTAAGTCTCCAATGTTCCACTCCCAGTCAGCACTATGCAAGGCCCTGTTGAGTTTTGAACTATGCCACTTCCATGAGGGATATTCACTGTTATGTTCTCAGAGAGAGAGTCACAACGGCCACTGATTTCAATCTACAAAATTAGAGAATGTGTGTGGCAGATGAGGTGTGAATTTCATACTGTTGTTATTATTCATGATTTCTCTGGGAATATATGTAAGCAACTTCAACAACTTGGGTGGTAAGGAGAGAGGGAGAGAGGAAGAAAACACGGCACCTTGGCCTCTGTGATATTCTGTTGTTGGTCTAGATCCATCAGAACCATGTCCTCCAGCAGCTCAACACTGCTGGTAGATCCTTCCTCAAATGCCTATATGCATGAAAATAGGTCGTAAAACTAATTCGGTCCAAATGATTGCACACCTCTCCGCGAGGAACGAGGATAATGTCAGGAGTGTTGTCATTGATAGGGACAATGGTGATGGTGGCAAAGGCTGGAGCACTCCACTGCCTCCCGTCTGATATCTCAAACATGATCCGTCGATCTTGCAAGTCGAGCTCTTCCTCCCCATGAGAGTGGTCCACTGAAAACCTTATACTGCGGAACATCTACAGAGGCCAATGAGATTCGTTCAAAAACAGCAACAATGGCTAAATCATGAGCTATACCATAGTGTATTCGCCCACAGATGCAGACCCCACGAGTTTTAGAGCTGGAGAAAACAAATTTAACTTTGACATTGTATTTTGCCTTCTGCACTGCACTCACTTCCATTGGAGTACGACTGCTGGACACCTGGGTAGAGGTACGTGGCGTTCAAAAGGACCTGCTGAAAGTCGGTGGTGTCCCGCGTGACGAGAGTGATCTCGGCCTCAGACATAAGAAAGATCTCGTTGTGATCTCCGTCCTCCACGTACAGACCGGCACCGCTGAGTACGGGAACAGGAGGGCCGTTCTCTTCGTAGACCCCACAACGTGACACGCAGTCCTCGCTGTCCGGCCCTATTTTACACGGGTAGAAGTAAGAAAATCGTATGCCGCTAGCTCGGGGATTGTTGACAGTGCATTACCAGTGCAATAGCTGTCTCCCCATCGGTCTTCGCACGCTGCAGAACAAGACTGACACCCCATGTTTGCGTTAGTGTAGAATTCTCCATCTACACGTATAGGGGAAGATCTGCTGGCCAGCCCCTCCCACTTTTTGTCCCGCGCCCGCTCGCGCTGTTGCTAAAACTCACCTCGGCAGGCCTCTTGACCCAGTACAGTAGAGCAGAGCAGTAAAGTAGCTATAAAGACAGCTAGTGCCATCTTTGCCACTGCGCACAGTGGCCGCCGACTCTCAAACTCTACGCCAAAAAGATAATGGACGACTTTGTCTCAGTTGTTCATGCGCATGCGTGCTCCACCGCGACGTGTAGGGGGCGGAGCATATATTATCGCTATGGAAACAGCCAAACAAAATGGCCACACCTGAACCCAAGTTTTTGCAGTCCCAGGCTTTGTGTCCTCTGCAAACTTCACCCGAAGATGCAGACACATCACCAAAGAATTGCTTGAGTCGTCTCTTTGTTGCTGCACTGAACGAGCAGACGAAAGCAGTGAACAAATCTGTATATGAGTCCAGAACTTCTTTCGACAGAGCCTGGAAAGAGGTGGTGGACTACTGCTCCAAGCTGTCTGAATCTGAGCGTGAGATGCTATCTTGTGAGCCAAGCATTCAGCACTATGTACGCCGCAGCCTGCAGCATGCGGAGAGCTTGAACGATCCATCGGAACTGGTAGAACCTCTGACTGCCTTGCTCCCTGAGGCTGTAGAGCAATGTAAGAAGCAGGGAAGGCACACTAGCCACAATATGTCCCTGAACACTGACATACCAAGGACACGGAGAAAAAAGGAAGCCAGAAAAAGGGTTGTGTCATTGGATTCTGGGCTGGCAAAGTTACTCACGTACTCTCCCACGCAAATTGCGGCAACTTTCAGAGGACCTGAGCTCCAGCTGAGTGACTTGATACCTGCTGCATCAGTTGTGTCACATGAGATGACTCGGGGGTCCAAGGAAGCCCTGTCACCCACTCATCGACTCCTTCCTCCGCCTCCCCTTATCTCCCCGCCTGAATGCCAGCATGATACAAAACCCCTTCTTTCTCCTGTTTACCCACAGACAGAAAGGCAGCCTTGTGCTGGTAGACAAATCAGAAGAAAAATCCAGTTTGATAATCCAGGAAGGAACACCACTCCAGAATCAAAGCTGCACACAGCGTATGATGTGATTGCAGCGTTTGCGACTGGGAACTTGCAGGCTGGGGCCGAGTCTGTCTACCTCAACTGCAGCCCGGGCTCCCCCTGGAACCCTTACAGTCTTACAGTGGTCCCCAAGACCAGAGCCAACCCCGAGCACTACGTCATTTCAAAGTTTGGCATCCTCCACGTGCAGCCCGGTGGAAACTCCGACCTGCAGAGCTTTGCAGATTGGCTGCGCGAAGCCGGCCTCTTCTCACTCTGTCAACAGGTCCCCTTCTTCAGGAAATTCCTGACACGCAAGATGTTTCACAACTGGCGCCACAATGTTTGCTATCGCCAGTTTCTGCGGCTCCTAACAGAGGTCGATCGAGTTGGCCTGCGATTTTTCCCAGAGTTCCACGAAACTATTGACAAAATCCACAAACTAAACACAGAACTGCTAAACCTTCAGACTCTAGCACTCACACCACTTGCTTGCTACTCGGCCAATGCTATTGAGAAGACCAGAGAAGAGACGGAAGCAAAGACTCACAGATTGCTCCAACGGTACTTCAAGTACTGTAAGCGTGTTGTCTCAGAGGCTGTAAGAACCACACAACAGAAAGCTGAAAAACTTGAGGAGGAGAAAAAGCATCAACCGTTTGTGTCTGATTCACCTATCAGCGTGCAGGTGGCTCAGCATGTTGAGCTCGAACGTAGGCTAGGAATAGCAAGGTATAGGGCTAGCAGACTCGGCGATTTCGTGTGTCTGGCTGAGCAAATGATGGCTGCTTGTCTCTTGGAAAAAACCAGACAGTCAGCTTGCCAATGGGTGGAAGATATTCTTCAGCTCACCAGTCATGTCTCTGACACTAGCTCTACCACTTCTTTTGAGAGCAGTACCTCAATTGTCGAGGAGCAATCTGAGGGTGTGGGGAAAAATAATGCCCTCATGATGGTGGAACTAAAAATTGCAGAGAAAGGCAAGTGTCAGCATTATATGAAGTGCCTCTGTAATCACGAGTTCCCTTGTTCAGGTGGGTTAGTAACGCAACCAGGCATAGAGAAGATTGTGCAGCTTCTCTCGACTCCTCTGAGAAGTATCATAGACCTCATCTCCACAACCTCCACCACATCCACTGCCATCCATACAAAAGCAGAGCCTTCCCACCTTCCCACTGGTGAAGGCGATACTGTGACGACAACTGGCACTGGTGGAAGGGTCTACAAACCACTTCTGCAAGTACTAAAAGGAATCAGTCGTAAGTAGTGGACCCATGGAGAAATTTGGGGATTTCTAATGCTGTTTCTGGTGCAGTGGGAGGCAGTGGTGCTGTTTCTGGTAGTGTTCCAGAGAGCTCTCGGGCAAGATCTCGACTGGAGGACGTCCACGCTCAAACCTGCAGTGAAATCAGAGCAAGGGAAGAGTATTCCACGACTAGCAGTCCTCTTGTGCCACACAACATGCAGAAGAAGCTAAAGCAAGAGTGAGTCAGCCAGTCTTTCTTTTTGCATCTCTATCTTCTATTCAGTCCAGTGCTTCAGAGTTTGTCAAAGAGGTTACATGAGGCTCTGGATGGCCTGAGATGTGAAGTGTCTGGAGTTTGCCAGCAGTACGTGTGGCTGGAACACACCCAGTCTCTCATCTCCAGGTGTAAGAAAGACAAGATCAGTGACATGACTGCTGAAAACTTTGAAGTCAGTTCTTGCACAATAGTCAACTAATAATTAAGTTATTCATCCAATCTAGACGGTGTTTGGAGAGCTCCATGTAGCTCTATCTCGGGTGTCCCGCCTCCCTCCCCTCCTCTCCACCTCACACTCTCTCATCGCCATCAGCACAGTTCAGGTGGCCTCCCAGCTGGAGCCTCAGCTCCAACAAACAATGGAGAGACTCCAGCAGTCTCTTGCTGCCCAGGCACTGGACGTGGCAACTCAACTGCTCAAAGATGCAGCCAAACACACACAAGTATATCTGTTAGATATAACCATTATGTGCCAAAGAGTAGGTTGCTGTTGTCTATATCATTGTAAGGAGTATAGTAGGGTTGATGGAGCCTTGGGCTTGATAGTTTCATGTGCTGACTTTTCTGTTGCAGATGCTGTTGTCAAAGCGCTACGATTTGGAAGGATTTGTGCAGTATGCACACAGTCTGCGTGAAAGCCAGGCCTTCCATGGCAGAGAGGCTGCCAACACTCAGAGAGTTGCAGACGTCCACACCACTCTCAGGAAGTACAGGATCCCCATCTCTGAGGAGGCCAGAGAGACCCTGCAGAGACTGCAGGAGGTGTGGGGAGAGTTTGAGGCCTGTCTGGTAGACGGAGGAGAGTTCGTGAACAAACAGACTCCCATCAAGGCTCAGGGTCTTCAGGAGAGCATATTGGTGGGTTCACTTCCCCAAAATTTCTTCCTGTTCTAACCCTGCCTCCTGAGTTGTGATCAATGAGCTTGATGTGTGTTCAGTGTAGCTGATGTTTGATTGCCACAGGTTCTGGAGGAACAGTTAGAGCAGCTAGTGGCATCAATCTGTGTAGGGGAGTTCGTTGACCCCTCAGCATCTCCCCAGTCTCTGCTGCTGCAACTGGAGTCAACTCTGGAGGAGATGCATCTCTTCAGAGGCCGCCTCATGGAGCTGTCAAAATGGGAGGAGGCCATCACTGGCAGGCACCATGACCTCTCTCGAATGTTCCAGTGAGTTATGAGTCCATTACTGTGTTGGTTGATTTCTCCTCCCTCTGCAGTTGTTTTGATGTGCTGTACGCCCGTCAAGAGCTATGGAAGTATCGGAGACAGTTTGACAGCTGTTACTTTGACTGGTCTCGCGTGCCTTTCAAAAAACTGGACATGGCATATGTGGAGCAGAAAGTGAGTTCCAACCTCTAGTATGTGGCTGATAGTTTACAGTATGTGTATAATGTGTGAAGGTTAATGAGTGGCGGGCTGTCTGTGACAAGCTGGGAAACAAGCTTCCCTTCACTGATCCAGTGCTTGAGCAGTGGAGAGAGAGCGTGGGGAGAATGCACACCAACATGTCCACACTGCAGCTACTAGCCTCCAGAGACATACAGGTATATTATACCCAACACCGACCCCCACTAATAATAGTAGTGATCTCTGTGATTCAGACATCTCACTGGCACACAATCTTTGCTGGGTTCAACGAGCAGTACGACCCACGGCAGAGCTACACCCTCCATTTCTTTCTAGACAGAGACCCCGGCAAGTACAGTGACCTCATCTCTGAAGTCCACTGCCTTGCCTCACAGCAGAGCAGACTCAGGGAAAAGGTGAGGATTGGAAAAAAAAGGCAAACTGATCATGTGTCTCTCCATCTATAGTTTGTCTCAATGGAGAAGATTTGGGAGGGGAGGACGATAGACCTTTGTCAGACTGCTGTCGAGCGCTACTCCTTCTGTCTTCCGCCCAGTGGGAGCTCACAGCGCCAGACGACAATCACCTTTCAAGACTCCCCAGACACTGCAGCCAAGGAGACTGAGAAGGAGCAGCTGCAGAGTGTTAAGGGAGGAGAGCCGCTAAGGAGAGAAATCGAGGCTGCTGTGCTGGAGCTAAACAACATACTCTCTTCTCCTCATCTTGGCCGACTGAAGAAGAAAGTGGAGTTACTTCGCTCCAGCCTCTGCCAAGTCAGCGAGCTCTTTCGTCTTCTCTTGCACTGCCAAAGTCAGGTACTCAATAGTTTATCAGTGTAGAAATGCTTGTGAATACACATTGTTTTTGTTTTCAGTGGCAAGATCTGCTGGAGCTATTTCTCTACACCAAGCCTTTGTCCCGCAAGTCAATTGGTCTTCAGCAGCTCCAGTCAGCCAGTAGCCACATGCAGGAAATCATGTACAGCATCCACGGAGACCCACGACTGTTCTCGCTGCTCAGCAAGAGCCGTGGGAGAAAGGGGGTCCGAGACTTGCAGGGACCTGAGCTCAGGAAGAAACTCAAGACTGTTCTGCAATGCCTGGTAGATACTCTATTGTGGCTCATTGAGTGTAAACATATCTGTTGCTGTTCGCAGGAAACAGTGATGCTGAAGCTTCATCCAAGACTGCAGGAAGCAGAATCCCAGTGGCCCAGGCTGGGGTACCTCACTCAAAGAGAGAAACTAAAAGCTATTTCCTGCAGAGGAGATCCACTGCCAATCATCCCACTAATTGGCAGGGTCTTCCCTTCTATTGTGAATCTACATTACATCGAGACCTCTTTCGGCTCTGACCAAGATTCAGGTCAAGGTGAGAGCACAAACCAATCAGTTACAGTGATGATGGTCCCAGTTCTAATAGGGTACCAGATAACCGGAGTGGAGGGAAGACTAGGGGAACTACTGCCACTTGTTCTCCCCCTGGCTCTGGAGAAGAAAGCTGGGGTGGAGTGGCTGGCTGGTCTCGAGCAAGCTGTTAAGTTCTCTCTTGCTAGCAGACTGACAGACTGCCTGGCCACTCTACCCCACACCCTCACTGGCCAGCAACTAACTTCTGATACTGTTCAGGAAGTCTTGGAGTGGTTGGAGGGAAATGTAGAGCAAAATATTCTCCTGGCCTTGGATATCCACTGGTCTCATAGACTACTGAAGTCTGTAACTGATGCTGCGAATACACAGTCAATATGGTCTGTCTTTTCTCCTTGTTGTGTCAGTGGAGATACTCATATTTCACATACAGGTCAGATCTGAAGAGAACTCTTGAGAATACAATTCAGTTGCTACTGAGGCTGCAACAAACTCAGCAACAAGTTGAAGATGAACAGAACATTCTCAGAACTCTTCACGTCCTCAGAAGCCTTGTCATCTATTTGAGGAGGAAAAGTGACTTCGCTCAGTCTCTTCTGGAGTCCAGCGACCGACATGCAGCGTGGCAGCTCCATCTGCACCATACCACTGAGAGACATGAAGTTCCTAGTGTGCAAGAATCTAGAGCCAGCTCTCCAGCCAGTACACTGGCTGACTCGAATATTAGCACCACCCTTGAGAGTCATCCGAGAACAAGTCAGACCCCGTCTGATCCTCCAACCCAACAAATTTCCCGCCAACCCTCATCCTCATCTCTAATTGATGGACATACTTACAGAGCTGGGAGGGACCCACTGCACATTTCACCACCGACCCCCTGTTTTGTGAATGCTGGGGGGTGTTCAGTGGCCTTAGGGTTCGAATATTACAGCCCGGCCCCTCAGATTGTCTTGACACCCAGTATGGAATCAGGAGTTGTAGCCACCGTATCTGCCTTTGCCCAGCACTCATTCCCATGTGTCAGTGGAGAGCAGAACACAGCAACCATCAAGGAAGCAGCAAAGGTTAACACATTCATTCTAGTTCCCATTATATACTCTTGTGTATGATCCTGCAGGTGATGGGCAGGCACCACTACCACCACACTTGTTGTCATCTCACAGCTGCTGTCTCTCTGCTTCACCTGCTGCACACTGCACTCTCCAGTGGCTCTGTCCTCTCTCTGGGAGAGTCTCACTGTCTGCCCACTGCCGTCCAGCTCAAGATGAGGCACTATCTTTACACTCTAAAGTCTGCTCTGGCCGTCTGCTTCACTCAGCAATCAACAGAGGTATACTATTGAGAACAGGGCCCACTATTTGTAATTCCAGTTTGGCCAACACAGCTGCCAGATGAAGATCTCTCTCCACCCTCTCCTCGCGTTGTCTCATCACGTCTGGACTGGTACAGAACACTCCCCTTGTCTTCTAGTTCTCCGAGCCCACTCTCACTGGAACTCATGGGGAAAACCCTGTCCGTCAACCCCAACTTTGCCTGCTGTATTCTTCTCCATGCAAACAAGTCAAGCAAGCTGAGTGACACAAGACTAAGAAGCATAGTCTGTATGACACCAGACGAAAGGCTCGTGGTTGAAGTTTTGCTACTGAGCCATGGATTTTCATCAGCCTACCACCTCAGTAGATTGCTAGTTGGTGTGTCAGAACAGCTTCAGACTCAGCTGAGTGTTGGGCATAGTTTTGGCCTGCAGTGGTTGCAGAAGGTCATCAATCTTGCAGCAAAACTCCTGCACAGCAATAGCGGTGATTTCGACTACAAGTCAGAGGCTGCTCATGAGGTAAAAGACAAAACTGCATCATGTTAGTTTAATCTGGTGTGTATGTAGTTAGAGGTAGCGGCCAGAGCAGTGTTGGGGGTGACAGCTCCTATAGTTCCTCCTGAAAAGACCACTGACCTGGAGATCCTTGTCAGTTCTCACCTATTCAATGGTGAGACAGTGGAAAACTGGGAGAACTGGGAGAGGGAACTGGCAAAGGCAGTGGAGGAAGAAATGAGCGAAGGACATCTCCAAATCAGCCCAGAAGTCACCAACAAAGTGAGCAGCATTCAGCCAATCTTAGCATTTCTTGTTAAGTCATGAAATCCTCAGATTCTGCAGCTCCACAAGAGTCTAGGTCGGTACAGCTGCACCATTCTCTTGGGCCCAAGTAAGAGTGGGATCAGCACGTGCTACCACACCTTGGCATCTGCCTGTGTTCGTATGGGAAGACCTCCCCCATCAATCACTGTCATCAACCCTGCAGCCTACTCCTGGGAACAGGTGAGCTCGAGATTTGGGCCAAATGAACTGTACACTGAAATGGTTACACAAATCTTGCAATTTGTAGCTGTTTGGTGGCTGGTGTACTGATGATGATGGCAGGGAGCAGTGGATCAATGGCATACTCTCCAGATTACTGCTGCACATCAAGACCTTTGAGAAGGCCTCCAGTCCTCATTGGATAGTTCTGGATGGGCCCCTCTCCCCCTCACATCTTGGCACAATCACTACACTCATCTCAGGTGGCAAAGTTTGCTAAGCTGCAAAACACATTGATGTTCTCTTTGTACATAGACGATGGACTGTGTTTGCCTGGCATGGAAAGGGTTAAAATCCCCTCAAACTGCCGCCTGCTATTGAAGCCTGGTCCCCTTGCTACCCTCTCACCTGGATTGGTTGGCTATTGTGGACTTCTCCACTGGTCTTCTGAAACCCTCGCCCACGATATGCTGGTGGACAGTTGGCTGGACAAAGCTCCCACTCAGCATGACCTAACTGGAATGAGGTACATTAGAGTAATAATAAGTACTGCCCTAGAGCATCCTCCCCTGCAGCATCTCCTTCCTTGCCAATGTTCTGCAAACCATGGTTCCGGAGAGCCTGGACTACCTGGAGAGAGTGTGCTCTAAGCACTACGGCCACCAGTATACCTCACATGCAGAGCAAAGATCGCGTGGCATAGCTGAGACCTCCACCCTGCTCATTCTGCTGTCAGCCATGTTGGAGAGAAACTGCCCAACAAGAGAAGACACGGCTACGTACTCAGGCTATGGGTCTCGCAGCACCAGCAGTCTGAGGAGCAGCAGTGTTGCTGGAAGTCTCACTAGCTCGCGATGCGGCAGTGCAATCTCTCAGGCCTCCAGCATGGCTGAACTGACTGACACATTACCTCCACTGACCCCTGATGATCACATGACTCCTGACCAAACTCCCTTGGGGATGGACTTCTCTTTCTCTCCGTCCAACCTCGACTCAGTGGAGACCCAAACTCTCAGCATTCTCACCTTTGCCTTCATCTGGTCCATTGGAGCATACATCCCATTCAGGTATTACCATCGTCCTCAGATCACTATGTGGGTAACCTCACTCTTTCCCTACTAGTGAGCTGGACTCATTCAATGAGTTTGCTCTGAAGCAGATCAACGACCTGCCAATGTCTGTCTCTTTCCCTGAAGAAGGCAGTGTGTTTGACTACTACCTGGACCTAAAGACGTACAGGTTTGAGCACTGGTCGAAGCGCAAGAGTCGACTGGCTCCAAAGAGCAACGGTTACATCCCCACATCTGAGCTCAGTCGAGTGGCCTACATTGCAGAAATGTATCTCTCCTACGGTCATAATGTTCTCTTGCTTGGAGACAGAGGTTCAGGGAAGACCAGTTTCATTGAGGTAGGCAGTGTGCACTGCATAGAGGGATGGCATTAACCTTAAAGATAATGTGAAAACCTTTCTTTCCCTCAGTCTCTTCTTCAGTCCAACTTGTCTCTGGCAAGGTTCCCAATCACATGCTCTCTGACGGCCCCCCAACTCCACACTGCTCTCTGTAACAAGGCCCTTGAGGTATCGCGTGTGGACAAGATGAAGTGGGGGTCCAGAAAGATTGGGATTCCAGGACAAAACTGCCTCTTCTTTCTCGATGACCTGCACTTGAGCTATCGTGAAAACCCTCAAGACTCCCACACTCCAGTAACTCAGCTAGTTTCATTTGCCTCGCGTCATAGCTGTCTCTTCACCTTCCCTGATGAATCGGTGTGCTACATGAGCAACATCCAGTACCTTGCTTCAAGTTTGCCAGGACACCAGTATACTCACCTCGCCCATCTCCTCGGTTCCTTCCACCCCGTCCCTCTCTTCCCGCTCTCAGACCAGGCCCTGCACACCATCTTCTCCACCACTGTTCAGATGTGGTTCAAGAAATTCCCCAATGCTGCCATTGGAGACCCGGAGACTCTTGCAAAAGGACTGAGTTGTGCATCAGTTGCAACTTTTCGTAGTGTGTGTGCGCGACTGCATCCGTCCCCTGCTCACCCAGAGTGGTTCTTTTCGCTCCAACACCTGATAGATGTGTTCAAGGGACTCATTCTGATGCCACTTGATGCCAAAACCACAGCTACTTCACCCCACTTCGGTCTCCTCAATCGCAGAGCTACCCCTTCTACTGGTACCAAGTCATCTTCCAGGAGAATCCCAGAAAAGAGTGGACGGAAATCTTCCAGTGTTGTGCCAGCCCACTCAAGGAGAGGCACAGCTAGACCAAAGCCGTCAGTACACCTCCCTCCAGTAAAGAAAGAGAGCAATCTCCGGAGGAAGATAAGGTCGGAGCTGAAGGGAAAGAAGCAGCAGCACGACAGCTCAGAGGTGCAGGCTACTCTCCACCGATTCGTCAGACTGTGGTGCCATGAAAACACACGAGTGTTTGCTGACCGAATGACAGAGAGTAGGGACCGTGCCTGGTTTGTGAGATTGCTAGAGACCTGTGTGAAGTACTGCTTCTGCGGAGTGGGGTTTGAGAAGGCTGCAGCTTCAACTGGGCATGGTGAGCTACACATAGTGGCACCAAGCTGGAAGTCATGTAAGGTGTATATATCCACTGCAGGTGGTCGACCAGGGAGAAGAGGGAGAGGTGTTAGCATGGCCACACAGAGCGTGGGACTCAACATGTCTAAACTCATGGCTGATGGAGTTAGAGCTGATGTCCTACAAACACTGATGCCCCGTGCCCCCCAGATGGCAGCCGCTACTGATGGCACAGGACAGGGAGAAACAAGTGGAGAACTGATCCCTCTCAATCAGGTCATCACAAGAGGAGAAGACGTCACAGGTTAAAATCCACATTCCATGATAGATTCTTCTAATATCAAAATGCTGAACTTGCAGCACTGATCTTCTGCAAGCTTCCTAGCATGCGCCCTACCAGTTCTACGAGAAGTGAAGCATCCTCAGATGATGAAGGTGCAGACAGTGGCTCTGAGGATGAACAGGAAGATACTGAGGACAAGAAAGATACAACTGCTGATAGGTCTGTGGGTGTAGGGCCTTATGTAAACCCCATCCATTATCGATCCTCACACAGCAGCCCCTGTGTGTACAGGGAGCTAGGAGATGGGCAGGTGCTGGGGGCGATAGAGAACCACATCAAGAGATATGCAGCACACTGTGCTAAGGAGCACCAGGACAATCCTGCCTCCCTTGTTCCTCCCCCAGATTTTATTCTTTTCCAGCAGGCCATGGAGCATGCAACTAGACTCTGCAGAGCAATGGTGGGGTTAATGCCACCCTTTGTTGGATTCTGTCACCGTTCACTTCACATCAGATTCTCCCTGGATGTCATGCCTTGCTTCTTGGAGTTCCTGGCAGTGGCAGAAAGAGCCTGTGCAGACTTGTAGCCTACATGATGAGAGCTCAGGTACAGTGACTCAATCAATCTTGAAAACTTTAATAACTGATGTTTTCCTTTAAGCTCTTTGAACTGGAGATCAGTTGCAAGAGAGGGATGGATATTGTGAAGAAGGCATGTCTGTCAGCTGCTACATCAGCCTCTCCCACTGTCTTGCTAACCACCACTGCTGAGCCATGCCATAACAAAGACATGTGGTCCAGCATCTCAAAGATCATGAGTGAAGGTCAGGCAAAATCCTCCACTCGGCTTCTCTAAACCATTCTTGCCTGCAGGTTCTTACAGTGGGTTCTTAACCCACACTGAGTTGATTCGACTTCAGAATGTGCTGAGAAAAGACCACCTCAAGAAGGCAGTCACACCTCAGGCCATTGCTAGACTTGTCCACCACAACCTCCACGTTGTGATAGTCTGGGACACTGACCGATCGACCCATTCTCCGATACCGTTGCAAACAGCATCGAGCGATGGGGCAACTAGATCTGATCCCGGGTCGGAAGAGATATTCTCAATGCTGTGCAGTCGGTGCAGTGTAGTGGACCACTATCAGACATGGGGCCAGCGAGAACTGAGTGAGGTGGCCCAGAAGTGGTGGAGGGAGAAAACCTGCAGTCTGCAGCACGGTTGGGTCACATCTGGTGAGCCTGTCTCTTTATCTTCACATGTCTATAGGTAATTCTAATACAGAGAGCCAACTGGAGTCCCTAGCTGATCTTGCCGCTCATATCCACCTCTCATCACTCTCTGTGATGGAACAGTCTCCACACCACTTGTCCTCCCTTCTCCTCTCCCCCTCTTCCTACACCACCTTCCTCACTCTGGCCCACAGCATTGCCATCTCTCTCACTGAGAAAGACAAAGTGAGACTACACTAAGCCCTGCCACTGTATGTAGCTATTACTGTACTCTGTGATAGGGGAGGGAAGAGAGGGTCTTGCAAGCACTGGAGAAGGTGGCAGGTGGGGAGGAAGGAAAGAGAGTCTTAAAGGGAGAGCTGAATACTCTACAGTCTCAGATGAGAGAAGTGGAGGCACAGATGGAAGAGAGGGAGAGGAACATTGAGGCCTTCCAGCAGAGGTGGAGCTCAGAGTTGTGATTATGAAGCTCCTGTAATTATCCATTGTTGGTTTTTTCAGGTATAAATCAGCCAGTCAGGAGTGGAGTGAAGCAAAGAAAACTATAACCTCAAAAACAGAGACACTCAAAAGCCTTCAATCGACTGTGGCTGAAAAGATGGACCAGGTAAACGTGTACCTGAACCCTGATAATTGGTACATGAACAATGTGCAGGTGTCGTCTCTGCATTCTTCTGCTCTGGAGGCGCTATCTTCAGTCAGTAAGAATGATGTTCTGGAGGTGATGAGTTACAGAGAGCCTCCGGCCTCAGCTACTCCAGTCTTCAACTCACTCTGCATGCTATTCGACAGACCTCAGACGTGAGACTAACCACCTCACAATATGATCTCTATTCTGCTATGCTTGCTGATCAAAGGTGGGAGGATTGCAAGCTACTTCTCCTAAGTCCAAACTTCTTCGAAAGTCTGAGGTTCTTCGACAAGGATTACGTACCACGTCAGAAGCTGCGCCGGCTGAGAGCCATGTTGAGGTCTCCTAGCTGGAAGACTGACTCTCTGGAATATGCCAGCAAGTAAGACCAGCACTGTCCCTGTCTGATCCACTGCTGCATGTGTGACATGTTCTAGAGCTGTTTCGTCACTTGCTCTGTGGGTGGCTGCACTACTGGACTACCATCATGCAAGAGATGTCGTGAAACCATCGCAAGAGGAACTAGCCATTGCAGAAGGGATCTTGACCACGGTACAGTGCATATATACAACTCTACGTATTTCAACACTGATATTCCTCTAATTTGTTCTCTCAAGGCTGAGTTGACACTTGTGGCAAAGCAAAAGATTATGATTGACACTAAATTGGAGTTCAAGCAAGCACAGAAAGAACGCAGCGGTATCGTCAAACAGAGGAAAGCCATTGAAGCCAAGATAGCTGTTAGTGCTTTTATTCACGTTTTGCCTTCTGTGAACAGTGGCATGTGACACCCTCTATAGGCCATGGAGAAGAGGCTGAATGAAGCAAGCGTGCTCCTCTCCTCCCTCTCTCCATGGAAGTTGTACTGGGAGGGGGAAAGATTGGCAATCCATGCCCAGACCCTCTCCTCCCCCGGCCATGCAGTTCTAGCAGCAGCCAGTGTGATCTACCTCCCTCGTGTGCCTGCCGACAGCCACAGCTCCCTCTGGGACAGCTGGCTGGGCTACTGTATTGGAAGGGTACAAATGGGCTCCCTTTTGGAGACATCTTCATCAGAGTATCACTCCTCCAGCCACCAGGCCAGGGTCCAGATTGAACCAAACTTTTCTCCCAGGAGCACACTGTCACTGGAGGACGAGAGAGCATGCTGGAAGCACTATGCCTCGTTTCCCAATCCTGCAGTTATGGATCGTTGCGTATCAGCTCGCAAATCTCTCGAAATGGCTTTCACACCTCCACCTCTTGTGTTGGATCCACACCAACTATTCCAGGGCTATGCTCACGAGTTGGAACTACACCGCAACAACCAACACTCTGCAATAAGCAAGAGCCGCAAACAGCCAGTCTGTTGTGTGGAGGTATTCAGGGTGTCAGCAAGTGGGTGGGCCCAGATGCTGCTTGAACTGGAGGAAAAGAGAGAGAAAGCGGTTGTCCTCATTCTCGATGTGGTACCCTCTACCACTGATGCAGAGACACTGATATCTCTACTGCGAAGACGAAGCGAGAACCTCACGAACAGCTGGGACCTAACTCCACCCCCGGAAGAAATCTTCAGGTACAATTCCCAACATTTTCAACAAATCCTGTTTAGCTGTCACTTAACAGGCTCTATTTGGTGCTGGAGCAAAGAGTAACTGAGATGCCTTCTCCAGTCCTTGAGTCTCTGGGCCTGAAGCTGTTGGATTTCACAGTAGTGGACATGGAGCTGAGCAGGAAGGCCTTGGAGTCTCACCTGCTCAAGTTTATTCTGAGGATCGACCATCCAGAGTATGCCGCGAGGCACAGGGCTCTGCTGGTGGATAAAACCTTCTACGAGAACCAAATAAAGACCAGCAAGGTCAGAAATATTTACATAGGTACTCCAAGGGACAAATGCGCTGCATTCTCCAGCTGAAGTAAAAGTATTCAGAATGGTTATTACCCTGGGCGCGCATGCGCAGCGAGGGTACTGTAGTTGGGGGTGTTTGTCTGTCTAGTCTGTGTGTCTGTTACTCTCAATCTCACTTCTCGGGTGTCTGTTCGTCCCAGAAACGATACCATCTACCCAACGGGCGACGAGGGTCAGAAAATATGTGGGGTTTTCTCTGAAAATGATCCGTTGCAGAGCTAGAGCGCTTCCAGCATTGTATGTATGGCGGTAGTCGCAATTTTATCGCTGGCGGACAATGCGCATGCGCTTATATTTAGCACAAGAAGTCACAACGAATGGCGTGTATCGACTCTCGCGTGCTATCTACTACTGTAGCTAGCCCGTGTCAGACTCTCTGCGAGCTACTTCGCCGAGGGTTTGCACTTTAGTGCTTTTCATTTACACTGTTCCCATCAAGTAATGGTGGTGGTCTGATGGATAAGCACCCCCTCTCATGATCGTGAGATCCTGGTTCGATCCCGGGTGTGTACGCCTTTTTTACAATGATGTAATAGGAGTGTTGGTATATATGGAACGTTTTTTCATCAGCTCTCAAGGCCAGCCCGAGTGGCTAGGTGGTTAGAGTCGTGGGGACTGACACCATAGGTGCGGGGTTCGTATCCTCGATCCCGCACTGAAAATGTCAGATGGTCCAGAGCATTGGCTGGGAACAGCTCTGGTTCCTCCCCTTACCCACAAATCTACCACTGACCCATGTTTCTCGAAGGGCAGCGTACAGTTCGGCATAGCACTGCGTCCGTAGACGTCTGTCTGGAGAGATGAAGGGCTGGCCGTTTAAAATTTTTTTTTCAACCTTAGATTTTTTTTTGCACTAAACAATCCACAGGTAATACGAAAATTAATAGAGAGATGAAAGGTTGGCAATTTTTCAACCCTATATATTTTTTGGGCCTCAAACACAAATGGGGCTGGCCATTTTTTCAACCTATTTGACCATGGAAATAGTGCATAACATGCTGTTCTTTTTTGATACCATCAATTGTGGTGGTGCCACACTTGTGTATGGGTTCCACATTTGTATATAGTGTGCCGAGGGTTTGCAATTTAGTGCTTTTCATTTGGCCTGTATTTCACTCACTAAAAGTACAAAAAGTTTAGTCCCATTTTCCACAGTCACGCCAAAAATATCATACTGTATATAGTCTCCTAGTCAGGGAGTTTGGCCTGTATTTTCTTAGTGCAGTGATGATAGGAGTCTCACATTATTTGCAGGAGAAAGTGATTGTGTCAGTGCTAGAGTCCGCCAGTGTGCTGGACTCCCCGCATATCAAGGAGCTGGCTGAGGAGAGTTTACAGATCGAAGCCTCAGCTCTAGAGAGCATCAGAGACACTGAAAAAGCTCTGACCAGATCTCGGGGTCTTGTTGACAACTACAGACCACTGTCACTCTTCTCAGCCCTGGCCTTCACAGAGGCTCAAGGGCTGTGCGGCAGACTCCGCTACCACACTCCCAGTCTCGCCTTCTTCCAGGACCTGGTGGCTGCTCAGCTGGCACGACACAGACACGGCAGACCGCCTGAAGACCCAGCTGCCTGTCAGGAACACGTACTCCGAGTCCAACAAAGCCTTCTCCTAGAGCTACACAAACGACTGAAGTGGGGCATGTTCCGCAGACACCACCTCTTGCTACCACTGCTGGTGAGCCTGGCACAGAGACTGGCTGTGGGGGAAGTGAGCTCCCAAGAGTACAGAGCTCTGGGGGAATACCCTGAATCACTGGAGGACCAGAATGAGACCGGAATAAAACCAGCCTGGCTCTCAGCAGAGGTGCACACAAGTATAACAAAATCTTTGATTATAGTTCGAGGGTGGAATAAAAACACCATCTCACTGCGTTTATCCCTATCTTGCTCTATCTCACTTATATTTCGCTAAACACCTCTCTCCGAACAAGTTTAGAACAGTTTCGCATTTTTTGCAGGCAGGTGAATTAACAAACTGACAAACCAACCATCCCCAATAATTTGACTATAGTTGGAGTGTGGAATAGCAACAATTATATGTTTCTTTGCTCTCTCACTTTTAAAGTATACAGTGACTTTGTGTATATACACTCACCCTTGCCGTAGGTCTGGGCGGGTGTTCAGCAGATGGAGACACTCCCAGTGTTCCAGGGGCTCCTCTGCTCTCTGGTGGACCAGAGTGAGAGCTGGAGGGAGTACTGCACACAGGAGATGACTCTTTTCTCCCCTACACCTCTCACTCCCAACTCACTCCTCAACCCTCTCCATTCCCTGCTTCTCCTCTCTGTCCTCAGACCAGAGAAGGTAAGTCCAGTGTTTTCTTTGCCACTTTTCCCCAGCAAATGGGAACAAGGCAGGCTTCACTTCAGAGTATCTGTCTTTTTTCTGTCCAGTTTTCTGAAGCAGTGGAACAGTTTGTGTCTGAGACACTTGGTCCTCAGTACACAACTCAAGATACAGGAGGAGACACCATTGATAATGTTCTCTCGGTGAAGACGCCGAGTCTCCCTGTAGTTTGTCTCACTCACTGCGAGGGAGATGAAGAGAAGGTGGAGAAACTGTTGAGGGAATCAGCGAGGGAGAGGGGAGTGGTCTTCCACCATGTACAGCTGGCCAGTGATGATGGAGACAGGGAGAAGGTTCTGAGAGACCTGGTCCAATGGTCCAGTGGCTGGGTAATGATCACCTACAGCCATCTGCTTCGAGACCCCAAGAACACATGGAACAAACGAACAGAGGTAGCTAAAGCTGATTAACAGCAGTTTTGCACATAATGTGCTTTAGCTACTCTTCAACTCCTTGAATTTTGCGTACAGACATACCTGTTTCTCAGGTTATTCAAAGAGGTCAGAGTTCTCAAAAGTCCCAGCTCCAGCTGTGGCTGACGGTTCCCTGGCCTCAGAGTGGTAGACTCATTGAGCCCAGCTGGCCTTGTGTGGTGATCCAAGACAACAGCAACGTCAAACACAGCCTGTGAGACTATCAAGACACCTCTCTATATGGGACAGTTGGCTCTGCCCCATACTAATGTATCGTGCTACTTTCAAATAAAGAACACCTCTGAGAAAATGACTTTCATATTATGTCCCTATATTTAGAGGTTTCACTGTAGCAAGGTCCTCTCTCATCTCTCCACCCAGGGAGATGCTGGCGCAGGTGAAGCTGGCTGTTCACAGACACTTCAGCAAAAATTGATTTTTAATGCACACAATCAACGACAATATAGAAGGGGCCACTCAATTATCTATTCTGTTCAGAGTTGTTCTTTTATGGCAGTAGTAATACAGCTCTGTGATAAAGCAGTTTTTCAACTCTGTAGTCAGGCATCAAATCAGTCAAGGTCCATATCAGCTGCAGCACCAGATGGCGAAGGCTTGGCAGAAGAACTGGTGGATGCCGCCGGAGGTGGGTGGGCAGACGACCCCTGACCTGCTCCGCCCATTCCAGAGGGAGCCCCGCCCATCCCACCCATTCCGAGTGTTGCTGACAGTTTCTCCATCACTTTCTTCACCTTTGGATTGCCCTCGTACTTCTTGACGTTCTCCGGGTTCTTCTGGACGTCCATGAAGGCAGCAGTCACCTCAGGGTCCTGCGGGGAGAGGCAGAGACATAGTACATATACATTGGAGTGAATGTCCAGACCTGCATCATCTGCAGCAGTTCAGGATCTGAGAAAATCTGGTTCATCTCAGCTGAATGGGGAATGAATCTAATGTGATGGACACAAGGCATCAGTATTTCAAACCTTGCGCGGCTCCACCCATACCTCCTTTTCCTCCCATTCCAGGCATTCCAGGCATTCCTGGCATTCCACCCATTCCTGGCATTCCACCCATTCCTGGCATTCCATCCATTCCTGGCATTTCTCTCGCTTTCTTGGCCTCCTCTTTCTGTTTCTCCTCCTCTTCCCTCGCTCTTTCCATGGCCTCCCGTCTGTAGTAACAGCTGGTAAAGAAAAGGCTCACACACAGACTTGAGTCACCGTCTGCGAATCTTGTCCTTAGCTTCTTTCTCTCTCTGCTTCCTCTCCTTCTTCAACTTATGCTCTCGAATCTTCTCCACCTGAAGCCACACCCAAACCACACCTCCAGCTACAACAAACACACTTCACGAAATCACCTTTGATTTGATATCTTTCAGAGCTGCATTAGCGTCATCATCGTAGTCCAGCCGGCACGACATCTGGAGATCTTTAGCGGCAGGCTCCCAGTTCCCCAGGAGGCAGTGGGCCTTCCCCCGCCACTTGTATCCCTGCGCAGAGTCTGGGTTCATTTTGATAGCTTCATCGCAGTCCCTGATAGCTGCGTTTGGTTTATGGAGCTTCACGTACTGACTGGAGAAAGGTGAACACAACATCACAGAGAATGAGGGAGATAGTGGCAAACCTTGCTCTCTTGGCATAGAGAAGAGCACTCTTGGGGTTAGATTGGATGGCTGATGTGAACAGCTCCACGGCTTTCTGAAATTCTCCCTCAGCTGATGCCATCATGGCCTGGCCCCTCAGCTCCCTGGCCTTATCCTCCATCTCTTCACTCACCTACACACAACCCAGCAAAATGGTGTACAATGGGAGCAAAAGTATACATTAAGTAACGTAAGAAGGCAAACAACAGTATAGAGGGTAACTACATACGAAGAGAGGGTTTTATACACACACCTCAGTGCTGGGGTCTCCCATAGGCTGTGGTGGATCGTTGTCAGGCGGAACAGTTCCCTCCGTATCCATCTCTAATCAACATTCAAAACATAGTAGGTATCTGTAATCCCCACATGCAGTACCTAGGTCACTCTCCTCTGATTCCTCTTTCGGCGACGGCTCCTAAAGATAACCAGGGAAAGAAAAATGGCCAAAACCGAGAGAAAGGTCTGGTGACAAGCCTTGGTCTGGGGAGGGGGTTCGGCTTTCTTTGGAGGTGTTTCCTCATCGTCCGAGCTGGGGGGAGAGGGAGGCTCCCTGTCTTCGTCCGCCATGCTCTGAGGCTGAGGCTCAGGCTCAGTGGACGGTGCGGGAGGTAGCTCCGCCGATAGACTGGTAGCAGAATCAGCATAAGACTCCACACACACTGCTCGTACTGACTCACGTGAGGAGCCACTCCTTGAAGAACGCGAGCTCGGGCAAGTGGATGATAGCCGGACGAGCCTGACAGAGGCTCACGAACTCTCTCAGCTGCGCTACTTTGCTTGGGTCCATAGACACGGCGCTCAGAAGAAATGGAGCTCCTTCCAGAATTATCCACGTGCAGGTCAAAGGTCGCCGTGGCAGCGACGTAGCGCGTGCGCGCGGTACCAAAATATTTTAACGTAAAAATATCTCTTGAACAAAAAAAACTGGGGTGTTAGGAAGCATTTTTTAAACTGGCGTATAATACACTGTTAGGCAGCCTTGTGCTGCTGGTTCTGCCTGGGAACAGAGAAGGTGATACACTGCAGGGAAAGAGGGAGGGAGGGAGAGTAGATATGTGGTCAAAAACATCAGTTTGCACAGACCAGGTGGTCCAGAACATCCATGAGAGAGTCTCTGCTGATAGACAGAGCAGCTGCCTTGAGTCGACTCTGAATGTAGGTCAGCTCTAGAGGCTGCAGGCGAAACAGAACAAAACATCCAAACAGCAGCAGCCCAATCGAAGCTTACTTTGTACATCAGCATGTCTTCGTAGAGCTTGGTATCTTTAGTGATGACCCCTTTGACCTTGGCTGCCAGCTCCTCCAGACTGGGCTTCTACGGAAATGACATCATTACGACATCATAAAACGACAGAGAACTACCTCGGATGATGCTCCTGGGACTTTCTTCTTCCCTCGTCCCTTCGCTCCCTCTTTTTTCTTTCCCTCGCTGGCTTTTTCTGCTGCCACCAATGCAGAATCTACCACATTTCCATCTTCATCTGCAGAGTAAATCAACCATAATCACCAGAGGGGCTCCCTCACTGTACATCAACATGGTAGGAAAAGTTTGAGCATTGATTATTGGCAAATCTGGGCATTGCATGCAAAATGCACAGAAAAACTTCATGTGTTATGTGTTCACATTATACCTGTCAGAGGATGAGTGTAGTCATAGATTTCAGTCAATTTAGCAATCATCTTCTTCTTTGGCAGAGCCCTCACTCCAAACTTTGAGCACTCTCCCTTCAGGTGAGGCGTGGCCATGTTGGAGAAGTCTGGCATCGGGGTTATCTCCGTGTCTGATTCTGGTACCAGTCTCTGCCCCGTTGGCCCCGGAGTGACAAACTGTACAGGCTGGGAGGTCTTGTCATGTGATCCAGTTGGTTGGTCTTGTGATCCAGTCAGTTGGTCATGTGATCCAGTAAGTTTTTCATGTGATTTATCATGTGATCCAGGGTCGGAGGGGCCTTGTACTGTTTCAGTGGGGGGCACAGAGGCCACACCCACTAGGGGGTGTGGTCTGAATATTCTCTTTCGGAGAGGCAGAGGTGAGGATAGTTGATCTTCCCTTTGTGATGGTGGGGAAGAGTGTGATTGGTGGGGAGGGGGAGAGGGTGTGTGCACTGGAAAATGGCGAGGAGAGGGAGACAATGTGTGCACTGGGAATCGGTGATGAGGTGAAGAGGTGGATTGGTGAGGAGGTGAGAGTTCAGGGGGACTGCTAGCCACACTAATCACATCTTCTACAGGGGACATTTGTACATCCACTGAAGCTTGGCGATTGGATTCATTTCTTATAGTAGGCAGAGCTTCACATGGAGGGGGTGCAGTTTCCAGAATGGGCGGAGCTTCCCATGGAGGGGGTGTGGTTTCTCTTGTAATAATCATCGAGGGAGAGCTGTGAGGGGTGAACATGGCTGGGGTCAAAGGTTGTATTCGGGAGCTGACTGGTTGGTAGGGGGCGGAGCCAGCTCCGAGACTTGCATGTGGTACGGAGAGGGAAGAAGGTTGAGTTAGTTTAACCCCCTGTCCACCGTCGCCCGCGTGAGTATGTACCAGTGGATGCCGTTCTTCACTCTCTTCCAATGGCTCCAGCATTCCAAGACTATTTGATGATATACAGAGCAAGATTACTAGAATATGCAGAGTTTACTGTCGTCTTACCTCATGGCCAGGAGTTTGACTGACTTGGTTCCATTCTGGCCACTTGGAATGGTGCCAGTGTAGAGGTAGCGCAGGAACGAGACCACGGTGGCTCTGCTGTACTGCCTGAAGTCGAGACGAACTGGCTTGTCAAGACTATGAAACAACCTCTGACAAAACAGAAAAATCACAAATAAACATCAACTCAAAATACTGTTATAGTTGGAAGCTTTGGAAGACTTGATTGTAATGGAAATTTATAACATGGATATGTACAAACTTGTTGATTGCTTGTTTATACACTCATTTGGCTTTTGTCCAAACAGCAAAATTGTGTTAGTCAAAACTACATACCTCAGCCAGCATGGGACAACGACAGGCGAGAATTGCAGAATGGGCGGGGATGCCCCTCCCATCTTCCACGGTGATTACCACATCGCTGCATAGCTGAGAGCCAACGAGAGACGAGAGGTCTGACAGGAGAGTTTGGACATCTCTGGGGAGGGAGGGGGGACGAGGGGAGGGGTGGGAATGTGTGGAGGGTGCTGGCGGTGAGGAGTGGAACGTGTGAAGATGTGAGTGCTGAGGAGAGTGTGAGGAGACACGGGTTTGTGAAGAAGAAGGGGAGCGTTTAGGGGAGTGATAAATGTGAGGATGTGAGGGTTGTGGAGGAGGAGAGGGAGTTTGGGGAGGGTGTGAGGCTGGGGAGGGCTGCGGGGAGGGAGACGAGGGATTGTCAGAGTCTGGCAGGTCCAGAGCTGAGACCAGGAACTTGCTGTGAGTGTCCTTCTCACTGTACCCAGCCATTTCCCAGAGAGTGGAGCTCCTGTCTGAGCTCTCCTCTCTCACCCTCTGCCCCAGTTGACTGGGGTTGTGGAGCAGAGCTGGTCCACTCTGAGGAGCTGTCTTCCCAGCCAGCCGTGCCTGGAGTCAACATTAGATTCTCTTCACGTAATAGCGCACATAGAAACTCCTTTCTAAGGACACCCTAAAATGAGGACACCTATCTTGCATGCAACCCATGAAATAAAGACACCTCACTAACACGGACCCTTTCGGTGTCTGGGTTCCACTGAACATACCTCATGTACAATTACACTGGCTCTCTGAGCTAAGATTCTCTGTTTCTCTGTCGCCGACGTTGTAATGACATTAGTTGGGAGTGCATCTCGTTCACTGGGTCTTCCCTTCCTGTGTCTCGCTCTCTTCTTCTCCCGTGGACCAGCCAGCACCCCGCTCTGGAGGGTGGAGGGAGGAGCGAGAGACGCAGACATTGCCAGGGCCAGCTGCAACTGGTCTTGGGACACCGTGTCAAGGTACCTGGGGACACACAGGGAGGAGCTGAGGGCACCAAACTAACAGTTTCAATTCGACACCGTACCCGCCAGTTTCGTTTTGTGGTAGCCTCCTTTTTTCCCCAACTGCTGCTCCTCTGGTGCTGGGTGTAGGTCGGAAATCCTCAGAGTCGTCTTTTCCCTCACCTTCTTCATGCCCCCGTCTGTCAGGAGGCCCTGGAACTCTGCCCATTTGCTCGACAGCCACACCCCCTGATGTAAGAGTGGTAGGGAGTTGTGTTGCTGTGGTCTCTGGTGGCTGGGTTGCCGATGGCTCCTTGTTCTTACGTCTGAGAGACAGCTTAGCTCTGTTTGCCGCCATTACTAGTTATCTACAAAAATCAACAAATTATGGTGTGCACTTATAAGAAGAAGATGACTGACCTATTACGCTAACTAGCTTTTCAGCTTATGCAGAATTAGTTTGATTTCGTGTCCTTTTTCCCTTTCTGCACGCTTTCAGCCACTGCCGTCTGGACTTCCTGGGCTCGACGTCGTCCCTCGATCGCCAATCGCCTCTGCTCTTCGAACACCTCTGGAAACAACTTCCGTCTCCCGTGGAAGGCGATAGCGAGAACGACCAGTGTGGCTCCAAACACGAACGGGTAAAGAGAGCCGAAACGAGGCATCGCGAGAGAGCTTTTAGGTGTTGGTTTTAGCCACGCCCACCATATATGCGCATGCGCTGTATTTAGCCACGCCCACCTATATGCAACTTTGAACTTTACTGCAAGGTGTGTTCGTTTTTGAGAGCAGCGAGTTTTGCAGAGCGTAAACAGATGGCGGAACCGAGAAGGCCACCTCCTCCCAAGTCTTACGTCCCTTTGGACCTCAGCACGGGCCCGCCAAAGCTGCCCCCTCGACCCACATCTGCAGGTAGCTCTGAACTTGTTGTACGCTCTTGATCTGTTGACTCTGGCCCCGTATTCCCGACCAGACGCCGGTCCACCTCCGAACTACACTCCTCCGCCGCCACCAATGAGCGACGAGGAGGAAGAAGAGGACCTGGGGAGGAGAGACCCATCAACTAGCACCCCTGTCAACAGTGCTGATCCGTCCCATCCACCACCTCCTGCTCCATACCAGTCCAGACCTCAGCCTCTGTCTCCCACCGTGGTATATACATGTCTCATACAGTGGAACCTTATTAGGATGTTCCCATGTGTTTGCAGTATGTAGTGCATTATAAGGCCCTCAAAGAAGCACTGATGAGGGGAAATGTTGATGTTGCCTCACTGTGTGGGCGTACATTAGGCCTTGCATTCCTCATGCCTACAGCCCTGGACTTAGGACAAAAAACAAACTGTTTGGCAAATGGGGAATTCCATATTTTCTACAGTCATTCATTTTGTGACAACAGTGTTCTGTTGTTCTTCCAGTTCATAGACAACAAAATTGTAGAAGGTTTTAATCTCTATGTCATACTGCAGAGTCTACCTGCCACTAGTGGACTAATGAGAGCCCCGCCCAGTCGACCATCGCGACCTCCGGCAGCAAACACTCCCTCCCCAGACCCACTCTCCCTCTCCTCCCGTCCACCTCCACCCAGACCACACCCACAAGCCGCCGCCCAGCAACCTCTTCTCACGATCCTCTCGGTCCAAGACCACCAAAGGGTAAAGTTTCAACAGTAGTCACATGACCTTCAGCCAATCAGATCCTCACATAGTAACAGCTATTTTGTAAAAACCACCCTCATGAACTAAGGTGTAATCTGTGTGGTGTGTGTGGAGTTAATGAATGTTTACTGTATGTATGTACAGAGTTCGGCCGGAGATCACAGTTATGTCAGCACAACCAATGACAGGAGAGGCAATATCACTCCCAACATCACCTGAGGCCCTGTCCCCCTCACACCCTCCCCCCTCCCCATCCTCTCAGTCCCCCAGAGTCCCAGCTAGGAGAGCGCCCGCCAGACCTCCACCGTCCAGAAAGACGGCACCTCCAACGGAAAAAGAGTCCTCCCCTCCCCTCCAGGTGACAGACGGTGGCTCTGAGACTCCACCCTGTCCGGTAGCTCTGCCCAGACGACCAAAGGGTGGCGAGCAACCGAGGAAACCTCCCTTGAGGAAATCAAACACCCTTCCACCCGAGCCTAGACCTAACCCTGCTCTACAGAACCCGACTCACAAACAAGGTTAGAGTGAGACCACTCAAAAGTAAAAGTTTCTCATGGCGAAAATTTAGCACAAAATAATTTCAATTTTGTGATTGTGCGTGGACACTACCACTCCAGCTTGGATAATTTTTTTGTGTTTAGCAAAAATCTTGTAGAATTATTGTGCCTGATTGTTGTTGCAGCTCCTCCAAAGCCTGCTCCATACAGAGGATCCCGACCTCCACCACCCAGACCTCAGGGAAGGGGTGATAAACCAAGTGAAGTAAAGACTCAGACTAAACCACCACAGCCCAAGGAGAGAGCACCAGTTGTTGTACCTGATTCTGCCGTCAAGACGGAAAATGTGGAAGCACCGCAACCAAAACAGAGGGGCAAGTCGGTGATTACGGCAGTTGACAACAAACAGTCGCAGCCTAGCAAAGAGCTGGAAACAGACAAGCCTGAAACAACGGAGTTACCACAAGCTCCACAAAGGACGAAATCAGTGACTACGACAGTGGACAAAGCACTGTCCAGAGAAACCAGCAGAGGGCTGGGAAAAGAACAGCACGAGACTGTGGAAGTACCACAGGTAAAACAGAGGACAACAGCAGCAGTCGACACACAACAACCGCAGCCCAAAGAAACCAACAAAGACGTGGAGAAAGACAAAACTCGAGAAGTGACTCCGCCAAAACCGAGACGAGCGGTTCCAAAAGAGGCGGTAAGTTCAGGCTCTCCTCCCCAGCCAAGACCACGTGCTGCCTCAGCCTCACGGCCCCAGTTCCACAAACCCCCACCTCCAACTGAACCATCTCCACCAGCTAGAACAAGACCAGCTCCTCCATTATCATCAGTGGTACCTAGCAAACCTAGACCCCCTCCTCCTTCACGACCTCCGGCAAAACGAGACTCCTCCACTGTGGAGATTACACCCACCGAACAGGTCCCAAAACCAAAGAGAAGAAGTCAGTTGCTGCACTCAGCCTCAGCAGAGGAGCCACCGAGTCACCAGTCAGAGGGTCCCACACCAGCAGAGAAGAAAGTTGAACCTCCCACCGGTGAATCTGTTGACAGCTCTACTACCAACACAGAGAGAACAGGAGATAGAGTTCAGAAAAGGCCTGGGAAACCGCCACCTCCAAGACAAGCCAAGAAGAGTGAGGGAAAGCCAGAGGGCAGGGTTCTTCAGAGGAGAATGACGATGCCGAGCAAGCCACCTCCTCCGAGAACATCAACTCAACCTCAGTTAGGTTCGAAGGTCACTGCACAGGAGAAATGCAGTGGGGAAGGGGTTAACCAACCAGTTGCCAAGCGAAGAATGACTGTTGCCAGTGAGCAAAAGACGGGAACAAGTGAGGGAAAGACTTTAGCAAGCGAAGTTAAGTCAGCAACTGGTGAGGGGGGAGAGGGAAAGAGTGGCGGGGAGGAAGAGGTGAAAGTGACTGTAAAGAAACCAGCGAGACGACGGATGCCGATGGTGATTCGTCCAATGGAGGACGAGGAAGAGAGGACAAGTGGAGAGGGGAAGTCTTCCGCGACGACTAAGACCAAGAAAACAATTGCAGGGAGTTCACCAAAACCAGCCAGACCACCAGGTAGACCGACTGCCCAGCCCAGCAGGAAGCAGCAGGCACCTCCTAAACCTAGTACACCACCATCGTCACCACAACAGGCAGCTGCTGACAAAAGCAAGCCACCTTCTGAGGATACCAAGGTGGTTCCAGAAAACAAGGCACCTCCTAAACCTAGTAAACTACCATGGTCACCACAACAGACAGATGATCAAGGAACTGACAAGAGCAAGCCACCTTCTGAGGATACCAAGGTGGTTCCAGAAAACAAGGCACCTCCTAAACCTAGTAAACTACCATGGTCACCACAACAGACAGCTGATCAAGGAACTGACAAGAGCAAGGCACCTTCTGAGGAGACCAAGGCGGTTCCAGATGACAAGTTACCATCTCCACAGCCAGTGACAATAGCAGACGCCCAGGTAGAGAGCAGCGGTTCTGAGACTGCACAGCCGCGGGAACGGACAGAGGAGGCTGAAGAGATTCCTTCACATTCACAAGCACACTCTGAACTACAGAAAGCTGAACGTGCCAGTGCGACTAACAGTTCAGTGGGAAAATCCGAAGAAGTAGTCGAAGAGGTTGGAGTAGGAGAGAAGGAAGGTGTGGCGGACGGGGAGCTCCACGACGCCACGAAGACTGAAGAGGAAGAAACCGGTTCGTGCTTTGTTTGCGTGCGCGTTATTTGGAATCTGGTGCACATTAGTTGGAATATTTTTAGGCGTTGTCCTGAGACTGAAGGAACCCGCCGTAACTCAGCTGGAGACGTACCCAAAGCGGGCCAGACCGATGTCCGTGCCTGCTGGTCGGCCGGGGAGGCCTCCCAAGCCGGGGGCTCCGCAGCCGCTGGTACAGGGGAAGACGAAAACAAAACCGGCCAGACCTCCTGGCAGACCTGCTCAGCGCCCCGCCCAGGGACCGTCGAGGTAAGTCTGAGGTATCTCTCAGAGCCTTTTTAGACCCCTTCATTGTCATCCAGACCTTCCCAGCCTACCAAGAAGGCTCAGACTCCAGTGGTAAGCTTTAGAAGTAATGTTACAGTTTTAGCTATAGTCTCCATGTTGTTCCTAGGACCCGAATGCTCCACCAGAACTGCCACCAAGACCTGGTCCTGGGCACATCCTCTACAGATATGTGGTGAGAGAGAATGTCATGACAACGTGTGGGCGTGGAGAGAGTGTATTAACCTAATGGAGGATGGGTGGAGTATATTAGTGTAATCTCCCTTCTTGCAGTGTGCGGTGCCGCATGGGATTGCTCTGGCCAACCACGAACCAACTGACCCTTCAGAGCTACCCTATGAGGTATCTATTAACCTAACACTCAAGGCTGGACATCTGGCGTCTTGCTGGCATCATGTCTACTGTGTTAATGTATGTTGTGTCTGGGTGTGAGGGGATTGTGGTATGTAGGTAGGTGAGCCCTTTTCGGCATTTCTACTTTCAGGTAGCATTGTGTGCCCATTGTTGTGTCTTTACTGCTCGTTGTGCTCGGTGCAGGTGGATGATGTTATAGAACTGATAGAGAAGGTGGACAATGATTGGTTCTATGCCCGCAATGCAGACCTGGAGATGTGCGAGGGGATGATCCCGGCCAGAGACCTCCGTCTGGTGAGGAAACTGGCGGGTGAGAGCACCGTGTCTGGGTTTGAGGAGGGCCCGTGTGCTGTCGCCATGTTCACCTTTCAAGGACGTGAGTCTAACAACAGAGCTCCTCCCCCCCTCTCTCTCTCTCTTTTCTATGTATCTTCTTTGACGTATGCTTGAATCAGGGAGGGTAAGTTATGATTTGGTTGAACTTTTCTCTACTTGAACCTCAACAACAAAAGTGTATGTTGGTGAACAAGAGTTAGTGTGTACTCTGTCCACCCAGAGACTGAGGACGAGCTGTCTTTCAAAGAGGGAGACCTCATCATGCTCAAGACCAGAGTGGGTCGGAAGTGGCTGAGGGGGAAACTGGTCACCGGTCAGGAGGGAATTTTTCCTCGCAACTTTGTGGAGATTGTGGTGAGTGGAGCCTGTCTCGACGTGTCAGTGGGTCTGTAGTAAGAGTTGTGTGTGTGTGTTTGCAGGAGGATCTACCAGAGGACGCAGTTGACGAAACACCAGCTCCTACACAGAGCCAGAGCACCACTGAAATACAGTCTGTCATCCCATTCCTCCCTTCCTTCCCGAACTTTTCCCCTTCCTCCAGTTCCCTGCCTCTTATTTTCTTCCTCTTCCTGCCTGCCCCCTCTCTCTTCCTCTATTTCCTCCCCCCCCTCTCACCCTCTCCCATCTTCCTACCCCCACAGCGGTCCTCATTGTGTGGCAGTGTATGAGTTTGCAGCAGGCGGACCAGACGAACTATGTCTGAGGGTTGGAGATAGAGTTGAGCTCCTGGCCAGAGTTGGCAACGAGTGGCTGAGGGGCAGACTCGGAGGTCAAGAGGGGATATTTCCAAGAGAGTTCATAGAGATCAGAGAGGATCTGCCTGCAGACAATCGCTCAGATGTCCTTTCGAAGGCACTCTATGATTTTGACGGGCAAGCAGGAGAGCTGTCTTTCAAGGTGGGTCCAGTTCCACCCAGGGCACTTTTTCTAGTGTTGTCCTTGGATTGTGTGATGCCTTGTGTTGACAGTTCATGCATATTGTTCAGATACAAGAATTGTTGTCCTGGGTTTTGTTGCTTTGTCCTTGCCCACATACAATCATATGTACATATGTATGTAAGCATAAGGATGACACAATTCACTTGTTGAATGGGGACTGGGAGCTATTGAATGCCATTGGGAACTCCCAAGAGACGCTTTAACTGTGGTGTTCCTGAATCAATTAGTGGCAGAGGTAAGCCTGTGAATACAGCAGCTAATCAAGTGTGTTGCAGTTGGCGGTGTGTATGCATCTGTCACTAATTTCATTGTGGGCGTCTCAACTGCTCGTGCAGGCGGGAGAGAGGGTGAGGGTCACTGCTAGGGTCAACGAGGAATGGGTGGAGGGAGAAACAGAGGACGGAGGACAAAGAGGAATGTTTCCCGTGTCCTTTGTTGACAGGGTGGCCCCTGACTTGCCTAATAAGACGCCAGCCGACACAGAGCCCGCACAAACTGCCCAGGTGTGTGCCACACCTGTTTACTATTATATAACTAACTCTAACCACGCAATACATTACATGTGTGTCTGTGTGCGCGTGTGTGTGCCATGCAATACACTGTATCATGTGTGTGGTATTAGTTGAGTAGATTCGCCAGAGTAACTACATACCAATACTCATTCCACAGTCTGAGACGGTGGCGACTGGCAAGTGCGAGGCTCTCTTTGATTTCAACGCTGGGAATTCCGGTGAGCTGTCCTTCAAAACTGGCGATGTCATATTCACGCTGGAATGGGTGAACGAGGAATGGATGAACGGAAGAATCGGCGACCGGGAGGGAATGTTTCCTGTCGGCTTTGTGAAAGTACTGGAAGAGTTACCAAAACCCAAAGATCAGAAAGACACTTCAAAAGGTGTGTGTTGAAGTGTGTGTGGTGTGTGGAGGTCAAGTGGGGGTCAAGTGAGTGGACAATGTGTGACATGACCTGGCAGACTATTTGCACTGTGTCTCTGAGATGACTGCCTGTATATCTGTGTCTGTACTATTATAAAAGCTAATTGATAGTCCTTGTGTCTATACCTCTAAAAGATAAAGTGAGAGTCCTATTGTGTAAGTGTGCCTACATCTGTGGTGTATATACATATAGTGTGGCTAAAAGCTAATGTGAGATATCCTCTATGTGTGTTATTTGTTGGTCCAGCACTCTCCCACCTGACAAAGCTAGACGACAGTCTTCTGCCAAGAGCTGAGGCATTGCGGGACTTCACTGCCACTAATTCCAGCCACCTCAGCTTCAGGGTCTGTTACTCTGCTCCCCACCACACATTACTCACGACATGTGATAGGGGGAGGGCTAGGAATTTTCCGCCAATTAGAGCTTCTTTTGAACTGTGAAATTATGGTATGGATAATGGATGGACGTATATTGGGATCCCTTGATCTTTGCTGCAGTGTTCCCCTCCCTATCCATTAATGCAATCTTAACCCCCTCTCTCCCTCCCTCTTCTCCCCCTGTCTCCCAGGCTGGAGATGTGCTCAATCTACTAGAGAGAATCAGTGGTGACTGGTACAGTGGAGAGAACACTAGGACTGGTGACTTTGGAGACTTCCCCGCCAGCTCTGTTCGCGTCATAGAGCCGCTGCCTTAGCGAAGACTGAGTTCTGTGTCTAGAGTGTCTGTTTTTTTAGGTATCCAATAATTATTATGGTTCTATTGCGCATGCTCTGAAAATCATCCACGCGCGGATGGGTGTTCTCTTTTCTAATTGACGCGCACCTGGTAGGCATGGCGGTGGGGAAGAACAAACGGCTGACCAAGGGGAAGAAGGGGTCCAAGAAGAAGATGTGAGTGTGGCAGGAAAAAGAGAGTCTTGTGCATCTACAAGGGGCGGCCTAGCACGCCTAGAATGCTGAATTGGGGCCGATTATGTTGGATTATCGTGTGTTCGCTCTGTCACTAGTGTGGATCCGTTCACGAAGAAGGACTGGTACGAGGTGAAGGCTCCGGCGACCTTTCAGACACGGAGCGTTGGGCAGACCCTAGTCACCAGAACACAGGGCAAGAGTAAGTCCCTCCTAACCTCTCTCAAATGCTCTGAGAGAGTGACTATGTTCATGCAGAGCTGGCCACTGATGGTCTGAAGGGGCGTGTGTTTGAAGTGGCCCAGGCTGACCTCCAGGGAGACGAGGTGGCTCACCGCAAGTTCAAGCTCATCTCGGAAGATGTCCAGGGAAAACATGTCCTCACAAACTTTCACGGAATGAACCTCACCTCTGACAAACTGAAGAGCCTCGTCAAGAAATGGCAGGTGAGGCTCTCGTTACAACCATTTGGCGAGGGAACCCCTTTAATATTTGCCTCTTATTATCTCACGTGGTAGACTATGATTGAAGCGACAGTGGACGTGAAGACAACGGATGGGTACCTATTGAGGATGTTCTGCATTGGGTTCACGAGACGGCAGCCCAACCAGATCAAGAAGACGAGCTACGCAAAGGCCAGCCAGGTCCGCAACATCCGCAAGAGAATGGTGGAGATTATCACTAGAGAGATCTCGCAGAGCGATCTGAAGGAGGTCGTCAGCAAGCTGTGAGTGAAAAGTGTTGTTAGAAATTTCACCCACCCCCTCTCTCTGTCTAATGTACTGCAGGATCCCGGACAGCATCAGCAAAGACATAGAGAAACGCTGCCAGTCTATTTACCCTCTCCATGACGTGTTCATCCGGAAAGTCAAAGTCTTGAAAAAGCCGAAATTTGACAGTGAGTCTCATTGGCTACATGTTAGTGGGCAGAACAGATTGCTGTGTTGTTGGTTCTCCGGCACTAAACAGTACACAGACCTAGTTGGATGCCAGATTTCCTTGCTCGGAATGTCTTAAGCAGGCCATACACGTGGCAACTTTGTTGCTTCATACCAATAGTTGAAGCAACAAAGTTACCGCATGCATGGCCTGCTTTACCCTCACCTCCCACTACCCAAGAAAAGTGTGGGCTCTAATGGCTATCTATAGTGCTTCTCTCTGTGTTCCTTGCAGTTGGTAAGCTGATGGAGATGCATGGAGATGGAGCAGGAGGCACTAGAGTTGACAGAGGTGGCTACGAGCCACCAGTACAAGAACAGGTGTAGGCTCCCAGCCCAGAGACTGTGTGCCTAGGACACTTGCTCTCTCTATTGTGTCATGTGTCTTGCCAATTGTAAAATACAGCAGCACTCTAATGTGAATGAATTGATCCTATGTGGTTGCCAGTTGTACCAGTATACGCGCTATACTTTAGTAGTAGCAGTCTTTTGATGTGGCTGTGTACTGCTACTTGCTATGGGATGCAGTTCATGCTTGTGTCTGTCCCCAAGCTATGTCTAATTGCATCCCATGTCTAATAGCATCCCATGACTATTGAAGTTGATGATCATGAATTGTGTTAGGCTCACCCCAGGCGACATTGTGGGGGTGTGTCTGTGTGTTAGGATGGATATTCATAGCTGCAGTGTCTAGAGCCTGTAGAAGTCATTATCCTCAATAGGGTTGTGTGTACACCGCTCTTTTCAGTGATGAGTGCAGAAAGGCAGTGTCCACTATCCCATAGCACCACATACCACAGCCTTTAATACCGCACAACTGTCATGGGATGCACAGCTTTTGGCTCTTGTCAAAGCCAAGAATGCACCATCCCATAAACAATAATTGGCCTCTATATGGCTACAAATTAGGCAATACCTTATTTGTAATAATGACATTTGTCCTGTATATAATAATAATAATACTACAATAGTGACCAGTGTTAGTGATTTTATACACTTGTGTGTCAGGATGTATACAACAGTGAGCTGTGATTTAACAGATGAGTATATGAAATGACAATGAAGAATAATAAAAAACGTCATACATAAAATAACACAGAGACACAACAACAAAAATAAAATGTACAGAGAGTCTGTCACATTGTAGTTTGGGTTGGCAGTGTGGCCGACAGAGGCAGAGGAGGAAAATGAGAAACGAAAACAGTCCGCATCGCACCCTTCCCCTTTACAATTACCTCTTTGTATCGCTCGAAACGAACGTTAAAATCGGCTCGAAGTTTCTCCAGACAAGTCTCTGGCATGTGTATCTTACCCACATGTCCCGTGGTGTTCATGCGACTGGCGACGTTGACAGTGTCCCCCCAAATGTCATAGAGCATTTTCCGACTTCCCACCACTCCAGATGTGACAGGGCCGTAGTTGAACCCCACCTTCAGCTGAAACGAAAAGTCCCCCATTCCAAACTCGATGAAATCGTCGTTTCGAAACTGTGCGTTGAGAGCTTCCATGACTTGAAACATCTCCTGAACAAAGTCAATGAGATCTAGTAGATGGTCGATATCCTGTCCTTGAGACTCAAGTCCAGACGCTGCCATATACACGCTAACCATATCATATATCTTCCTCAATCACCTCCTATATATCCTTCGAAGTAGATCCTCTC